TAATTTGTGTTACAACATCACATGAGACGCAACAAATCCAATTGTCAAAGCACTAACTACTGAGAAGACTAGATTCCTTCTCAGTGAAGACATAGAAAAGTAGTAGTGCTTATTATATATATTATCTCTCGAAAGCCGAGACTAATGATCCGAATACAAAGTCTTGTTTTATTGCGTAGAAATGCAGAATAATATAAAGAATCAACAAAAAGATCAGATTATGATTTTAATCTCCAAAGCTTAAAGCTTGGAGGCGATAGAATGGTAGAAAGTAGCACGTGCGAGGTACGTGACTTTCATGGTGTCCTTCATCTTGAACTCAACATTCACCACCGTCATATTTCTCCCACTCCTCACCACTGATCCGTCCACCACCAATTCACTCTGCAAACCTCACACATCATATAATATAAGCTTCTCTCTGGACCCGAATCAACAATTCAATTCCAAGAGAATGTGCGTGGTGGCTTACCGAAATGGGAGCAGCAGAGAGATACGACATACTCAATTCACCGAGGAACAGCTGTTTGTCTTCAGACACGACGGTTTTAGCACAAGCCACCGATAATCTCTCTGCAATTGATGCGACTGATCCTCCATGTAACCCATTAAAGTAATTCTATTCACACACACACAGACAAAACAGAGAGCTTGTTTTTTTTTTTGTAAAATTAAAGATCGAAACTTTACGAGACGCATATGATTGGAATGAGAAAGAAAGGGAGAGAAGATTTACGGCGAGGCCAGGCGTGACGATGACGGAACAAGAGATACGGCCGCGTGCGACGGAGAGAGCTCTGGTATTGTTTTGAAACAAGGCGGAGAAAGCGTCCAAGGAGGCGAATTCGTCGAGCGATGTCTCTGGGTAAGTGATAGCTTTGAAGAAATCTGCGACCATCAATACACTGTTGGGGTCGATTTCTTTCGATACCGTCGTCGTCTCGGACGAAATTGGATCGATTTCTTTCGAAACCGTCGTCGTCTCGGACGAAATCGGAGAAGACATTGTTGGTTTCTGTGTGTTCTCTTCTCTACTCCAAGTTTCACGGAATTTCCCCCAATTCGATTTTCACCTAATCGGCGAATCCTATTCTTTTTTGTTTTGTTTTGTTTTTGTTTTATCCTGCTAAAATTGATTTGTTATAAAATGTTGACCTTTTCTTTTCTATGTATTTTTTAATTTTCTTTTCTTCCAGTTTTTTCGGAAAAGGTTTAAAAATTACCGTTGAAAGTCTACGGTCAAAATTTTTGTTTTTGACAAACGATATCTAGTTGGGCTGGGCCAGGTAAATATCAAATAAGCCCACTTTTGTAATACTTGCAGTGTAAGTTATCTCCAGTTTTAGGTTTAAACCACCCTTTCCTTCATCCACAGGTGCTCTAAGATCGAAATTGTTACAGTAGTTCTTTTCTTTCCCTTTGGTAATTACTTATACGTTTTTCTTCTTTGTAAATGAGTATACGTCACGACGACTCAATGACTGACTCATCACGGGGCTTGGCCATTTAAAAGCGAAAAAAATATTTGGACAAATCTTTCAAGATTTATTAAAATTGTTAGCATATATTTATGCAAATCCACCTGATTTCAAGTAAAAATTTTAAAATATGATATTTTAGGTATAAAAAAAAAAGAAAACTATGATATTCAAATAGTCAAATACGGTCCATGCATGATCTTTTGGTTATTTCAAGAACGGTCTTGTCATGGTATGCAAGCAACCTGGCGCCTATTCCCAGTTCTTATTATTCAATACATCATTATATCTATAACACATTATTTTTGAAACACATGTACGATTTGCTTTCACTTTCGTCACTTGAGCAAACAGAAGGAGTCTCACTGCAAATGTTAACAACAACAAAAAATAGAGTTAAAAAAGAGTATTTATATTGTAACAACGAAAGAAAAAAAGTAAAGAAAACGAAGTCCCAATCTAAAACTGATGTATCTAAGGGTGTCAAACATGTTAATAGTTTGATTTAATCTGACTTTGTCGCATATTCGACGTTCTACCGATTAGATCAACCCGGTCCATAAAAAAATCATAGGTTCCAAAAATTTGTGTCCAGATGGTACTAGATTCTAAACCGATTGACACGCATATATATATGAGACATAATTTTTGTGTTTGGCAACATATGATGCATACACCGTTTTAACGTTACGTACCTAAAGTTTTCCAGCAAGCAGATATGCCTTGTAAGAAACATCCTTGACTTGTTTGTGATCACCCCAAGCTTCCTTTAACTCATTAATAATAGAAGGAGTTAAAAGCTCTTTTCCTTGTTTCTTAGCCATCACTAGAGGCTGCCATGATTTAAAAAACCCTAAATACCCATCGAGCGAAAGCATGTGTGGAATCTCAAGAGGTTTAGGCCTTCCTTGAGTCCCCAATCTTATATCTTTGAAAGGAAACTCTATTCTCTTATAACCATCAAACGCCAAATTCATAGTTGGGGTTCTGTACGGTATTGTTGAATCCACAAGACGTTTCATGATGGAATCAACCTTTGGCGTGACGACGAGATCGTTGTAGACCCATGCAGCGATTATACCGCCTTCTTTACGAAGAACGCGTTTCACTACGGAATAGAATCTTTCCAGGTCCAGATAGTGAAGGGATTGAGCAGCCACAATGAGATCTATGGAGTTTTCTCCGCCGAGTTTAGCCACTAGCTCGTCGTCGGACATTGATGCCGGTGTGGGAATGTATGTGACTTTTGGATGCTGCTTTGCAAGTCCGAGCTGTTTTTCATTTATATCAGTTGCCACCACTTTTTGGTAATATTCAGCGACCTATATATTTTACACATATAATTAATTGAGCTCACGATTAGTTTATTTTCGGCATCACGTAAAATATTGATCGTACAAAATTGCAAGTATTATAATATTCTAAAGGAAATTATGTAGGTTTGTAACTTTTGGATATATACCAGAAATAAAATTTAAAGCAATCTGCAAAAATGAATTTGTTAGTAGGTGAAAAAGAAGCCATACACCGATAGCAGCCTGACCGTTGCCGGTTCCAACATCCCAAGCCACCTTATGGTCGCGGGTTCGATTGGCCAGCACTTTGTACCATATTGTTGGATACTTTGGCCTTGCGTTCAAGTAAGCATTAGCTTGCTGTTCCGTCAAAGCAGCCATTTGAGCCATCTTTGCTTTCCTGTTTCTGTTTTCTTTCTTTCTCGTTATTTTGGTTGATAAATTACAATTTTGATTTATAAGTAGATATATATATATATAATCTCCAATATTTGAATGAAAGAAAGAAAAAAATCAATCGAATCTCATACTCCACTCAACCTCTACCTATCAATTAGAACTTGGTTTTATTTATTCTTTAAAGATATGGATTCTATAGATAATGAACATGGATTTTCATACATCACTATATATATCAACGTCTTGTAAATCTTTGTTAAATATAATATACATCCATAACAATGTTTTGACCAAAAAAGTAACATAAGTTTTGGATTTAACAGTATTTTTGGTTGCCACTTGTTCCTAACTTATTACATATTAGCGCTAAACTTCCTTCTTCTTTTTTGGTCGAATTATTTTGTATTTTTAACCTAAAAATTCTAAAATTACTTGGCAGCATTTATGCTGCAATCCACTATCAGAAAAAAATGTTAAGGATATTCTCAAAGAATTAGAATCAACAACGACCTGATAAGGAATACTCACTCACTTGGTCCTACAGAAAAGAGAAATGGAATATAATTTGTTACCAGAAAAATGTTAGCATAAATTTAAATCATTGAGTGTATAACACATTGTTAAGAACAGATTTCAAAAGTATGTACACATGCCAATATAGCCAATTCAATAAACCATTTTAGTATTGAGGAATGGAATAAGGCTTTTAGAGGAATCGTTTTGTTTCACCCATATTAGTAGATAAACAATTTCTTTTAGTTCTGTTAACAAAATTCAGTTTTATCATGCGGTATGAGTAGAATTTTTATTCTTCTCTTTCTTAAGTAAATGGTGAAATTATATAGGAATGTATAAATCCTCCTTTTTTTTTACCCCTCTAATTAATTGTAAAACCAATTGCACCAATATCTTGGTAATGATTAGTATGATCTTATTAATTACTCCGTATGAGAGATAACTTGGAGAGCAACATGTCCAACAATGTTGGTATGTAGCTAACATGAATTTTCCATAATAAAATTTTAACACAATGAAAATAGTATTACACGCGAACCAAGTGAAACGGCGTCGGATAGTCATTCTAAAGCCCAAGCCCAAAGCTATTTATTAACGATTATTCTTCGGCCCCTTATGGTTTCGAAAACACCAAAATCAGACCCAAAACTATGTAACGGTGAGTAGTGACCCACCGGGAAATGAAACGGCGTCGGATAGTCTTTATGAAACCCAAGCCCAAAGCTTTTTATCAACAATTATTCTTAGGCCCCTTATGGTTTCGAAAACACCAGAATCAGACCCAAAACTATGTAACGGTGAGTAGTGACCCACCGAGAAGTGAAACGGCGTCGGATAGTCTTTCTGAAGCCCAAGCCCAAAGCTATTTATTAACAATTATTCTTAGGCCCCTTAAATTTTCGAAAACACCAAAATCAGACCCAAAACTAAATTTTCGAAAACACCAAAATCAGACCCACCGAGAAGCTTGGCTTCGTAGGCGCTCGTTGAAACCGTATCTCCTGTATTAATTCTATTGAAACCGTATCTCCTGTATTAATTCTATCTCGTCCCTTTTAAAAAAAATCCAGAATGATTCATTTGGTAGTTCGCATGTCAAACTCTAAAATTCCGCAAAAGTATGATCATCTCAAGGGTTGCGAATTCTGTTGAGTTTTGTTTTGGGCCACTCGTTTGAGACTTTCCTTCTAGAAATTTATGAGCTACGTGGCCTTCGTTGGCTCATACACTTCGTTACAAATTCCAAATGTTCAACTTTTTTTGTGTAAACCTAGCAAAAAAAAAAACAAAAAAAAAAGAGAAAGGTTCGAAAATGGCAGAGGAAACAAGAAGGTATGTCTCAGTCATCCATTAGTTCTTGATTTAACCTCTAATCTTAATGTTTTTCGGGCTATGATTTATCAGATTCTTTCTTGGATTTTGTAGGTATGCTGTAGTTACTGGAGCAAACAAAGGGATTGGGTTGGAGATATGCAGGCAATTAGCAAGCAATGGGATCATTGTTGTTTTGACCTCTAGAGATGAGCAAAGGGGACTTGAAGCTGTTGAGACACTGAAGAAAGAGCTTGGAGTTTCTGACCAAAGCCTTATCTTTCATCAGCTTGATGTCTCTGATCCTGCTAGCATCACATCTCTTGCTGAGTTTGTGAAAAACCAATTTGGGAAACTCGATATCTTGGTACGTTTAGTAACCGTCTTTTATCAGTAAAGGTCTTCGATTTCAAAACTTCGAATCTGGTTTGAGAAGAAAAGCTTGTGCCTTTTGTCCTATTAGAAGAGTTTAAGCTTAATAGTTCTGCAAAAAGGAAACAATCAGGGACATAATGTAGCCGCTTTAGGTTCGTCTAGCTAGTTCCTGAATTGTACTGTTTTTGTGTAATGTTGAGTGATACTTTGATTGCTTTCACAGGTCAATAATGCAGGGGTTGGTGGTATAATCACTGATGTTGATGCTCTAAGATCTGGGACAGGGAAAGTAAGAATCTTTGTGCTTGGTTTGTGATTGGACCTCATCATATATTATATATAGATCTTTTGTCAAAGTCGAATGCTTTCTTGCTGTTTTCGACGTGGCAGGAAGGTTTCAAGTGGGAGGAAATCATCACGGAGACTTATGAACTGGCCGAGGAATGCATCAAGATTAACTATTACGGACCAAAGAGGATGTGCGAGGCATTCATTCCCCTTTTGCAGTTATCTGATTCTCCAAGAATCGTCAATGTATCATCCTCCATGGGTAAACTAAAGGTAAAAACAAAAAACAAAATCGATTGAGATGTTTTTGACAGAGAAACTCTGTTTCTTACATTGGAATTTGATTAACGTTCACCAGAATCTTTTAAACGAATGGGCGAAAGGAATCTTGAGCGACGCAGAGAATCTAACGGAGGAGAGAATCGACGAAGTGAACAAGGAGCTTCTCGATGATTTCAAGGAAGGTACAGTTAAGACGAAGAACTGGACTAAGGCTATGTCTGCATACGTGGTTTCGAAGGCCGGGTTGAACGGTTACACGAGGATCCTGGCGAAGAAACATCCCGAGTTTCGCGTTAACTCGGTTTGTCCTGGATTTGTTAAGACGGATATGAATTTCAAGACTGGAGTCTTGTCTGTGGAAGAAGGAGCATCAAGTCCTGTGAGGCTGGCTTTGCTTCCGCATCAAGAAACTCCTTCTGGTTGTTTCTTTGATCGCACGCAAGTTTCAGAGTTCTGAAATCTTTGTGTGAGAAGAATAGTATAATATGCCAAAATGTAACGAGAATTATCGTATGTATGCTGAACAAAAACTCCCACATAAATAAAATCTTTATTAATGAATATATATACTGACCTGTTTTAGAGAGATAGAACCACATAATAAAAACTCTATGAAAAGAAGACAAAACAAAACTTGGGTCTAGTTTATTGCTTTACTTATAAAATGTCTAAAAAAATGTTTTGACGAGTAACTTTTGCGTTTCTTAAACAGTATATGATTATATATATCACAAAGAAAGGTATTATTGCTTTTTTTCTCCGTATAAGAGCCGGAAATTCTTAGGACTCATGTTCTTCTTCACCTGCTTCAGGGCCTGCATCAGGAGTTTCTTCTTCTGTAGGGTTTGCTTCATTTGCGTTGGGTTCGATTTTGTCTTCCTCAGGTGTGCGTCTGTTAGCAGCGGCTTGGAGGACATGATTGTAATTACCTTTCTCAAGGAAAAGCTGATTGAAATGGACCTTACAGTAAAGGATGCCATTGAGAGCAGCATATGAAGAGTGTGTTAGAGGACAACCACTGTGTGCACATCTAAAGCAAGTCTTGTGGTAAGATTCTCCTTCCATTGTCATCTTCTCTAGAGGATAAACAGTTTTCTTGCAAGCTGCACATTTGTCTTGTGTTCCGCTAAAGAATGAAGATAACTTGCTCGGAGTCCTCGTCTAGATTCACATAGAAAATCAGCTTTTCGATTATGTATGATGAACAACAAAAACAGAGGAAAGATTGTTTGATAGATCATGTGCATACCACTTCATTCGTTTTCTCGGTCTTTCCGGCTGTAGATAATCATGTTAGCCTTTCAACAAAAGTAAAAACAACAGAGCAAAAAAAGGTAAAGTGTTATAATAAAACAGAACCCGTCTGAAAATTCTTGCTGAAATTTCCAGATTCTTTGAAGAGCTGTTCAAAATGGGGCTTGCAATAGAGAACTCCATCCATGGATGAGTAGTTGCTAATCTGCGAAAGAGGAGAAACATTCTCTATTTTTTGTTTTTTTACCACAGAGACAGAGGAACAATAGACTCATATCACGAGGAAGAAGAGGAAGATAGATACCACGAGAGTGCCGTTGCAATGGCTGCACCTGAAGCATGACTTGTGATAAGGCATTCCTTCAAGTGTCATCAAATCCATAACGTATACCGTCTTGTCACACGCCTTGCATTTGTCTAGTGTCCCTGTAAACGCCATTGTTATCTCTCTCTTCTTTTTTTCCTTTTGCTTTCAGATTACAAAAGAGTCACAAAAAGGATCAAAGTTTGTTCTTTTTCATCTATGACCTCTATGTCTTTATTATATCAAAATCTATAATTGAGATTTTTGGGAAATTTTTGTTTTTGATGGTTGAGATTCGAAGGAGGAGAACCCTTAAAATGTTTTGTTCTTCTATAATCTAATTCTGGATAATTCATTTTTTTCTTCCCTTTGCGTTCTGTATATTATTATCTCGAGTAAATCAAGGGACACACGAAAATGTGCTATTTGTCTTGCGGATATAAAAATGCACAAACACACACCAAGATCCCGATTTGGTGCAAAGCTTATATATAGTTTAGCTTTCCGAATATGAGATGTTATAATTCCGCATACACAAATGTGATGATGATCTTTATGCAAAATCGGTAAGACTTGGCTTTAAATCATAGCTTATATGATTGACCTGTACCCATCAGTATCACTATCAGTCGTGAGCATGATTTGTTATGTAATAAGAAGAAGAAAAAGAAACAAGTTATATGTAAAGATCATCGTCATTTCAAGAAAAGCATGAAGAAAATAGGAATATTCGATTTATTTTACCGTAAATAATAGACCGACTAGGGATCTTTCCTTAAATATCGATAAAAGAAATGAGATTGAAATTCTAGGTTATTTCTATAAATCAAATAAAGTTCAGTGGTCATTTATGTATTTAATCGAGAAAAGAGTGAAAGTCTATAAAATAACGGAAAATAAAGGTATTACTGTAAAGCATAGAAAAGATTAAGGGTCATTTTTTATAAATAATAAAATAAAAGAGTTAAGCGTCTGAAACAAGAGGAAAATCCATTGACGCCCTAACAAGGACGCCGGAGAGCTCGTATTCGTCACTTTCTGTTTCTTTTAACCAAACCACACAATTTCCTGAGAAAATTTGTTTTTACTCTCTTTCTCTCTCACTTTCTCTCTCACTTTCTCTTCTTCGGTTTGTGAATAAGCAAATCGGAACTCTCTAGATTCGCTTTCTTCTCCGTTCATTAGGTGGACCGGTTTGTGGTTTATTTGAACATTCCGATCTTACCCCAGAGTTCCACGATCAGTTTCTTAAAACCCTAGCATTCTCTCTATCTCTCTCTCTTCCTTTTGACTCCGGATTATCGCAGACTCTTCACTCTTAGGTTTCTAGATTGCGGCGGTTTCCTTTTTCTCTTTGTCGTGCGGTTTGAGTTTTGTAAAAGGTATTCGGTAGATTTAGGGTTGTCTGTCTCCAGTTTTCGAGATCGAGAGAGATTGTGATGAATAACAGAGGAAGATATCCACCGGGGACTGGAACGGGCCGTGGAGCGCCGCCGAATCACGATTATCAGTCGTACCGGCAGCAGCAGCCTCAAGATCAGCAGTATGTTCAGCGCGGTCAACCGCAGAACCCTCAGCAGTATCAGCTTCAGCAACAACAGCAACAGTGGTCAAGACGCGCTCAGCTTCCTGGAAACGCCAGTAACGCCAACGAGGTCCAGAAGGTTTCTCACCCCGAAGCTAGCAACGATCCTAAGTAAGTTCTCGTTTCTTCACCCTGTGTGATGTGTAGACGCTCTTGGAAACAACAGTTCAATTCGTCATGAATGATTTGGTTTAGTGATATCTGCGCACTGTGATTTGATTTGATTTTGATTCTGTGTTCTCCGTTGCTCTCAGTGGCCAAGATTGGAAGGCAACGTTGAGGCTCCCACCTCCTGATACTCGTTACCAGACATCGGTAATGGCTTCTGAGATTTTTTTCTTATAGCAATATCTGTATGGTAACATTTGGTTGAGAAGATCAGCAGTTCCTATTTGAACATTGTCTTCAATATTTGCATGCAGGATGTGACAGCTACAAAAGGAAATGAATTCGAAGATTACTTTCTGAAAACAAATCTGCTAAAGGGAATATACGAGAAGGGTTTTGAGAAGCCGTCTCCAATTCAGGAAGAGAGCATTCCGATTGCTTTAACTGGTAGTGATATTCTTGCTAGAGCCAAAAACGGCACAGGAAAGACCGGAGCCTTCTGCATTCCAGTCCTCGAGAAAATCGATCCAAAGAACAATGTTATTCAAGGTATGCTGCTACTTTCCTTTTGGAAAAATCTTCTCTGTTTGAGGCTTTCTCTCTACCTCGTTTTCCTTGTTGAGTTAGTGTAGTGAGTGATCATTTTGCCTGTGCAACTCCCATGATGAGAATGAAACTAATGACTGTGTTTGCCTTTGCAACACTTTTTCTATCTTCTTATGCAGCCATGATTCTAGTTCCAACACGAGAGCTGGCCCTTCAGACATCGCAGGTTTGCAAGGAGCTTTCGAAATATTTGAATATCGAAGTTATGGTTACCACTGGCGGTACCAGTCTGAGAGATGATATCATGCGACTGCATCAACCTGTACATCTGCTGGTTGGAACTCCGGGAAGAATATTGGACCTTACAAAAAAAGGAGTGTGTGTTTTGAAAGACTGTTCGATGCTTGTAATGGATGAGGTGAGCTCCCGATAGCTTTTCCTAATACCTAGATCTTAACTTTATCTTCGTTTTGTGATATCCCTCAAATAGATTTTCTTCATGACCTATTGCTACAAGTTGATGAAGGAAAAACTGTAGGCTTTTTTCTAATTTGTCCTTGGGCTTTCTTTGTTGAAGATACAGTTAAATTGGTACTTACGACTGTTAACATTCATTTGCCACTTCGTCACTTACTGTAGTGAATTTTGGAGTTCTGTCTTCCATATTATATCTATCTGATGTTGATTTTGTTTTATTCTGTCGCAAGCTTGAAAGTTTCTGACTCCTTGCAAACTATTTTTCCAGGCCGACAAGCTTTTGTCTGCGGAATTCCAACCTTCTCTCGAAGAATTGATACAGTTTCTTCCACAAAACCGTCAATTTCTGATGTTTTCCGCAACATTTCCTGTGACTGTGAAGGCTTTTAAAGATCGACATCTCCGCAAGCCCTATGTTATCAATCTCATGGATCAGCTCACGCTTGTGGGTGTCACGCAATTTTACGCTTTTGTTGAAGAGAGACAGAAGGTTCACTGCCTCAACACACTTTTCTCCAAGGTCAGAGTTCTAAAACAATCCCTGTAACTACATAATTATTTGCCTACTCGATTTGGATGAACTAATCTTGTTATCGTTTTTAATTGCAGCTGCAAATAAACCAATCGATAATCTTTTGCAACTCTGTCAATCGCGTGGAACTGTTGGCTAAGAAAATTACAGAGCTTGGGTATTCGTGCTTCTACATTCATGCGAAGATGGTTCAAGACCATAGGAACAGAGTGTTCCATGAGTTCCGTAATGGTGCTTGCAGAAATCTCGTTTGCACTGGTATGCTTTGTGTTATTCGAGCATGTACTTTGAACAATGATCAAGTGTAGAATGTAGATGATGCTGATGATGATGTTATGACTGATGCAGATCTGTTTACTCGTGGAATTGACATTCAAGCGGTGAATGTAGTGATTAACTTTGATTTTCCTAGGACTTCTGAGTCGTATCTACACAGGGTAAGTCGAAATGGAACCTCTTTTTGATCTACGTTCTCTGCTACAACCTCGTTTTTCTTAAAAATTCATGCTGTGAAATGTTCAGGTGGGCCGCTCAGGACGGTTTGGACACCTTGGGTTGGCTGTGAATTTGGTAACATATGAGGACCGTTTCAAAATGTATGTCGCTCCTTCCTTTCCACTGTTCTTACCGGGTTTTTATTTTGGTGTTTTAGTCTTCTGAGCCATTTATCATCGTTTTTGAAAACAGGTATCAGACTGAGCAAGAACTTGGCACTGAAATCAAACCAATCCCTTCTCTTATCGATCAAGCAATCTACTGCCAGTAAACTTGTAACCTCACAAGCAATGTTTCCACCCGACGAGACACAGTGTTGATGAAAATGGTGAGGCAAATCTTTCTCTTAGTTTTGTCAAACAACATTGATTGCATCTTAAGACCAATGTGCCCCAATGTTCAGGTGTTTCTCAAGCTAGGAGGAGATGAGGGAACTGATGATACTTGGCGGTTCATGTAAAGACTCGTTACAGAGACGAACCAGAGTGGTTTGGTTCGGTTTGGTTTCTGATCTCGCTCTAGACTTTTTTTATCTCGTGCTTCTATGATACCTCTTCGTTGCACTTATCTTTGACTTGGTTAGTAATAATAAAAAATAGAACATGACTCCTTTTTTTCATGAATCATTAAAGTTGCACTTCTTATTTTTTCGTTTTACAAACAGTTATATTTTTAAAGAATTTCTTCCAATCAAAGTTAATTTTTATGTGGAATTACACAGTTTAGCAACTATCGTTGGCCGAATTTTTTTAACATGTTTCTTTGAATTCATCACAATGATTTGCTATATTATTCCGTCATCTTTTTAAACGTGGTTTCTTTTAACACTAAAACATTGATTCGACTCGTTTTGATGTCGATGTCGCATTTATTTCTTTCATGAAAATATCATACATATATGCTATGAAAAACAATAATTTGTAAAAGAAATTGATATAAAACCAATAATTTGTAAAAGAAATTGATATAAAAATATACGGCTTTGACTCGTAGCTGACCACATTTATGAGATATTAAGTGGACCCCAGCTATTGTCTGCAAGGTCATGAGCCAACAGTATCTTCTCTTTCTTTGACTCTTTGTGATCGATCCCTAAGCCTACAGACATGACGTGTCTATTTTGTATTGGCCATTTCTTGTGACTCTGTGTTAGAAAACTAGTAATGGTTAAAATTGAGTAAAAAAGATCAGCACAGAAACTTCGACAAAAATAACTCACAGAATAGAAAAGAAAAAATATGTATAAATGGTCATTGTTCATTTATTGTGATTATCATGAACAATGTTCGTTTTTACTTTATAATTTAAATTAAAACGTGTTTGTCGCATCAAACTTCTCATCCTTCGCCTCTTGTACAAGTCACTGTCGTCTCCATTACTTCCACTTCTGCTCCTTTCTTTATTAACTTGTTCAGTTTTTTTCTAAGATAAACAACAATAAATGTCTCTCTCTGTTTTTTGTTTCCCGGCTAAAGAAGGATGTCATGTATTATCCGCCTTTAATGCTCTTTTATTTCCTGTTTCTTGCAATTTGAAAACCTGAGAACCCTAGCCCACTTCTTTACTTTGCCTTAGCTGTTTTCGACAACCAAAAACTAAGGGTAATAATCAAAATATCAATCACATTTACACCTTCAAAACTGAATTAATACCCCCATTTCACAAAGATGGCATTTTTTTTTTATAACTATAACTCAAAGCTCTTACACTTCAATATAGAGGATTTGCAAAAATACTATAGGAAACCCTTTTTTATTTGCATGATAAGAGAAAAAAAAATCCTAATATATGCAATCATGAAGTTTTGTTTCTGAACGACCTGTTGTTGCTGTCACAAACATTAATATAATATCATAAATGTTGTACGAATTTTGCGTGTATTAAATGCCCAGGGCCGGCTCGAAGCTCGCTGATCGTCCTTTTTCGTTTCTCTATTCCACACACAACCGTATTTATTTCATTTTTCTTGTTCCTCTTTTTTAAATTTTTTTAATTTTATATATCTATATATATATATATAGAATCATAGATCTTAATTCTTTGCTTCCTTCCTTTGGCTTTTTATTTCATCTTTACGACATTAAAACCAGACCAGACCAAAAACATTTATAGTTTTACCCTTTTCTCAAAAATTCTCTTTTTGATCCTATCTTCTTCTTTTTTTTCACTTTGGGGTTTGTCTGTCTCTTCTATGATGATGAGTCTAAAAGTTTTACTAGCTGTTCAATAGTTTTCCCTCTCTGTGTCTCTTCTTCTTTATCCTGAAAAACTTCAAAAATTTTCTCCGTTTTTGTTAGCGTGGTGAGCAAAATGGGAAGAACGCCTTGCTGTGACAAGAAAGGTTTGAAGAAAGGTCCATGGACTCCTGAGGAAGATGAGATTCTGGTTGAATATATCAAGAAAAACAGCCATGGAAGCTGGAGAACACTTCCAAAGAATGCTGGTAATACTCTGTTTCCTTCCTCTTGAGAGACACTGAAAAAAAGTTTTGATCTTTTTACTTCAACCTCCGTAACTAACTACTAGGGTTCTTGAGACTTTTTATGAACAGTATAAGTTTTTTTTTTGGCTTTTGGGAAAAAATATCAGGTTTACTTCGCTGTGGAAAGAGTTGCAGACTGAGATGGACAAACTATCTAAGACCGGACATAAAGCGAGGTCCTTTCACTCCCGAGGAAGAGAATCTTGTAATCCAACTTCACGCCATTCTCGGAAACAGGTCCTTTGCTTTCTACTACATTGTCTAAATTCTATATTATGAAATTTTGTATTTTGTTGTTTAAAGTGTCTGTCTTGTGTGTGTGTGTGTGTGTCTGTGTGTGTGACAGGTGGGCTGCTATAGCAGCACAGCTTCCAGGGAGAACAGACAACGAGATCAAGAACTTGTGGAACACTCACTTGAAGAAACGTCTGTTGTATATGGGTCTTGATCCCAAAACCCATGAGCCATTGCCTTCATATGGGTTAGCAAAACAAGCTCCAGCTTCACCAACAACTCGCCACATGGCTCAATGGGAAAGTGCTAGACTTGAAGCTGAAGCGAGGCTTTCTAGAGAGTCGATGCTTTTCTCTCCTTCTGGTGGTGGTGGAGGAGGAAAATCCGAATGTGATCACTTCTTACGCATTTGGAACTCTGAGATTGGTGAATCTTTCAGAAATCTTGCTCCATTTGATGAGTCCATAACTAGTCAGAGCCCCTGTTCTCAGACAACATCTTCCTCGTCTGCACTTCTAAAGAGCTCGACAAATTTTTGTGGTGGGAAAGACATTGCTATGGCGTTTCAGGGTTCCGATTCTTCTCCATGTTCGAATAGTCTTGAAGATAACGCATCGGACTCTGCTCTTCAGCTTCTGCTTGATTTCCCAATAAGTGATGATGACATGAGCTTCTTGGAAGAGAACATTGGCAGCTACACAGAGTCTCATGTTGGTGTTGTGTCTATGGTTTCTAAATTCTAGTCTTATGAAAAACTTATCCAAGAAAAAGATTCAAACTTTGGGTTTAATTTTGGTCTTCTGGTTTTTAATAATCAGAGTAGAAATAGTATCTATGTAAATCAGCAGTAGTTAGTCCAAGAAGTTCAAAAAAAAGAACACTCTTATGAATCCTCTCTTTATGATTTGATAATGCTTCAGAAAATTGCAGAAAAAACGATTTTTTTTTCACTCGGATAAAGAATTCAAAAATCAAAACCAAAGACAAATCTCTTTATGATTTGACAATGCTTCAGAAATATGCATGAGTAAAAACCAATAAACCAATATTTCACTCTGTCGTTTTAACACAAACAGCATTACAAGCCATAATAAGAGAGGGAGATTGTTTAATGTGATTTACAGTTGAGTAGTCTTGAAATTTGAACTGCAAATTCAAGATTAGAAACATCCACAAGTAGCCTTTGGGACAATTCCAGTAGCTCTGTATTTAGCAGCCGTTTCTTCTGCCTTGAGAATGTCTTCTCCACGCTTAGCTTCAATCATTGCTCTCCTCTCTTCTGCTTCCTTGTGAATAGCTGCAACCTTATTCTTCATCCTCTCTGCATACTCTGCTTTCTTCTTCTCAAGCTTCTCCTGCATTCAAACACATTTTAAATCAACACTTCATCTCTCAATCACGATTCAAACAATTCCACCTCTATCTTTCTTGATCAAGTTTGTTATACCTCGATTTTCTTGAGTTGGGCTTCAACAGCTGCTTTCTTGGTGTTTTCCCAAGCAAGAACATCAGAGACCTTCTTCTCAGCTCTGTTCCATGTCAATTTGTTTAGCAAAATCAGACAAGGAACCTAAGAACCGAAACCAGTGATAAAAACTTTTCTTACTTGTTCTCTGCTTTGCTCTTTTCGCTATCTTCCCATGCTCTGACAAAAGACAATCTCTTCTCCTTTGACAAATCAGCTAGCTTAACATCTAATATAAGACAAATAGAGCTCAGTAACATCCATAAACATTACAAACAGACAGTAGTCGCATAGTTTCGGCTCATGCTCTGCTCACCTCTATCGAGCGAAGCAGACGAAGATTTCTTCGGTGCAGGCGCTTCAGGTTCTGCAAAAAACTCTCATTCTATTAGAGAAGAACAACATAAACAACGAAATTCCCAAGACTTATACACACACAGAGTCACAAGCGGACACATGATACAGAGCATATGTATGTATATTTAAATCTTCTGATCGTGTAATAAAGTTACGATTTTTAGGTTGCCAATGGCATATACATAGAATTATATAAGTGTATGGCAACAAAAAAAAATTGATTCCATAATTCCATAAAGAAGTTTCATTCCCCCAGTTTTTTTTTTTGAACTTTTTCTTAGTTTCATTCCCTAAGTTGCCATGATAAATCTCAAGATTTTAATCGAACCAGCTCGAATTACATCGTGCGCTCTTATGTTTTAATCGTTTTTAAAGAAATTTTTTTTTATCTCTGGGGAAACACAATCCCAATAACCTGATTCTCTGCAAAAAGCTCTCATACCAATAAACCCTAATTAGAAACCCCAGAATTTTTTTAAGAACAATCCATAATTATGCGTAAAGAGAGAGAGAGAGAACTTACTCTCGACAACGGCAAGGGCTTTGGAGTCATCGGAACTCTGCTCCGGAGGTGGGTTCTGAATATTCTCCTCCGTGACGTCTTTGGCGACCTCCACCGGAACCAGAGCTGTAGCCGAAGTCTCAGTCGGAGCCGGAGCCGTAACTGGAACCGGAGCTGGAGCCGGAACCGGAGATTCTGTGTCTACCGTTATCTTCTGTTCCTCCACCATTGTCTCTCAGCCGAAGGAACGACAAACGGCAACAGAGAGGACAAAAAAAACAGATTAAACAAATAATGCAGAAACAAAATGATTAATCGAGATATTTTCTAGCAACAGAAAGAGATTTATACTTTTCTGATATACCGTGGACCGTATTAACCGCGTTTTTCTGTTTAAAATTATCTTGTTTTATTATCCGTCGATCTTTATTATCATCAGATCTTACGGCTGTAAAGCTAAATTATCTGTTACGGTTGACGTCAACTGCGATGCAGGGGAACATTAACCTAAGTTGCCGACAGACAGGTAAAACTGTTAAATAATGCCACGAAATAACAATTTTTTCAAAGCAATTTTTAAACACAGACTGTTTTGTGAATAATAATATTTTAATGACAAAATAATACTATTTCGGAAGAAAGCGTGACGTGGAGGAAGAAGACACGCTGGAGACAGATACAAAGGGGATGTCTTTCTGAGTTGTTATGACCCCACGCACTACATCGGCGCGTGGACGTTATCCTTTTAGCTCCGTAGAAGGAACGCGTGTATTAGACGCGCTGGATAAGATGGGCTTTCATCTATTGGGCCGATATTCACATGTTTAATTAGATTGATTATCCGTTTTAGAAAATATCAAACAGCTATCTGACAAGGTTTGTTGACCAAATATAAAACTACCCGAGAGGATTTGTTGATCAAAACAACCCGATATTCTTTCCGCAAATATATTTGCTTTATAAACATTATATGAGGTCGAAAAACACTTCTTCTATACAGAGGCTTTCGAGTTTCTTATTTTCTGGGCCTTTCCGCTTCTTTTCATCCATGGCCCATCTTGTATAACAATTACAAGGTTTTAATTTTTACCGTTCGTCTAGTAACCACTAACGGAACCATATCAAAATAATATCCCAAGAACACATTTAATTTGGAGTGGAGAAAGAAGAAGCTCTATAAAAGGCCTAACCAGAGTTTTAGCTATACATCTGTCGTATGCCTTTTTTACCTTATGGTACTTCTTTGAATGATTCAGAATCGTGTATTTTTTTTTTTAAAAAAAATAGTAAATAGCTTATCTTTAAAGAAGTCATGAAGAATAGTTTTCAAGGGTTTTAGCAGAACAACAATGCTAATAATAATTTAAAAGGCCTTAATTTAAAAGGCTTTATTTTCATTCATCCATTATCTTATTATTTATTGATTTCGATGTGCCTACGAGTCTGAGATTTGTCCAGGTTAGATACGCTAATATAAGCGCAATTGGATATTTTCAAAAAAAAAAATATAAGTGCAATTGGACACGTTCACTCGTAGATGTAGCCTTGTAGGTAATATAGTTGACTTCTGAGTGAACGCAACAAACGTTGTGTGATGAGTATTACGTTTAATCTTACTTATAATCAATTAAAGTCGATGGTAATATAACAAAATCTATAATACTATGGGTCTGACTGGTATGTCAGATGAATAATATAATAGTAGAATAACTGAAAAATTACTAGCGGAATGAACTGAACTGAATAATATTTTAGCTGAATAATTGTGAAACGCTGAAAAACTACTTTTAGTAGATTAATCACGTTTTGTTTTTTTTAGTTATATTTTTAACACGCTAGCGGAATCACGTTTCAAAAACATAAAAAACATGAAAACATGATGAATAACATGAATGGTAAAAAATAACAGAATCAAGTTCCAAAACGTGAAAACGTGAAAAAGCTGCATATCATTCAAACTCTATGATTTATGGTAGAATTTAAGCTATGGTTCTTAAAAATCCAAAGACACGTAGATATAAGTTGTTATAAACAATGCATGGAAGTCTCTAGAGAATAGAGACTAGGGCTGGGGAAGTTAGGTTAAGGGAGGAGACTAATGAGAGTTCGGAGTGGGAGTCGATCTAGTGATTATTGAAAACAATAGACTTGTGTTTTTACGGATAACCTAAAATATTTTAGAGTTAGAAGAAACGTTCGTTAACCAACCAAACCCCTAATCATATTATAAATCAAAAAAAGCCTCGATTTTTTCTTCTTATTCTCTTGTCTTATTGGTCTTTTGCCCCGATTCTCAATTTATTATCCTCTCTCTAACTAAATCTTTACTACATACACATAAAAAGATCTAACTATAATAGATTCGTGCATCAATGGGAAAAAAAGAAAGCATGAAGATGAATAACAACCATGAACATCACAAAGCGGTGTCGTTTACTGGAAAAAGCATAGTGAAAGCCACTGTTTTCGTTGTTGTTTCTCTATTCATATCAGCTGCTCTCTTGGATATTTTAGGCTATCTCGATTTTGTGAGTTTTAAATCCAAATATTTCTTATTTGACATTACGAGGCTTTTCTTTTTCTGTTCTCTTCTTAATTCTCTTATAGGCTCACATTTTGAATTTGAGTTAACTCTTTGTCCCTTTTATTTGCATTTTCAGAATGCTTTTGCAGGTTTCAAATCAGTAACAAAGACAAAAGAGCCTAAATTCCCTTACGGATGCGACGTCGTACAGAACCAATCACATCAAATTCCTCTCTCTCCAAACCGCGCATCGACGACACTGAAACCGAACCGTTTACAACCATCCACGTGTCCTTCTTACTTCCGTTGGATCCACGAGGATCTACGGCCGTGGAAAGAAACGGGGATAACTAGAGGTATGATTGAGAAAGCGAGCAGGACGGCGCATTTTAGGCTGGTGATCCACAACGGAAAGGCGTACGTTAAGAGATACAGAAAGTCGATCCAAACAAGAGATGATTTTACTCTGTGGGGAATCGTACAGTTGTTACGGTGGTACCCTGGGAGATTGCCTGATCTCGAGCTTATGTTCGACGCTGATGATCGTCCCGTCGTACGATCTGATGACTTTCGAGGTCAAAACAAGGAACCACCTCCACTATTCCGTTACTGTTCTGATGATGCCAGCTTGGACATTGTCTTCCCTGATTGGTCCTTCTGGGGCTGGTAAGCCCCACCCTTCTGAATACTGGGCTTATTATTTATAGGCCTTTTATTTATATAATATGGGCTTTTCATGGGCCAGGGCTGAAGTGAATGTAAAGCCATGGGGAAAGTCGCTGGAGGCAATCAAAGAAGGGAACAATGTGACGCAATGGAAGGATCGCGTGGCGTATGCTTATTGGAGAGGCAACCCGTATGTGGACCCTACAAGACGAGATCTTCTCAGGTGTAATGTTTCCGAACATGAAGACTGGAACACTCGCCTCTATATTCAGGTTTTCCATAAGCAAGCTTAATAAGTTACTATAATATGTCACGTAAGAAAAAAGTTACTATAATAGGTATAATCTACTTTTCTTTTATAATCATCTGAATCTGACGAGTGATTTTAAAGGATTGGGAAACGGAATCAAAAGAAGGATTCAAGAACTCAAATCTAGAGAACCAGTGCACCCACAGGTAAAACATTATTATATGCTTATGCATTTAATCTAAGTAGTTTTTAGTTTATACTATTGAGTTTTGATTTATTGGTATTTGTAACATTTAAAACAGATACAAGATATATATAGAAGGATGGGCATGGTCGGTTAGTGAGAAATATATAATGGCGTGCGATTCGATGACATTATACGTAAAACCGAGATTCTACGATTTCTACATACGAGGAATGATGCCATTGCAACACTATTGGCCAATCAGAGACGACTCCAAGTGCACTTCTCTAAAATTCGCCGTACATTGGGGAAATACCCACGTGGAGAAGGTCATCTAAATTAAAGATTTCTCACATTTGAACTCGAAGTTTGTTTTGTACAAACTTGAACCTTGATTTTTGTTGTGTAGGCACGTGAGATTGGAGAGGTAGGAAGTAGATTTATAAGAGAGGAGGTGAATATGAAGTATGTGTATGACTACATGTTTCATTTGCTCAATGAGTACGCGAAGCTCTTGAGATTTAAGCCGAAGGTTCCGATGGATGCTGAGGAGATCACGCCGGATAGTATGGGATGTCCGGCAACGGAACGGTGGAGAGATTTCATGGCGGAGTCTATGGTAATGTCTCCAAGTGAAGAGTCTCCTTGTGAGATGCTTCCTCCTTATGACCTTCTAGCTTTAAAACAGGTCCTCGAGCGAAAAGCTAATTTAACACGTCAAGTTGAGTTATGGGAGGACCAATACTTTCATGATTTGACCAACAAACCTTAATCTATACCCCCAAAACATTAGTATTAGCATTTCCCTAATGTTTTTCTTTCTTTCTTGCAACCATTTTATTTGTTTTACTTATAACTCTCACATACGCATACTTGGATTTGGTTCTGAATATATTATAAATAAATAAATAAATCAAGAAAAATATTAGATATCATCAAAGTATTTGTAATTGTTGCTGTAAACTTACATCACACGTTATTTTATAGATCAAAACTTTTATGTTAATTAAGTTATAATACCGATTCCTAGACCTTAATCACGGGACGGTGACATTAAATTATGAAATATCAACCCTGACGTCGGTTTACTCATGATAACGTAGACTTGTTTTTTTAAATTTTACAGTTACGAATTACGAGTGGTGTATCCATCCTTCGTCTACTTCACTTTTCGGCTATGGCGGATCCAAAAAATATCTTGGCTGAGATAAAATATTTAGTTGAATATTTTGTGCATCCGCCTCTGCCTCTAACAAGATGAAATTAAAAAAAAATTCGAACAATATTCTTAAGAGAAATTGGAGCCTATAGCTAAACGCACTTAAATGCACTTTCGACACTAAACGTTACTATTTAAGATAAGGTGGACTAATCTTGAGCTTTGCCTATAATTACGACCAAAATCAATTGGACAGATCGAATTATTTTTACTTTTATCATAGGAAACGCTAATAACTCGTTTCAATTAGCAAGTCTTTTTTTTTTGGTAGAATTCTATAGAAAAATGGTACGTTTAAAAAAAAATGCTACGTTTTTTTTTTCAGAATAAGATATATTGGAAGTTTTGAACAAAAAAAAAAGATATATTGGAAGTTTGTAAACGGGTTAATGGCAATGACTTCGATATTTTGTAAGGTGCGCGTGCAATCGTTCCCATTGTCAAATAGATTAACTAATGAATTATAACAAGGGTAAACAAAAAATGAAGTAATTAAATAATTACCGAAACTTGATTAGTTAAGACGCAACGTAGAGGCTGGAAGAGTTGACTTAATTCGCTTTGATTCTCCTTAAAGATAACATAGGCTTAAACTTGTTTTTGTATTAACCTTGTAGAAGTATAAACTAAACCCCAAAACCATTAGCCGTTTTCTACCTCATAAAGAGACTCATGAGAAGTGTTCTATGTTTAACCGGACTCTAAACTTCTCTGTTCTTCTCTATCTCTCTTTCTCTCTCTAGATCTTGTGTTTTGTCCGATGGGAGAGAGCATACACGTGGCTCAGTCCAAAGGAGATCAACATCAGAAACTACGGAACTCAGTTGTGAGTTTATGCTCTAAACTAGCAAATACATGGGTCACCACCACAGTCTTCATCTTTGTCTTCTTCATCATCGTCTTTGGTGCTTCTATTTGTTGGTTGGATACGGTATACATTTTTGCAACTCGATTGTTGGATGGATATACGGTCTTTATATACTTATTCATTTTCTTAAATTGTTAAAAGTTGCCTTTAAAAAGTCAATCTTAATAAAGATGAATGTCATTTTAATTAAGAAGAAAAAATATGGGGGAAAAGATGTGAATACACATTGTAAAATAGGTTATTATCAATGAGTGGGAAAAATACTGTTAATTAGTCCAAAGTAAGTTCATCAAATAAAAACACACATTCTAAACAAGAGTTATACATATCACTTGTGTTTCTTCTTACGATATCTTTGTTTGCAGTAATGTAGAATTTCCAGCCATGGTATACCTATGAATCTTGATACTGTTATTATTTACTTTTTTTTGTTTGATGTTATACAGTTTTTGTTAAGTGCGAGTAGAATCCAAGTGTCACCAGTATTCATCACAAGAAACATCAACAAGAAAACTATCCCCAAGGTTGTCGCCAATATCCCATTAAACTGCACACTCCTCAACAACAACACGACACAAACATGTAGTTCAAACTATCCAACCAAGTCCGAACCAGCCATCTCTTCCTCGGAAGATTGTCCTGACTACTTCAGGTGGATCCAACAAGACTTAAAGATATGGCAAGAGTCAGGGATCACAAGAGAAACACTAGAGAGAGCAAAACCACATGCTCATTTCAGGCTAGTGATAAAGTCAGGGAGATTGTATGTTCATCAGTATGATAAGGCTTATCAGACTAGAGATGTGTTCACAATATGGGGAATACTTCAACTTCTAAGAATGTATCCTGGTCAAGTCCCTGACCTTGAGCTTCTTTTCCTCTGCCATGATAAACCCGCCATCTGGAAAAGAGACTTTAGACAAGAGGACAATGTCACGTGGCCTCCTCCGCCGTTGTTTCATTACTGTGGTCACCGTGACGCATACGACATCGTTTTTCCTGACTGGAGCTTCTGGGGTTGGTACGTAAGTTTCTTATAAAATTTATTAGAACCAAACCGAAAATTCTTGGTCAACCCGGTCTAAAAATGAAAGTAAAGTTAGTAATTTTATTATAGGCCGGAGGTGAACATAAAGGAGTGGAACAAGTTATCGGAGGCGATAAAAGAAGGGAACAAAAAGGTGAAATGGGAAGATAGGGTTCCATACGCTTATTGGAAAGGAAATCCGATGGTTTCTATTACAAGAAGAAACTTTATGAAATGTAACTTTTCTGACAAGTATGATCCCATGGTTCGTCTCTATGTCCAGGTATATATAAATATACACTGTGCTTGAATTTGTATTCAAACATATACTGGAATCATTTACTGAGTTTTAGATGAATATGGTCATGGGTGATTTCGTTCGTGGGTTATTTCAGGACTGGAGAAGAGAGGTTAGGGCAGGGTTTAGAGGATCAAACTTAGAAGATCAATGCACTCACAGGTGGGCTTAATACTAAATTATTTCTTTTTTGACTACTGATATTGGATTATAATGATGATATTCTTGAGATTTGGATTTTTGGCAATCAAGGTACAAAATTTATATAGAAGGGAATGCATGGTCGGTGAGCGAGAAGTACATACTAGCATGCGATAGCATGACTCTACTGATTAAACCGGAGTTTTATGATTTCTTCGTAAGAAGTATGATTCCAATGGAGCATTACTGGCCCATTAGACCTCACAATTGTGGTGACCTCAAGTTTGCTGTTGAATGGGGCAACATTAATACTGAAAAGGTAAACTAAATGACATATAGCATTTTGAATCTAACGATTCCGTATTTTGCCTTTTTTATGTCGACTCATGCATGCTTGTTTTTTGATGATCCTAATCGATCTGTATATATAGGCACAAGTCATAGGAAGACAAGGAAGTGAGTATATGATGAAAAATCTAGAGATGAAGTATGTGTATGATTACATGTTGTATGTGTTGCAAGGCTATGGGAAACTGATGAAGTTGGATGTGACCGTGCCTGAAAATGCGACCGAAGTGTGTTCGGAGACGATGGCTTGTCCGATTACTGACGGTGGACTGATAAGGCAGTGCATGGATGACTCGTTGATCATGTCTCCGAGTGCTAAGGCGGCTTGTGATTTACCGCAGCCCTATGGAGATGATGAACTCAAGAGTTTTCTTGAGAAACAAGAAAGTGGGGAGAGAGAGGTTGAGAAGTGGACAAATGAGTATTGGGAGGTCCAAAACAAGATTCTTCAGCAGTGAATTTATAATTGTTAGTCGTTGAAATTGATTAAATGTTTGTTAATTTTACAAAATTTAGCTAGCCTGGTTTAGTTTATATTTAGAATAACCAGTAAAAAGTGTAATAATGGATGCAACATATATCAAGCAAAATAATATATAGTCATTTGTTTTGTTTGGACATCTAGCCGACTAATCGAAATGTTTATGCTTTATAATATGGCAAATGACTCACTTATTGCGAGATGCCTCCTCGTTATAACCCACTGGCTCTAGAAGAGGTTCTTGAGAGGAAAGCTGATTTAACACGTTTCGACTACTTTCGTCCTACTCTTCCATATATCGGAACACCATATATTCATCTAGTTTAATTGATGCATGATAACATTTGCGCTCATATATCTCTCTCTTAAGTTTTTTGGTTTCATAACTAAAAATCATAGAAACTGGTTCTCTAGCCATATCACTAGAAAATTCAAAATTATAGTTTGATGGATTTTTTTTCCAGCTAACGCTAGTTGATATATATTCTTTTAATAGAATTAATACTTATGGTTTTATCCCTTTAAAATAAGATTATCATAAGAGATTGTGAGATACACTCATAATTTGGCAGTGTATTAACTCACTCATCTCATCATGCGCATGTAAGTGTTAAACTGTGTAATTAACGAGGGGGTGAACGAATCTTAAGATAATTAAACGTACAACTAAGTAATCACATGATACAGACAAGAATTAGAATATTAACCCGGTCCCCAGCCGGGTCCAATTTTTATATTGTGAAATCTAATTATATATGGATCTTAAATAAATACTTAATTTACGAGTGATGATGTATGATGGTCTTAATTATCTTTGACTTTTTGTGCGTTGTTATTATCTTTTTTTTTTTTTTTTTGTTGGTTTGTCAGTTACTTAGTTACATACGTAATATATAAATGGTTGTAGAACATGAGGCTTCTTGATCGATTATTTGTTTATAGTTCTTTTTATACATAAAATGAAGTTGATTAAATGCGGAACTTTCGAGCATATTTATATGATTATATTAAGATGAGACGGAACTAGTCTTGAGCTTGTCCTATCCTGCAAAATCTTTTTTTCCATAATCCTGCCACATTTTTTTGACCAATTGAATTTTCTTTTCCATTTCTTTCATTTGTAAAGGGTTATTTTTAGCACACCTTGACTCTAACTTTTCATTATCTTTACTCATCTCATCCTAATTAAGAAATCTACATATATAAATTCATAAAATGTTTTCAGAAAAACATTGGACAGTCCAATTTGGACTACTCAAATTGCATGATTCCGATATTTTATCTTTTACGCCAATTTTCTTTTTAAGTCCTCACGAGTTCCACGACTCTGTTTCATTAACAAAAATGTATAAAAATTATTTCTCTCAACATATTAACTAATTAATGAACACATATATAATATATAGAGGCTGAGGTGGGTTGACTTAAATAAGGCTTTCGCTGTGGTCAAGCCTTAATAAAATATTCTGCCGTAATTAATAAATAGCACTCATGTTTCCTATAAAAACACAGGCTGGAACCTTTTGTTTGTGTATCAAACTCAGAATTATACTGATTTAAACCACAAAACCCTTAAATTAATTCATTTTCGACCCTCATAATAGAGATCTATTACAGTGAGCTATGCTTCTTCATAAGTCTCTCTTAATTTCTCTTTCTTGATCTCGTTTTATTGTTGTGTTTTGTTCGATGAGAGAAAACATACACGTGGCTCAATCCACAGAAGATAATCATCATCAGAGACAACGAAGCCTAATAACGAGTTTACGTTCTAAACTAGCAAATACATGGATCACCACCAAAATCTTCATCTTCCTCCTCTTCATCTTCCTCCTTAGTGCTTCTCTCTCTTGGATGTTTACGGTATATATTTTTCTCTTTCTCAGGATTACCTATACCTTTTTTTTGGGAAAAAAACTGCGTTCAAAACAAAAATATATCGTTGGCGAGAAAAAAAAAACATATTCGTTCCGTTCAAAATTTTAAACGGTTTGGATTTTTGTTTTCCACCAAATTAGATGTTTTTAAAAATATCTATTTCTTTATTTACTCCTATTTATATAATTACTTATAGGTTATTAGATGAAACTTTAACGAGAATTGATAGAATAAAAGGGTGCATTTGTAACTGAAAATAAAACCATAGTATGTGTGAAAAAGCCTAAAACATCTAATAATTTGTTTTGAATTGTAAATTGTGTATTTTTTCCTTCTACTTTTTTTTTGTTTCTTCTCGATGTTAAAAATCTTTGAACCGTTTAAACAATAGAAAGTATTATCTATGGAAGTTGGATCTTAGTTTATTTATGTATATAGTGTATTCATAGTCTGTATCAGGTGAGAGTAGATTCCAAGTAACATCAATATTCACAAGAAACACCAACAAAAGTACTACCACAACAACAAATATCCCCAAGCTCCTCATCAAGATCCCATTAAACTGCAAAGCAGTCAACAGCAACACCACACAAACATGTCCTTCAAATTATCCAACCAAGTTCAAACCAGAGATCTCTTCCTCGGAGACATGTCCTGACTACTTCAGGTGGATCCACCGAGATTTAAAGGTGTGGCAAAAGACAGGAATCACAAGGGAAACACTAGAGAGAGCAAGACCAAACGCTCATTTCAGGGTAGTGATAAAATCAGGGAGGCTATATGTTGATCAATACGAGAAAGCATTTCAGACAAGAGATGTGTTCACAATTTGGGGAATACTTCAGCTTCTCAGAATGTATCCTGGTCAAATCCCTGATCTTGAGCTTCTCTTCCTCTGCCATGATAGACCCGCTATCTGGAAAAGAGACTTTAACAGAAAAAGAAAGAACACGTGGCCTCCTCCGCCGCTGTTTCACTATTGTGGTCACCGTGATGCATACGACATCGTATTTCCTGATTGGAGCTTCTGGGGTTGGTATGACCCCATTCATCAAGACTTTTTTTGGTTAATGGTTGACTATTCATCAAGATAAAAAGATTGGTCAATAGCGTAGATGGCCCGTAACCAAACAAAATTATATAAAATACTGATTTTTATTTTTATAGGCCGGAGCTGAATATAAAGGAGTGGAATAAGTTATCTGTGGCACTAAAAGAAGGGAACAAAAGGGTGAAATGGGATGATAGAGTTCCGTACGCTTATTGGAAAGGAAACCCTCATGTTTCTCCAATAAGAGGAGATCTTATGAGATGTAACGTCTCCGACAAGTATGATCCCATGGTTCGTCTCTATGTTCAGGTATATATATATATCTCCATCAACTCCAACATCCCCCATCTATACAAGTTTGAATGTCCAAGAATTTATGACTTTTTAGTTACATTCGTTCTCAGACAGTGAGTTATATTTTGTTTCTAAATAAGGCCATTTTGTCAGATTGTGACACCATGTATAGAATTCACTAAGAAAATAAGTAATAATCATTGTGATCTTGTCTCGTTTTCAGGATTGGAGAAGTGAGATCGAGGTAGGGTTTAGAGGATCAAACCTAGAAGATCAATGCACACATAGGTATGAATATATGTAAACTACATCTAATAAATGAAATCACAAGTGTGTGGTCTCTTTGTTTTGCTTGTTTAATGGGTATATATTGATACACATATTTTGCATCTGAATTTTGGCGTTCAGATATAAGATTTACATAGAAGGGAATGCGTGGTCGGTAAGCGAAAAGTATATACTATCGTGTGATAGTATGACTCTATTGGTTAAACCAGAGTACTACGATTTTTTCATAAGAAGTATGGTCCCAATGAAGCATTACTGGCCTATTAGGCCAAACAACAAATGTGGTGACCTCAAATTCGCAGTCGAATGGGGTAACAATCACACTGAAAAGGTCAGTAATTAGAAAGCCTAGATCTAACTTGAAATTCATACTAATTTTTTAGTCTAGTAAATTTTACAACATTAAATTAAAAAAAGAGATAGTAATAAACTGTCATCGCTCAGTTAATTTTGCAATTTTGTCCATTGTATAGGCACAGGTCATAGGGAGACAAGGAAGTGAGTACATGATGAAGAATCTAGAGATGAAGTATGTGTATGATTACATGTTGTATGTGTTGCAAGGCTATGGGAAACTGATGAAGTTGGATGTGACTGTGCCTGAAAATGCCACCGAAGTGTGTTCGGAGACGATGGCTTGTCCGATCACTGATGGTGGACTGATCAGGCAGTGCATGGATGACTCGTTGGTTATGTCTCCGAGCGTCAAGGCGGCTTGTTATTTGCCAAAGCCTTATGGAGATTATGAACTCAAGAGGTTTCTTAAGAAACAAGAACGTACAGAGAGAAAGGTTGAGAAGTGGACCGATGAGTATTGGAACTTGAGAGGTCCAACATAAGATTGATTTCTTCAATCGTGAAAATATAATTTTGAGTTTGGTTTACTTTGTATGAATCTAAATATAATCCAATTAGGCCGGTCTGATTTAGTTTGTAACTAAGTATAATCATATTCCGTATTTAAATGCAATTTATGTTCTTTTTTGTCGTCTTACTATTCACACATACACTACTGGATTTGAACTCGGAATATGACACAACGGTACGTGACACTAGCGTGTGCGTGTGTTTTTAAGTCAACAAATGTGCGTTAAAGTTAAACCAAAGAAATAATCGGTCACCAAAAATAAAAGTTGGCAAATATGGTTCAAAATCCTAATAAGTGTTAAAAACATATACAATAATATCCTACTAAGTACCAAATATGGTAAAAATCCATTGTTTGCTTAAAACATGCACAGATAATATATATGTATGAAAAAATACAGTATGTAGTATTAGTATGGCAATAATATGTGCATATTTTCAATAAATCATATCAAACTTGGTAGATAATAAATTATTAGTCTAAACACTTAACATATTATTTACATATTATATATCGAACTTGGTAGGTAATCTCATTATATTAATTGAAATGTTTTATCTTCTTTAGTTTATTATTTTTTTTTGTTTCCTGAGAAATTTAATCAGATCCAAGACCACCTGCAAGTTGCAACTATGAAGATGAACAACAAAGGATTTAATCAGAAGCCACGTGGAATTTGTCATCAAAATCTGTTTTCCAATTCTAAGCTAGTCGCCACTATCTTCATCATCATTTTCTTCCTCATCCTCGATGCTTGGATGGATTTGGTACGAAAAATCTTTCTCATCTTCTAATCATTTTAATCATCCTGACAGGACAGAGAAATAACTTTTAATCATATATATATATATATGTTTATATATAATTAAATCTTGAGTGTTCATATAGTTTGTAATAGGTAAGAGTAGAATCCAAATGATGACGCCATCGATATCGTCAACTACAAACACAATCATAGAGATCCCATTAAACTGCAACAACACAGCACAAACATGTCCGTTAAACTATCCAAGCAGATTCGAACCAGAGATCTCTTCCTCGGAGACATGTCCTGACTACTTCAGGTGGATCCAACAAGACTTAAAGATATGGCAAGAGACAGGGATCACAAGGGAAACACTAGAGAGAGCAAAACCACATGCTCATTTCAGGCTAGTGATAAAGTCAGGGAGATTGTATGTTCATCAGTATACTAAATGTTATCAGACAAGAGATGTGTTCACTATTTGGGGAATGGTTCAGCTTCTAAGGATGTATCCTGGCCAAGTCCCTGACCTTGAGCTTCTCTTCCTCTGCCATGATCAACCCGGTATCTGGAAAAAAGACTTCAGACAAGAGGACAATGCCACGTGGCTTCCTCCGCCGTTGTTTCATTACTGTAGTCACCGTGATGCATACGACATCGTTTTCCCTGATTGGAGCTTCTGGGGATGGTACGTGGTTAGTGTTGTCTTTTTATTTTCGGATTATGTTATTAATTAACTGGTTCAATATAGGACGAATCATATATATTTGAATTTTATTTAATATTGTTATACAGGCCGGAGGTGAATATAAAAGAGTGGACAAAGCTATCTGTGGCGATTAGAGAAGCCAACGAAAGGCTTAAATGGAAATATAGAGTTCCATACGCTCACTGGAAAGGGAACTCCTACGTTTCTTTGGGAAGAAGAGACCTTATGCAGTGTAACTCCTCCGATGAATTTGATCCCATGGTTCATCTCTATGACCAGGTATGTGTCCATCCATTTTCAGCATCGAGTTTAAGTTTGTTTCCAACAAAACTTTGCGGAGTTCTATCTCAAAAAAACGTAACAGTTCCTCACGATCTTCGTACAAAATAAACTGCATATGTAATTGTTATGGTGATTACAGGATTGGGATAAGGAGAAGGAGTTAGGGTTCAAAAGTTCAAACCTAGAAGACCAATGCACCCATAGGTATCTATTATTGTTCATGTTTGAACTTTGTATTTGTCTGCGTTTGTTAAATTTTTGCTGCTTATATATCAAATCATTAACATTTTGGGGGTCTGGAATTGGACATTTAATTAGGTACAAGATTTACATAGAAGGTCGTGCATGGTCGGTGAGCAAAAAATATATATTAGCGTGTGACAGTATGGCTCTACTAATTAAACCAGAGTTCTATGATTTCTTCGCAAGAAGTATGGTTCCATTGGAACATTACTGGCCCATTAGATCTCAAGAGAACTGTGGTGACCTCAAGTTCGCCGTCGAATGGGGTAACAACAACACTGACAAGGTTAGCAATATATACATATATATATATATATACATCCAAAAAGTTGAAGTTAATCTTGTAACAATCAGCAATAATAAACTATACCATTGTCTAGTTAATCTTGTAATTTTCTATATTCGACACATCATGATGATGTTGTGATGATCTTATAAATCTATGTAGGCGCAAGCTATAGGGAGACAAGGAAGTGATTACATGACGAAGAGCCTGAAGATGAAGTATGTGTATGATTACATGTTGTATGTGTTACAAGGTTACGGGAAGCTGATGAAGTTGGATGTGACCGTGCCTGAAAATGCGACCGAAGTGTGTTCGGAGACGATGGTTTGTCCGACTACTGACGGTGGACTGATAAGGCAGTGCATGGACGACTCGTTAGTTATGTCTCCGAGCGTCAAGGCGGCTTGTGACTTGCCACAGCCTTATGGAGATGATGAGCTCAAGAGGTTTCTTGAGAAACAAGAAAGTGCAGAGAGAGAGGTTGAGAAGTGGACCGATGAGTATCTAAATGTCCAAGACACGTTTCTCCAACAACGAAAATAAGTAATACAATTCCCTCCACGAGTTATTCAATTGGTATAATAGGGAACTCATACAGTATGATTATTCAAAGTTTTGTAATTTCGGCGGCCGTGGGAGAGATCAAAATTAACATGTTTTGATCTACAATTATAAATGATTATATACGAAATCAAACAAAAACTAGCTCGTAAGTGATTAAAATATTTATATATGCTTAATTTACAAGTTTATTTTGCAAAGTTAGCAATATGATGGTTAGAGACGTCCGATTTTTACATATAACTGATATAATTTAAACAATGAAAGAAGTTAACAAATACAGGTCAATGCAAGAAAAATAATCGGAATCTTCATTGGTTGTTGCAAATGTAATCATAATAAATAAAAGAATGTATATATTAGATGACTTGGTCATTTAAATTAATGACTTAAGTAATCTAATCTAACAAAAGTGTTTTAAAATTATATGACTTTGGTCATTTAATTTATTTTCAAAAACAAAGGATGGTACGAATTTTCATGTATATTTCCAAACAAATAATATAGCCACCATGTAGGTTAGTAAACTTCCCATGGTCATTTGAGCATATATGTAAGTAAATTTCGTCAAGTAAACTTCCTATGGTGACTTGAATAAAGAAAATAACTCCATTTAATCTGACTTGTCGGCAACTAATGTTTTTATTTAATATCAAAAGTACAGATTTCTTATGATTGGCGTCACGATAATTACAGATAAGCACGTTGCGCAACCTTAATTAAACACGGTCAACGTTTAATTACACCACATAATTTCCCCCAAAAAAACATTCGCCTAGTTGCCTTGCAATACAAGTCTCCACGATCTCTCAAAAGTGTAGAAGACATTTTCAAAACCTCTGGCTCTGTTTTGCTGTCCTCTAAAAATTGAATGGGTAATCTGAAACTTGGCGTTGAAGTCATAAGCGCGAGGCTCAAACCCCGAGAGGAGAATTCTCACGGCGATGGCTACGGTGGTGTTAACGCCTTCGTCGAGCTACGATTCAACGATCAAAAAGTCAAAACCTCCACAAAGATCGACGATTCGAGTCCGATTTGGAACGAGAAGTTCTTCTTCAACATCTCTGATACAGAGGATTTATCGAATCGGGTTCTTGAGGCTTACGTTTACAATAAAACCAGCAACATAACGAAATCGTGTCTTGGTAAGATTCGAATCTTCGGAACTGCGTTTGTGCCCTACTCTGAAGCTGTCGGGTTGCATTACCCTCTCGAGAAGGAGAAATGGGGCGTCTTCTCTTTCACAGCCGCCACTAGAGGTGAGCTCGCTCTGAAGGTGTTTGTAACTGATAGCCCCTCTCTTAACGTACCGAATCCGTTCCCTACAAAGAAGATTACTTCTAACACAAGGCACAAATTCCACAACATTCCCACAACCGAGAAGAGTAAACCTAGCCAACGAAGAAATCAACAGCCGCTTCAACCGCACTCGCCTCAACCGCAGACGCCTCAATCTCAACCGCTTCAACCGCAACCGCACTCACCTCAACCGCAAATACCTCAACGACACTCGCCTCAACCGCAACCGCCATCGGTCATAGAAGCTTCTCGATTTCAAGCGGGAAGGTTTGGTTCTCCGATACCTGCAACAATGGGATTTAATCCGAACCCACCGGATTATTCAATCAAAGAGACGAATCCGGTTCTCGGAGGAGGCAAACGAGCGAGAACCACCACCGGTCATGATCTCGTCGAGCCAATGGAGTTCCTCTTCGTCAAAATCGTGAAAGCTCGGGATCTCCCAAACATGGACCCAACCGGAAGTCTAGATCCGTACATACAAGTCAAACTCGGAAACTTTACGGCGAGAACGAAACATTTCGTGAAGAATCAAAACCCGATTTGGAACGAAGTCATCGCTTTCTCCAAATCCGATCAACAATCGAACTTTCTGGAAGTCATCGTCATGGACAAAGACGCGATCAAAGACGATTTCGTCGGTTTAATCCGGTTCGATCTCAATGAGGTACCGACACGTGTCGCCCCCGACAGTCCTTTAGCTCCAGAATGGTACAGAGTCAACGCCGAGAAAGGAGGCGAGATTATGTTGGCTGTTTGGTTCGGCACTCAAGCCGACGAAGCTTTCTCAGACGCGACGTACTCAGACGCTTTAAACGCTGTAAACAAATCGACTCTGCGTTCTAAAATCTATCATTCTCCGAGGCTGTGGTACCTTCGCGTTAACGTCATCGAGGCGCAAGACTTGGTTATTGTACCAGACCGGACTCGGTTTCCTAATCCATACGTCAAAATTAAGTTAAACAACCAAATGGTTCGAACCAAACCGAGCCTATCGCTAAACCCGAGATGGAACGAAGAGTTCACACTTGTCGCGGTCGAACCGTTTGAAGATCTTGAAATCTCGATCGAAGACCGAGTCGCGGTTAACCGAGAGGAAACGCTGGGAAAGGTAAAGATACCGATCGATACAGTCGATAGACGGGTTGATGATAACCGGACAGTGCCTAACCGTTGGTTCAGTCTTGCGTTTGAGAACCAGAGGAGAGTGAGATTCGCGACGACGAGGCTTCTTCTGAACGTTTGTTTAGAAGGAGGCTACCACGTTCTTGACGAATCCACTTACTGCAGCAGCGATTTCAGACCGTCGATGAAAGAGCTGTGGAATCGTCGTCAGCAGCCGTCGATTGGTGTTCTTGAATTAGGGATCTTGGGTGTTGAAGGTTTATTTGTGAGCCAAGATGGGAAGAAAGAGACGGTGGATGCTTACTGTGTGGCTAAGTATGGAACCAAATGGGTCAGGACTCGGACCGTTTCAGACTCTTTAAACCCGCGGTTCAACGAGCAGTACACGTGGGAGGTTTATGAGCCAGCGACCGTAATCACAATCGGCGTTTTCGACAACAATCAGATCAGTGGCGGTAACGGTAACAACAGAGACGGGAAGATTGGGAAAGTCCGAGTAAGAATCTCGACTCTTGAATCCGGAAGAATCTACACAAACTCGTATCCGCTTCTTGTTCTTCGACCTTCGGGTGTAAAGAAGATGGGTGAACTGCACTTGGCGATTCGGTTCTCTTGCACGTCGATCTTTCAGATGCTTCTTCAGTACTGGAAACCGCTTCTCCCGAGAATGCATTACGCGAGACCGTTGAAAGTCGTGCAGCAGGAGATTCTCAGGCAGCACGCGGTTAACTTGGTGGCGGCTCGGTTAAGCAGAGCCGAGCCGCCGCTGAGGAAGGAAGTGATCGAATACATTTCTGATTCAAACTCGCATTTCTGGAGCATGAGGAAAAGCCGAGCGAATCTCTCCAGGTTGAGATCGGTTTTCTCCGGTTTACTAGGTACCGGAGAATGGTTTCAAGATATCTGCAGGTGGAAGAAACCGGTAACGTCTGCGGCGGTTCATGTACTCTACTTAACGTTTGTGTGTTTGCCGGAGATGATTCTTCCGGTAATGTCTCTTTGCTTGTTCATGTTTGGGGTGTGGAACTACAGATTGCGGCCGAGACAACCTCCACATATGGACACAAGACTTTCATTTGCAGACAATATTCATCCCGAAGAGCTTAGCGAAGAGTTTGATACATTTCCTTATTCATCACAAGACCCGGGGATGGTGAAAATGCGGTACGAGCGGTTGAGGAGTATCGCGAGTAGAGCTCAAACGGTTGTGGGAGATATAGCGGGTCAAGGAGAGAGAGTCCAGGCTCTGTTAAGCTGGAGGGATCCAAGAGCAACTTCGATCTTCATGGTGCTTTGTCTGGTTTCTTCTGTGGTTTTGTATGTTGTGCCGTTTAAGGTTTTTGTTCTCCTCGCCGGGTTATACATCATGAGACATCCAAGGTTCAGGCGAAAGACACCTCCTGGTCTGGTTAACTTCTTCCGACGACTTCCTGCTAAAACAGACTGTATGCTGTAGAATGCAAAAACATAATATATGAAACAAACGAAACTTTTCTTCTTCACAAGTCAAGAAACCAAATCAATTAATCAAAAGCTTGAAAACACGCGGGAAATCTGAAAATCACTACAACTACTAGTCTTTTTCTTTCCTAAACATTACCAAAAGACTTTTTTTGTTTCTTTCTCAAAGAGGTTAGCTAAAAGTCTTTAAACTCGGTCTCCTAGATTCAATGCTTATATATACAATGAATCATCCGCGCATTAGATCAATGTCCATATGGGCGTGATGCATATCCATTGATCTTGAACCGGTTGACCAAATGCCTACGGGGGTCTGAACAAGGTTCTGGCTTTGCTGAGGAACAGGAGACGACGTAGCTGCTGTGTTGTCGTTGTTGTCCAAAGCATCAGTGTCTTGGACATCTTCACAAGTTTCTTCTCGTTTCTTGATCTTGGCTTTCGGAATCGCCCAAAGGAAGCTCCCAACGATAACCTATTAAGGAGGCGAACACAAGTTTTTTTAAAAAATGATCTCTGAAGTCATCTTAAAAGAAGAATTTGATTCCTTACAAGCAGAGCTCACCTGAACTGGGCTTGCTGCTATTAGAGGCCCTCCGATTCCACCACCAATGACATGACCATCAGGACTAGCAAGTGAGACCGATAGATTTCCAGTGCGGTTTGGGTATTCATTCTCAGTTGCGTTCAGGTAAGAAGTTGAGAGAGATATGAGCTCGAATCGACCCTAGAGATTACAGAGTATATATACACCAACATGAGGTAATGGTTCATGTCTTCTAAAGGATAATATAAAGGGATGTGAGGATAATATCAAACCTCGTATGTAATAGTTCCATGGATTGGTGATTGCTGAATAAGAGTTGCAGTAGAGACTGCGCCACTAGCGGATAAGACACAAATCGCTCTTGGACCTTGCTGCGAGAAAGATATGACCTTTGATGCAATGTCCTGAAAACACAAGGTGTGTGGGTTAAAGATTATTCCAAGAAGCCTCAGGGAACAGAGATTATGAATTTATGATCACCAGGAGGAGACTGGAGAAGACTTACTTCACCAATGGACACTACGATAACGTGCGGCGTGAAGCTCATTCCCGACGATGAAGGCATCATTAATTCACCTTACAAAAATCAAAACAGTTTTTCAGGAAAGTCACAACTTCAGGACACAAATGTAGTGAACATAGTTTTAGAGAAGGGCCCTGTAATAAAAGATTATATATTGAACTCTAAACTTCACACTCGAGATTAAAAAATTCCAAAGCTTTAATGCGTCCTTAAAAGAGCATATAACAGCTGGAATTAGATGTCCTCATAAACTATAAATACTCAATTAAGCTCATAACTTTCCACCGTTTTCAGAGCCAATGTCATTAACTGAAAACTATATAAAATCAATACAAGTCTCATAATCTTCCACAATTTCAAGAAGAGGGAGAGAGGGTTATTACCAATGGAAGCAAGCCTTTGCTTCTTGCCGGAGCCGGGAGGTCTTCCACGGCCACGTTTGTTGGAGTTTGGGGAGACTGAAGGAGACAATGCCAACGAAACAGAGCCGTCCTGTCCGTATTTTCTAGGCCTTCCCCTCTTCCGCTTCACAGACGTCTCACCAGACGGAGGAGGAGCAACCGCCAATGAAGAATCGGCCGCCGGAGAAGACTCCTGAATTGGTAAAGGAGGAGAGACGAATCCAGTGGAACCGCCTCCTGGGTTCGGGTTTTGGTTCGATCCGAAAGGAGAGTTGGAATTGGAGAAATGGTGAAACCCTTGTGATCCGTGAAACGTTGGTTGAGTTTGTGGAGGAGGAGGACCTGAACCGGGTAATCCTCTTTGGATGTAGTAAGAACCCGACCCGGATAACGCCATTGCCTCTCTTCGATCCATAGCTTCTGACTTCTAACCTTTAACTTAGATTTTGTTTCCCAGCAAAAGGATGCAAATTCGCTGGGGACCCTAAAAGGTTCGAACTTTGTGCTTAATGGCTACAAAAGGGGAAGAGAGAAAATCTGATTTTTTTTTTTTCTTTCTTCTGAAAAGGATAATTAGATAAGAACAAAATCAGAACCTAAAGGGTCGATAAGACTTTAAAAAAGATTTAGACTTGGATAGTAAGGTAACATGCAACCGAAATTTTCTCAAAGCTTATCGCAAACACAATCTTTTGATTTCACCTAATTTGTTTATGTAGTAGCTTTAGTATCAAGCTATAAAGAAATTAGATCCAGAAGAGAAAACGAAAAAAAGCTTTACTTTCTTCTCTCTCTTTCATTCTCTCATCAGAAACAAAAAAATGAGAAATGAAGCATTCTCCTCCATCAACAATGGTGAAAGAAAAGGGTTTTCTCTCTTTCTCTCTCTCCCTCGTTCTTCTGTGTTTGTGATGTTGCTTTTTTGCTTTACTGGGTGACAGAGGGAAACAGAAAAAAACAAAAAACCATCAATCAGATCCCTTCCCCTAAGAGTTGAAAGCATTTACTGTGGATATAACAACAATGGGAGATGATTTTTCATTTGGAAATTCAAATTCGAAATTAAAATTGATGTCTCTGACTTTGACTGTCGTAGGCTCTCTCTCTCTCTCTCTATAGACTTCTTTCTAGCATCTAGCGATTTATAGGTGTGTGTGGATTGAATATTCCAACGCTATAGGTTTATGCGCGTGTATCAAACGAAACATAAGAGTGAGAGAGTGAAACTCACGCGTACGCAAGGTAGAGTGAGAGAAGGTGATGTGATCTAGTCAAGACTTCGTTCCTCTCTGGCTTCCACTTCATAAGCTATTGATGATGGTAAAACCTGGCATTGAGCTTTCAAATTTATATCAAACTGTTTCTTTTTTCTTCTCAAATATCTAATCTTTAGATTCTAACTATATAGTTTACCATAAATACTTGACTCTGTAACTATATACAAGCATGAATTAAAAGCTGCCTTTTTCTGGAGAAAATGTATGTAATTATTGTTCTTGTCCCTGTCCCTATTCTAATCACCTTTAACTCTCCAATCTTTCTCTTAAGACAGTAATGTAGAATCTGAACTTCAGAACTCATGTGAAGATCACCAATCAAAATAGTTTCTGAAACCTGATGTCCAATTAAGATCAAAATTGATTGGAAATTCTTTAGTGATGTAATGTTGTTTGAGCAAATTAGCTACAACCCAAAGTGTGCTATATATATCACTTGTCAAGCTCCATTAGGTTTGAAGAGAAATCATCACTACATGTTCCATTAAGTAACCTTGAATACTTAGTTCTACCTTTTCTCGTCAATAATCTTCTGAAACTCTAAATGGCTTCAAAGAAACTTCATCACTACAAAGCATAACCAATTATTTAGCAATTAATTAAGATTTTACAACTTTATGTTACTAGCACACAAAAAGGTGCCCACTTTCATCGAATTCTTCTTAGTCTACTTGGGCCCAGTATGTAACACAGAAAGGCCCAACGATGTAAGTGATTTTACACCTTTATGTTAGTTACTAGCACACAAAAAGGTGCCCACTTTCATTTAATTCTTCTTAGTCTATTCGGCCCAGTATGTAACACACTAAGGCCCAACAATGTAGATTAAAGCGGCGCCGTTTTTGGTGCGGAGCGTAAACAATCCTAGAACAACCGTTTCAACTACCTTTCCTATCACTTCTTCACCTCTTCTCTTATTGCGATTTGCTACCTTACGCACCTCATGTTCTCCTTTTCATCACCATTCATCTTCGTCTCTACCAAACCCAAACCCTAAACCCCTAATTTTCCCGCCAATGTATCAGTCCATGAATCTATCAGTTTCTTCTAATTTCACCCACCGATCCCTCTTCGAATCACGGTTCCCTATATTCTCCACTGGATTCCGCAAATCCGTCCATATCAAGCCTTGTCGCGTCTCATCGGGACCTGAATCCGGCGAATCGGGTCCGCAAACTCTAACCGAGAAGCTTATCTTGTTCCTCAGAGCCGTCCCGGACTGGGCGGACGAGATTAAGGAGCGTGGGATGCAGCAGAAACGCACTCTCTATACTCACGAGAAATGGGTCGAACACAGAAGCTCCCTCCGCCATGTGCGGCACCTTGTCTCGAGCTTCTCCTCTCGCGTTATACTCTCTCTTATCCCGCCTGTTTTCTTCTTCACATCCGTCGCGGTCGTAATCGCCAGCTACAATTCCGCCGTGGCTTTGGACTGGCTCCCTGGTATCTTCCCCATTCTCCGATCCTCCTCGCTGCCGTATCAGCTCACGGCTCCTGCTTTAGCACTTCTTCTGGTGTTTCGCACGGAGGCTTCGTATTCTAGGTATGAGGAAGGAAGGAAAGCTTGGGTTGGGATTATCGCCGGAACAAATGATTTAGCGAGGCAAGTGATTTGCTCCGTTGATAACTCCGGCGACGAGTTGATCATCAAAGATTTGCTTCTTCGATACATTGCAGCTTTCCCTGTTGCCCTTAAGGTAATCGATACCTGCTTGAGTTGATTGTTTCTATTGTTGGCTCTGTGGATTGTGATTGAATTTGAGTTTTTAATTGGTTTCATTCGCAGTGTCATGTGATTTATGGTTCAGATATCGCAAGAGATCTCCGGAATCTGATAGAAGCAGACGACTTGTCTTTGATTCTTCAATCAAAGCATCGTCCGCGTTGTGTAATCGAGTTCATTTCTCAGAGCCTTCAGCTGCTGAAGATAGATGACGCAAAGAGAGATTTATTGGTAGCGTTTCTGAAATCCTCAAAACTCTCCATTAAAAAAAACTTGAAACTCGTCCATTGGTCTTGATTGTTGATATCTTTGGTTACAGGAATCAAAGATGCTACATTTACATGAAGGCATTGGAGTGTGTGAGCAGCTAATGGGCATACCGATTCCTCTCTCTTACACGCGCTTGACCTCGAGGTTTTTAGTCTTTTGGCATCTGACTCTCCCAATCATTCTCTGGGATGAATGCCACTGGATCGTTGTTCCTGCTACTTTCATCAGTGCTGCATCCCTTTTCTGCATAGAAGAAGTACTTTTATCCTCATCCTCCGTACCTATTAAGTTTTTTTTTTTTATTTTTTATCTCGATTTGGTTTGAAACCTTGGTTCTTGTTTGAAACTCTGCAGGTGGGTGTTCTTATAGAAGAGCCATTTCCTATGTTGGCCTTAGACGAGATATGCGATCTTGTGCATAGTAACATCCAAGAAGCTGTTAACTCTGAGAAAGTCATAAAAAACCGCATCATCGCAAAGATAAAGCTCCATGAGTTCAAGCACTCATCAAACGGTCGGCACAGATCTTGATTTCCCCTGCTGATGCATTTTGTCTTCCTTGCGAGGGAAATTGGAATGTGATGGCTTAGGTTAGCTTTTGATATATGTATACATGTTGTATAGAGACATCTTATACCAGTTGATAGGGAAACTTTTGCTTTAACGTTTGTATATCTTCCTTGTGTATATCAAGTATATATATGTAGATTCAACCTTTACGTAAGTCATAGTTTTTGGGTTAAAATACGCATGTGACACCATCTTTTCATGATTTAGATTCCATCTCTTTAAACCAAATTCAATTGCTCATGAAAATTAGAAGAGTTATAAAACTTAAAGCTTAAAAACAAGCATGGCGGCTCACGAGTGTCGAAACCACTCGACCATCACAGGAAACCAAAGAAAATAGAAAAGAAAGTATGTTGAGAGAGCCCACCATGATCCTAAACACTTGCCATAAGCTTCAAATCTTCTACATGGTCAAGAAATATGCAAGCTTTACAAGTCTTGAGAGCTTCCATTCCTTGGATGTCAACTCTTGTGATAGTGTTGCTCTCGGGATTGTAGTAGATAAGGTAGAAAGAGTCGGATATAGTGTTTGGCGACAACACGATTTCGCCCGTACCCGTCGTTCCAACATAACATAACTTGGTGTCTTCAACTATTTCCTTCCAACGAGGAGGCAAAACGTAGGCATGACTCGACCACTCATGTTTCTCAGCGTCTTGTAGAACCCATAGTTGAATGCCGGTGCATACTCCGTTGTTAGCAATGTTGTGCTGAAGCTTAGCTAGTTTACCTTTGTAGTTTACCAGAGTTAATCCCCAGTGCATTTGCAATATTTGATCAGCTTTCTTGATATAACTGAATTTCTCGGACCTAATATCAAAGCAAACTATATCGGGAAACCCTTCATAGACATCGTCGACTATGGCTAAGTAATACAAAACACCATTGATGCATATCCCATCATACCGAGCAAACCCATTTGTATAGTCCATAATAACAGGTGCATGTGGTATGTCACATTTCATCATTTTCCATGACAGTTGCTTTTCGGTTCCTAGTGTCAGAAGCTGATGCTCTTCAGAGTCAGAGCCTCCTCCATCATATGATATGGTCATGCATAATACTGAGAATTGTTCGTCGATCGGATCATACCCAAAATAGCTTATCACCTCCTTCCTCCTTGTTTCCACTTCGGGTAAGGCCGAGGATTGTCCTGTGCTAGGGTTACATATCAGCGGCACACTAACTGTCCCCCTCTTTGAATTTTGTTGATATAAACCACACACCAAGCCACCTACAGGACGACATATACCAAAGGGACAGTTAACTGGGAAACTCATGTGAATATCGGCGGCTATAGGAGACGGCTGATTCTTTTGAGGATGCGGCGATGAGAAGAAGATTGTTTCGCCGTCTTTTAGGCACGCGAACAGTAGCTTCGGGCAAGACCGAGATATGGCCAAGTACGACGCGGTGAAATTTGGACCGCGCAACGTGGATTTCCATCGCTTCGATACGGTTCGAAATCTCGATATAGACTTCACAGGCAGTCTCAAGAGTATCTCGATTACGAGATCGAACGGGACCGGTTCGTATCGTGTGTTGCGCCGCCGCGTCATCATGGCGTGGAGACGCTTTCTCTCTGAAACCTATTATTTGACGAACCAAAGCGCTTAAAACGTGGATGTCAAGATCTTAGGGTTTTACAGATTAAAAAAAACACAAAATATAAGGGTCTATATGTATAATATTAAATGTACGAGGATCTAGACGTAAAATTTAAAACGACGTCGTTGTGCTTGCTTGGAAGTTAGAAACTTTTAAGTGATCTCTCCTTTCTTCTCCCTTTCTTCATTCGCCGGGAAGCCTTCAGACGGAGAACTCTGCTTTTCCTTGGGACGTGCTCGGAAGGCAAGTTCTCAATCAAATTTCTTCGATTATCTTATTCACGCTTTCCTCAGCCTTTCTTTTTTTCCTGGGACTATCTGAGATCTCTGGCTACTTTGTCATTAGTTTCAATTCTGAAAATTTGTTAGGCAGCGATTATATGATCCTTGAAAATTTCGGAGATGTAGATCTGATTGTAGGGGTAATGGATAATTGCTGACGAGTTTTATCTGTGGACTGTGAGAGCTAAATATTTGGTTTGCGTTTTGTACAACATTGGATTACTATTGGAATTCGATCTTCTTCTTCTTCTTCGTCTTCTTCAACTATTTAATCTGTTGCTATTGCAATGCTCTTGTTTTTCTTCAAATTTTTTGAGTATACTCCTCTTGATTGCTTAAGAACAGGGTTTTGCATAATCTCATTTGGTGGATTATTCACAATGGAGCTTATGATCGAGGAGACGGAATGTGCAGATCAATCGAACGATGCACAACAAATGGTGCTTATAAGCGGAGTTCCTGACGATATCTCGAATTTCTGCTTGGCCAGAGTTCCAAGAGAAGATCACATGGCGATGAAATGCGTTTCCAGGAGATGGAGAGATTTTGTGCGCAGCGATGAGTTGTGCGACTACCGAAACAAGTTTAACTTGGCCGAGTCTTGGATTTACGCGTTGTGCCGCGACATATCTGGGGGTGTCTTCTTATACGTTCTGAATCCCTTCTCACCCAGAAGATCGTGGAAGAGAATCCATGAATATCCACATATACCAATGAGAGAAGGTATGGGTTTTGCGGCACTGGGTAAGAGACTGTTTGTGCTTGGTGGATGTGGTTGGTTAGAAGATGCCATTGATGAGGTTTCTTGCTACGATGCTGCTATGAACACTTGGCTTGGCCAAGTACCTCCTCTTTCGACTAAAAGGTTACTTGTGTTTCTCTCAGGATTCTTCTTTAATCTTTGCCATTAGCAAAATTCAACTTTATCTTCCGATTTGCATATGCAGATGCTTCTTTGCTTGTGAGACGCTGGATGGGAAAATTATGGCAATTGGTGGGATAGGAAGGAATGCAGAAGTTCCACAGACTTGGGACATCTATGATCCAATTACCAAAACCTGCAAAACTTGTTCAGACGCAAATATTGTCCCTGAGATCGAAGACTCGTTTGTAATGGACGGGAAGGTTTATGTACGAGGTGGTGCTGGATCTTCCGCTGCTGTCTATGATGCATCGAGCGGGGTTTGGGAACGTGTGGATGATGATATGGCATCGGGGTGGCGAGGTCCAGCGGTTGTTGTCGCAGATGATCTCTATGTCTTGGATCAGAGTTTCGGAACCAAGCTAACGATGTGGTGCAAGGAAACGAGGGTGTGGATTCGTATCGGGAGGCTATCTCAGTTGGTGATGAAGCAGCCATGTCGGCTTGTTTCTATTGGGAATAGTATCTTTGTGATTGGTAAGGATTGCTCTACTGTGGTGATTGATGTTGAGAATATGAGGAAGAAGACGATGGATGGAGTAATGGTGTGTTCTTCTATACCAAAGACTTGGGATTATGATATTGATGTTATCAGCTGTAAATCTGTAGCTATATAATGTTTTAACACTCTACTTTGCTCTAGTCCTAAAGAGGTTGATCATTGCATATGTTGTTTCTGTTGCTCATGTAGGTTTATATAACAACAAGACCCAAATTCCAAATCTGAAACGCTTTTTGGTTCTTGATTGCTCAATCTAGGAGCCAAGTACATTGTTGTCAATATTATGTTGAGTTATTGTATACAACAGAACATACTAATCTCTCAATGCGGTTGGTTTACATTGAAGTTACCTTCTAGATTAGCTGTGTTCCAGGAGGCGGCAAAAAGCTATGCAGTTTCTGCATCTTCCTCTTCAGTTCCTCTAGCTTCTCCAATTCGTCTTTGCTTGATAAGGAGGTCTCTAACATTCGAAAGACCGGTTCGCTCACGCACCTTCCTCTCTCCACCGTCTGCCTCGAGCACTCGACTGCATCAGTGGCTCTTCTTCGAGCACACAGTGCAGTAGTGAGGAGATCCAAAGCGTGGCCATGAGGGCAATAACCTTTCTCCAGCATATACTTCCACAGGTCTAGTCCTAAATTGACTTCCCCGTTATGACAGAAGAGCTTCATCAGCATCACCACGGTCGGTGTTTTCGGAACCAGAGATCTTTCCTTCATTCTGTGATAAAGCTCGCATACCCCGTCGAATCCAAACTCTTTGGATTTCACCATTCCGATGAACATGGAGTGGAAAGTTACACTGTCGGGCTCAATTCCTTTCTCTTCCATCTCCTTCATCAACTCGATCGCACCACTCACATCTCGGCATTTCATGAGAGTGCTCATCAAAGCATTATAAACTCCGCAATCAGGTGTTAGGCCTCTGTTGGGAATTTCGTCGAACAGTTGGCGTGCTTTGATCTTGTTCCTCACTACACCTGACCCATGGATGAGTGTAGTGAGTATCTGCAATGTGGCTTCAAGTTTCCGACGATCCATCTCTTCAAAGAGCCTCAGGGCTTCCCCAAAATTCCGTTTTTTGCAGAACCCATCGATTCTGATGCCGTAAGTGACGGAATTGGGCTCGAACCCTCGTTTCACCATTTCGTGGTAGAACAGCTCCGTGGCGGTAACATCACCAGCTTCCTTAAACCCTAGAAGTAGAATGTTCATCGTCTTCACGTCTGGGTTAAACCTGTAATGCAATTTCTCGAAAATAGATCTCGCCTCCTTCATCTCTCGCTCTGTGCAGAACGCTCGTAGAAGAATGTTGAACTCATCGACGCCGAATTTCTTTCTGAATATCTTTTTCTCCATCCTCGAGAAAGCTTCTAAGGTTTCTTCATACGACCCAAATTTGGCGATTTTACAGAGGAGTATGCTCATGGACTTGACGGTCAACAGATTAGGGTAATCCTTTCGCACTTCCGCCATTAAAGCCCAGGCCTGATCGAAGTAGCGCATCCGTGATAGAATGTGAAGTGTCTTCTCGAAGGAATCAGAGGTGGGAGAAGATTTAGGGCTTTGGAGTGAATACTTGAAGAACTCGAGAGCCTTGAGACCATTGGAATGAGCAGCGAAGAGACGACCGAGAACCTCCGATACGAAGTCCGGTGAGAGAGAGGATAAAGGGATGTGCTTGGCGAGAATGGGTTGAATCGGATTATTGGGGAAGGGATGATCATTGATGATTCTGGTGACACGTTCGATCTCTGTTCTGTTTATTGACGACGATGTAGATGATAAAGATGATATTGCCGGAGATAGAAGACGATACGAATCGGCGGAGGTCTTCTTAAGCATTTTCCCAATCAGAAAAATAAAAGATTCAGACCGAAAGTATATTGGAAGTACAAAAGTACTACAAATGTACAATAGTGCCCAATTATGTTGAACCGATTCGAACCGAACCGAAATCATAATAAAAAAAGATTTACTGATCCGAAAATTCGGTTTATTTTGGCTATCAGAACTTGTGCGACGGCTCGGAATAGGTCATAATCGTCGGTATCAGTCGAAAAAAATTAGAGTACCTTCGCCGGAGGCTGCTCAAGCTTCTTTCTTATACGGTTAGTTTATCTTTTTTCTCAGCATGTCTTTAATCCGTACAAAGATCTGTGAGTCTTGTTCGTGTATGCCTTTACTTGCTGTTCTCTAGCTGAAGCTCAATTATTTAGAATTTATGCACGGAAGCTGTTTGACGATTTGCCTGTGAGAGTCTATGATGAAATGTTTGTCACAAAGCTTGTATAGGGTGAGTTTTTAGCGGATCTAAGGCAGAAAAATCATCATTTTTTACTATCCTCTCAATAGGGTTAGGCTCAGGAACCATCCAAGGGTTAGGTGAAGGTTGTGAAGAAAGTAGACCTTGTTAGGTTATCTTGTTGCATACAACTAGTGAATGGCCAATGTGACTAAAGATTCTTACTTTGTGAAAAAATTTCTTACTTCTGCGAGTAATGTAAGCATTTCACTTGTGGGGGCTGCAGGAAGTTTGGTGGTGGTGGCACTGTAGCTACAATGACAACGGAAACGGCAAAGAAGAAGAGAACTCCACAAATCCTTAAGACAGATGCAGCACTAAAACTTGTAAGGTTTCCTCCTTGAAGCACCAGACTTTGGATTGAGTTCGATCTTTCTTGAAAACCATGTTTGCATTTTTGGATTAGTTGTCCTAAGTTCCTAACTTTCTTGCATTGGTATCTTTTGTGTTTGCTCGTTTTTCAGGCCGAGAAGTGGGTTGCCAATATGACGAGTACTACAGAGGATGATCCTATTGAGGCTGAACAAGAAGCTCGACCACACAGGTGAAGGAATATTTCTTTTTACATGTTGATCTGCATTTCATTTGTGAATATATAAACCTGAATGTAAGTATCATTCAACGCCCTTTCATAGGCTTGGACTTGGTGCTAAAGTGTCACGGAATATGAAGCGTAGACCCTCAGACGACCCTCTTGATCAAAAACTGCAAGCCAAGTTTGATGCAGGAAGAAGAAAGACTGCAAGATCTGAAGCAGACTTTGGTGGCTCTAGTAAGAACGCCGGTGATGACAGTGAGGATGATGATGAATCAGAAAGCAAAAGCCAAGCATTCGGAAAGAAGAGAAAAAACACAAGTATGCCTCGTTAGTATTTCTGTTGTTGTTGTAATATAGCTAAGATGGTGAGCTTATATATTTGGCTCGATTGTTGGTGAAGAAGAGTTACAAATTTAGTTCTTTTGGAACATGATTTGTAAGAAAAAACCATCATAATTGTCTCATTTAAGTTCATTATATAGTTCATACTCTCTACAAAACTCTCTTGGCTGAGTAAACTATAGAAGCCACTAGAAAGCAAAAAAAACAGAGTATTGTAGTGAAATAAACAAATGAAGTCTTTCTTGATGTTAAAAAAAGCCTAAGGTCAACTAGAGATCGTTGACCGTGGCAGTGGCAGTGAAACTGTACAGGATAGACAAAAGGTTAAAACAAAAGAGACTCATCAAAGGTTGTCGCTATTCCGGTTTGGCATCGGTTTCAGCTTGAACCATGATGTCTCTGCAGCTTCTGATGATCTCTTCTACTAAATCATCAAGGATCATTTCAGTAGTGCCGGAACCAATGCAACCGATATCAAACCGGAGATCCATCCAGCTTCCGGTTTTAGCCATGTCTTTTCTCACAATCTGATCTAAAGTGTGAGGAGAAGGCAAAGGTTGGAGATGCCAGTAAACCCCTTCTCGTGCCACTTTAGCTGCGATCTCCATGTCTGAGATTAGCTGGAGCTCAGGTTTCACGAACGAGATCCAAGGCCCTGGGTTTAGTTCATTCCCACAGAAATCCAGAAGAACTTCGTTGATACAGTCGTAAAGGAGATGCTTGTCGTCGCAGAGCTGTGTAGAACAGAACACTATGTCATCTGTTGATTCTGGCTCAAGAAGCTGTTCTGAGTAGAAGGGCCTCTTCAGAAGCTCTTCCCAGGTCAAGCCTGAGGAGTTAACAACGGCTTCAACGTACGCAAGTGTCAGTTCCTTGTCGTCCATGCTTGGTTTGAGATTGTTGGCTTTGTCTGGTTTCGGAGAATCATCTTCATCGAATCTTATACAGAGTGGTTGTATCCGCATTTCAGCTGAATGTGAATCAAGAAACATGTAAGAAAACCAAATTTCGTTGCAAATTCTAATTCAATGCATACAAACCTGAACTGAATCTCGTGCTTGTTGTTGGGCTACTCTCGTCATCTGTAAACAGAGGCTCGAGCACAGACACGGGACTTAACTTCCCCTGCACATCAGTGGCGGTTTCTTTGCATTCAGTCATCCTAACCGAAGAACTCGGTGGAGACTGTGGAGGAGAAGAATGCGACATTTCCTGTGAACCATGAAACTATGAAACCTCGTTCGAATCTAATCGCTTTATCAACATACACAAGCTGTCTAACCTTATTCAAGGATCTCTGATCGTTGTCTTCTTCACGACATTCAAGGATATCTTCATCAACATATTCGTCTTGTCGAGAAATAGAAGAGCTGCAACTTTCAGTTAATGGATCTATCTCTGTCTTCTCTTCCTTTTCTATATCCCTAGTTTCATCCTCATGCTCTGAAATGCATTGAATCACAGTTTTTTCAGAACAATACTAAATCTGCTGGGCCATAGAAAGAAAACAGATTAAAAAAAGGAAGAAAAAAAGTCACCTTTGGGAACAGAAACATCGATGGTGAACAATGTCTCATCATCTTGATCTGAATCTTCATCAGTGAGACCATTAGTACATGAACCGCATTGCAGAATCTCTGGTTTCTCGGTTGTTTGGCTAAGATCATGCGCCGGGATCATCAATCTAGGGCTATCTCCTGGTGATGAGAACTCAGGGAGAGAAAGAATCTTCCCGAGGATTCTTGGTACTTCCTTGTCTGGTAAGTTCACATCTATGTCTCCATTTGCAAGCATTTCAGACAAGTGTTTCCTGGCTGCAATATATAAGCCTGACATGATCTTCTTTGAGTCTTCTTCGCTTGCGTCAACAGTCACTCTTTCATTACACAACGGTTCTTCTTCTTCACACGGAACGTGCTTCCCGGATTTACGCTCCATCTCTTGCTGCAAACAACTCTTATCACATGACTTCTTTCCAACAGCAGAGTGTAGTCTTGTTTTGATTAAACCTACAAGAAATCGAGCAAAGCTTCTCCTGGTTTTGGACTTATCGTTGCCTTTAGAATCAGCATCCAAACTATTTGGACGAGGTTTCAAAACCACTATTGTCTTTGCAGCTTGAGATCTGATTCTCCTCTCTTCTGATCTCCATTTCCTGCTGAAGAACTTACTCTTCTTCTGAGGTACCATCACCGCCTCTTGTTTTGTGACTGCTTCATGCTTTTCTTCTTCTACTCTCTTAGAATCTCCCAAGCTTTGAGCATCTTCATGTGAAACCTTCTTCAGTAGTGATTCTTCTTCTTCTTCAGAATTCAAGACATGAAACGCCTCCAACAAGTCCTTGCAGGTTTGTATCTCTCCTTCTTTCTGAGCTATCAACCGCTTGATGATCTCGCTGAACTTTTCTTCAGATTCATCAGCTAACTTCTTACAAACCTCAGTCTCTACATGTTCATCACCAGCAACGGAAACATCGATGAGTTTCTCAACACTCTCCTGATCAGAGCTCTCACAAGAACAGGTAAGCTGCTTGTTACCTGCATCAATTAGAAATATAATCAGAAGATTAGTTTTTATCTTATCTTATACAACAGAGGAGTAAAGAATCTTCCATGAAGACAAAAAACCTGCAAATCTGTTGCTTCCACGTTTCTTATCCATCAAGAGACGCTTCTGGTCAGATCCAAAGATGCTGATGAACACCCACATACATACTCTTTTAAGATTTCTCCGATAACTTTTCTCCATTTATAACAGTTTCACACTTAAATACAAAGTGGTAAAAGAAAGAAACTGTTAATACAAGCAAGGAATAAAATCATAAATACTTATTTTATATCATCATCATGCAGTGAACTGTTAAAACTCTGCTTTCATGATTTTTTTTTTCATCAGTCACACAAATGCATTGTGATTATTACTGTTTTGAGTGATCTGATTAAAAATTCGATACCTTTCCTTTCGAAGCAAGTGAACTTTTTTAAAAGAAAAACCAAAAAAAATCACAAAGATTAAAGATTATACCTTTAAGAATCTGATCCGATACTTGCACAAGAAATGGGGAAAAAAATCGATAATGCAGCTGGAAGATTTAATAAAAATCCATTTCAGAACTTTTTGAGCTGTTTTCCACACAAACAAATAAAAACAAAAAAAAACTCTTTATTATCTCACCGGATTTTCCCGGAAAACCGTCGCTGAAAGTGCGGCTTTTTCGCGAAATAACGATGAAGAAAGCTCGAAACACGAGGGTAGATGCTGAACACAGTGTCTCAATTTAGCAACAAGACCCTTCTTTCTCTCACCAGAAAATGAAAACCACTGTGAAGCAAATAATATATATTACTACATTTTAAGATATATATTGGGAAATTAGGCATAAAAGTTACACGAGTTGATTAATAAAATACTATAAAAAAGGAGAAAAACCTAGATTATAAGACAAGTGTTGAAACTGGATCAAGTTTCATTTACGAGCCAAGAAATAATAAAAAAAAAATATATGAAGAAAAACAAAACAGAATCAAGTCTTGTTGTTAGTATTGTCTTTGTTCAATTCAAAAGTTTGCAGAAGATCACAGCCATTGGAAATCTCACCCCTAACTGTATTTTGATATATACATACACATCATCGTCATTGTATATATATATATATATATATATGTGTTATTAGTGGCTTCACGAGACTGTAATGAATGTGTCTATACCGTATATGTACGTATAATATAGGGAGAGAGAGAGAGAAGGGTTTGGTGAAGCTGCAGGTAGGTAATGGTCCTCTAGAAGGAGAACCCGTACATAAACGATTGTGTCAGAGAGGTATCATAGTAAATTTCATCATGATGGAAATTGCAAAGTCAAAACAATTTATTAAACCAAAAATAGGAGATTAAATTGAAGAAAAAGTCAAAAATGACATGCAGTGTAATGAACACATTTTTTTGCCAATATACAACATTCATATTCTCTGTCTAATATGAAATAAATTAGTAGGCTGAACCTGAAGTTGATTTTAATTCTAGTTTGTCTAGAATTTTAATTTGTCTAGATTTTAATTCTTTCAAACCTAACCTAGTTTGTCTAGATTTTAATTCTTTCATTCAGGAGATGAAAATTATGCATGGTTTAGGAATCGCTAGACACATAGACCATTTAAAAAAAATTAAATTGTATTTTTTAAAGAATAGAAATAAATAAATAAATAGAGACAAAATGGAATTAGGTATATGAAAAGGACAAGTTAATAATAATTAAAAAATGAATATTTTGTTACAGAGTGCGACAAAATAGGGATGTGAAAAAAGCGTCTGTTACGATGTTACCGTTATTACCATCCATAAGAAAGGTGATTATACATTGTAGTTTAGTTATAACAATCATGAGAGTGGTTCATCTATCATGTTTTTAGTTGCATTCTCGTTCTGCATAGAGATTCATTCATACTAACTTATGAGAGTGATTATACATTGTAGTTTAGTTATAGCTTAATTACCGTTATTACCATCCATAAGACAAGTGATTAAACATTCTAACGATAATGATAAGCTTAACAAAGTACTAAAAATCATTATTTTTTAAGATATTATCTTGTGTCGTTCATGCTAACGTTCTTAATATCAGATACAAATGAAATAATCAAATAAACACACCATACATACTCAACTTTTGTTCACTACCACGAGGTTTGTCTACCCCGTAATTCTTATAATTTAATACACACAAATTGAGATCGGGTTATAAGAAAAAACAATTGAATAGCAATTGCCAAACTTTTTATTTATGGTATGACTTTGACGTATACTATAATTGGCAGGAATATGTAAAATATAAAACGGTATTCACCTTTGTTTAGCCCACTAGCTAATCACCTACTCATTTAATATGTTTATTTAAATGTATGCAAATATTAAACATATGTATATTATAGTTTCATTTCGTACTTATGTGCACTAGTAGTTATAATGTCCACTTATGTAATGCAATGATCATCCCATCAACGAAAGATATACCCTCATTGATCATTTTGAATTAATCAATTGAAATTAATGTATGCCGACAGTTTCATACGGGAGACACACACACACACCGAGACTTATAAAATATTATCAACATCTGTATTTTTGAAATTGAGATGTTGAAGGTTTGTTTTGTAATAAGTATTAACAACAACAAAATTTGGATTTAGCGAGGAACTGAAAATATTAAGAAATGTCAAATGCGTGTTGCGAATAACAAACGACGACGTTTTCGCTTTACATCTGTACTCAACATAGTATAGAACACAAAGCTGCGTAAATGGATCTACCAATCATTTTATTTTCATAGGATTCCCATCCAAACCCAAAACCTTTTAAATTTGTCTTTTTTACACAGCTTTTAAATTTGTCTCAAAGGTGCATTATTATCGCGTTATTTTAAAGATAAAACTTTATACTTTAAATAAGATTTTAAGAGTATAATTTATTTTACTTTCGGTATAATTTTTAGCTTTCAAGCATAACAGTTTTAACCTTACGTAATTATCTATAGAATAAAAAAGCGGGAGTACAAATTAGAATTCCAAGTCGTCATATTTGACTAAACTTTCGATAAAGTTATAGTTTCATTACAGAGTTGAAGTGCCATCAGCATGCAATTGATTCAACCAGCGTGTGGTTGCGTAAACTTTCGGAAAATGTTAAAAATGCGTGAATATTAATCTGTTGAAACTAAAACATCACTAGTGGACGGTTTCATATTATTAGCACTAATCAATTATCACTTTATATAATTTTATAATTTGATATCCTGTTCGGTCCACGAAAATTGGCTGTTTGCGAAGTATAACGCCAATAAATTAACGCCATCTCGTTATATATCAGATAATGTGATTAAAATAGGCACTTAACAACTAACTCATCCCAATTAATTTGTATATAGAATAATAAATTGTTGTATATGTTTATTTCAATACTGTATTGACAATATTTAATTGTTGTACATAACAAGCTTAAGATTATACAAGTTTATAAACTGATTGAGTTGGATTTGTCATGTATGCATGTCTTTTACTTTGCTAAATATTATATAAAATACTCATTAATTAAGTGAATATATGTATTGTCTTCTATATGTACCACAAAACATTATTAGTGTTATGATCTAAAATAACAAAACAATATATCAATAAATATTTTGAAATATATGTATCTACGTATTGAATTGATTTAAAATTTATGATATTTTAAAAATTATAAACAAGACAAAAACTAAGAATTGGACGAAAAATGTCATCATAGTCTTACCAACTATGATCCAACTGTACTCTATGTTTTCAACTTTAACCTAAATCCTTTTTTGGGTAACAACAGATAAATAACATGCATATGTGTGTTACACAACTTTGTATAACGCTGAGCACGAAATTATCATGCTTCCGTATACGTTTAAAAAAAGAAAAAAAAATTATTATAAAATCTAAAAGACGAGATATCAATATTAAAAAAAAAAGAATAATTCATGACTAAAAATTGCTATATTTATATTTCCAAAAAGTTTTTGGACAAAGATTAAGATAAATACTTCTGGAAATGTAGAACTCTTTCGTAATTATGTTCCTCGTGAAGGCTTAATGCTACTAACAACTCTATAGCAGTTTAATTTGTCCCTCGTGAATGCTTAGTGCTAATTAATGGCCTATCCCACTCGGCCCATATACTATTATGGGCTAACAGAAAGAATGAAAACCACCCACCCGGGTCCACTGATCACATTCTCATCCAAAAGATCAGCCCACAAAGTTAAGGAACTCAAAATTAAAAAAAAAAACTCAAAAATTAAGGGACTAAACTCGAATTAAAATCACAAAATCCAGGAACCAAAGAGATGACAAAGTTCAGGGACTTAAATTAAAGTTTTAAAAAGTCAATGTAATATGTACAATATTGAATGGCAACTTTTAGTAGGGGTTATTGGTTCTTGTATTTTGGTGGATTTATAAATTTTTTTTGTATTTGATAAATTTATTGATTTCAAAATCAGCAAAATGGAAAAAAATCAAATCCACTCAAATACCAAGGTTAGACCTTGTATTTGGGTCTTTGTATTTTAGTCATAAAAATCCTTCCAAATCCATTCAAATTCAATTAAAACTCAAATCCTTATAATATTTAGATTCTAAAATGATAGAACCAATAACATTGTATTTCATTATGGATTTTAAAATCATAGAACCAATAACACTGTATTTCAATATAAATTTTAAAATACAAGAACCAATAACACTGAATTTGGTTTGGATTCTCAAATCCATTAAAATACAAGAACCAATAACACCTCCTTAACTTTTAAGTGTTGATTTGTAAATTTATCTGCTGATTATATCCTAATATGAAATTCATGCTATGTTCTGTACATTGGTCGTGTAACTTTTTTAACTTTGAAATGGTGATCTCACTGATGATGTCTTTGCTTGAAACAATCTTACATGTATTAAAGTGTAAATAACTGAAACTATCCTTTTCAGAAGAAATAAAATAATTATGTCCTCAGATTATTGTAAACTTTTGGACGTAAGCTTGTTTGCTTTCTTAATGATCCTGAATTAAAACATTTAAAGCCTAAAGACTAATTACTACGCGGCCAATGAGACCAGGTCGTTAAGAAAACGGTCGACAGTTAGGGGCATAACCGTAAAAACAGAGGAAAAACTGGAGCTGATGTAAGCAAAGCATACGCAGCTTTTGATGACATCAAACCTGAAGAATGTCTTAAGATATATCTGAAATTTCGATCTCACTTTCCTCAATGTTCTGACATTTCTCTTGACAAAGACAGAGACCATCATTTTCAGATTCTTTGGTCGGCTCAAGAAGCTTATCCATTACTCGTAAATTTCTAATAAATATATGATTAAGCTTCTTTGATAAGGCTATGGTTACGAAACGCGGATTCGTGATTAGATTACGTGTTTTGTCTTATAATCGCAGCCTTTCCCTTCTCTCCCTATATATATATATATCTAAAAGTTGAATAGCTTGGCTTATCAAATACTGTGTTAACACAAAATCTGTTTTCCGCAAGAATACTCTGTTTTACTTTTTTTTTTTGGTTTATATGGACCAGAGTGACGATGACGCAAAAGATTCCGATCCAAGAAATGGTGAAAATGGCTGGCTCTTTAAGAACTTGTGGCAGCGACATTGGTGAACCATTAATGGCGATTAGCAAGAGAGAGATGGTGATGGATGAGAAGATCTATGTAGCAGTGACAGGGAGAGACGTAGAGAGCAAGTCTAGTCTCGTTTGGGCGATACAGAACAGTGGAGGCAGAGAGTTTTGCATCGTCTATGTTCATCAACCCATCCACATCTCAGCTCGTAAGTATATTATTCTTTTTTATTTCCTTAGCAACGATCCTTTTGTATGCAGATACTTTTGGTTGAGTCTTGTTTTCTTTAAATTTCAAGCGGGAGCGATGTTCCACGAGCAGAAATTGCGGCTTTATAGAAAAGAGAAGGAGAAAGCACATAAGAATCTGGATAAGTACCTTCATATATGCAGGCAAATGCAGGCATGTATGATGATTATTTTAGAGATTATCCAATTATGTTTTTTTTTTACTGTAACAAGAGATGATTGATTTCTGTAAATATCCGGTTAAAATTTGCGAATTAGGTCAGTGCAGAGAAGATATATATCGAAAAGGATTCGGTAGAGGAAGGTATCCTTCAGTTGATTTCTCAGCGTGGTGTTAAGAAACTTGTCATGGGAGCAGCAGCTCATAGACACTATTCGATGTAAGTGCTTAGATTCGACTATTTCTTTTTGTTGTTATTGTAAAATACAGATTCAATGATCAAGTGAAGATTTCGATTTTTCAGGAAGATGAGAGACTTAAAGTCCAAGAAAGCTATTTACATTCGCAGAGAAGCGCCTGCTACTTGTCATATTTGGTTTACATGCAACGGATACTTAATCTGCTCAAGGTTTTGCCAGTTTTAAGTCACTGTTTGAAACTGTGTTTTGAGTTTTGCTTGTGAGACAAGATCTTAATCTCAGAAATGCTTTTTGTTATGATGTCAATGCAGGGAAGCTACGAGAAGAGATAACCTGTATCTAGAATGTGCATCGTCAAATTCGTTGAGCCAATCCGAGATAACTAAAGGAACTGAAAGTGTTCCATGCTCGAGTATGGTTAAGGTTGATGATCGGATCAAACTAGCTGTCATGGAAGCTGAAATTTCGAAAAGGGAAGCACGCTTTGAGATTTCTAAGCGTGTAGAAGCTGAAAAATCTGCAGCTGATGCAATGAAAAGGGTATATAAAGAAGTTCATTTGACTTGTTTTTTCACTTGAAAGTATCGAACTTTTCTAACTCTATCTTTAACCAAAATGTAGGCTAAACAATCTGAGAATGCACTGAGAAAAGCGCTAGAGGAACTTGAAAAGATGAGATCAGAATCCGAGACCCGAATAGCCCAATCCAACATGGTGATCAAAAAGCTTCAATACAAGTGTAGCTTATCAACGGAAGCATTGAGAGGTCTTAGAGAAGAACAAGAAGAGTTGAAGATAAGGCTTAGAGAAGTATCAAAGCTGAAGAGTGGCCGCAAGAACCATGAACCGCCTCAGTACTTCATATGCCCCATTACACAAGTAAGAAACATTCCAAGATCAATGAATAACAATGTTATAGTCATAAGAGAGTCAAAAGCAGAATTTTGTTTGTAGGATGTGATGGAGGATCCACATGTAGCAGCAGATGGTTTTACATATGAAGGAGAAGCCATAAGTGGTTGGTTTGAGAGAGGACATGAGACTTCTCCAATGACAAACAAGAGGCTTTCTCACACAAGCTTGGTTCCAAATCTTGCTCTTCGATCTGCAATCCAAGAATGGCTTCAAGCTTCAAGCACCTGAATCATTGAAACAGATTCTCTGCTTGTTAAAAAATTAATCAAAAGGAGCTTTCAAGTCCTTAGGGGAAGCTCTCTCATTGTACTCAGACCCAAGTTCGAGTCTTGGTGCAGATCTCTCATTGGGAACTTTTTGATATGGTTTAGACGTTTTGTAATCTATAATTATCCACTAACCAATGTTGATGTCGTTTTGTAATCTATCATTTATTCATAACAGTACATAATAGTCACTCTTTAGTAGTGTTATCCAGTCATTTAAATTTATTTGACCTGATTATATATATTTAATTTATTTTCACAATTAATATAAATCAATCGGTTTTTTATTAGGAAAAAATATATTATTAGCAACATTAAATAAAACTTAAAATTACGGAGTAATTATGATTAAGATTGTACTAATATAAAATAACAGAAAAACTATTTTTTCAATTTTTATATAATTATTATTGACCTAAAAGATTACCAATTGTTTATTACAAATGGTAAGCTTTCTTGTAAGAGTTCATTAAGTTTGGGATCAAGTGTATCTTATGTTGTAAAAATGTTTGGGATTTTAACATGTTTTTCTATTCCAAAACACGAAGGTCGATTTATATGTTGAGACATTATCATTATTTTACATATACAAAAGCAATTAATAAAGATGAAGTTGGTATATTTAAAAAAAATAAAATAGAAAGAGGGGTACAAACTACTCACAATATTGGATTGAAAATTTAAATTTGTTAAATTAATTTCAAATTTGAATATATAAAAACAAAAAAAAAAAATTACAACTTCGAAAAAAATACAAAAAATATCATACAATATATATAATTACAAAATCCTAAAATAATACTTTTCGTTTGACATGTTACTTGAACAAGTATTAACCTGAAACAATACAAAAAACCTGAAACAATACAAAAAACAACAGTAGAATTTGGGTTAGATTTTTTATTTAATGTTGCTATTATTATTATTTATTATTATTAGTTATTATTATTATTATCATTTTTTCCTAATAAGAAACTGATTGATATGCATTAGTTGTGGAAACAAATTGAACATCGATAATCTCTAACGGCCAAATGAATTCAAATAGCTGAATATTATGTCTGATTAGTTTTATAACTAATGTAAATCTAATCAATTTTAAATTAATTTAGGTTTTAATACCGATGGAAAAAAAATTTAAAATTAAAAAGAGAGAATAGAATGACATATCTGTTTCATTGCATCAGATAGATAATTCTTCATTTCCTTGTGTTCTTGACACAAATCACACCAATGCAAGCACCAACGAACCATGCAATGATCACAAGGCGCATTCTGCAAGAAAATCACAATTGATAAATGAGAGATAATATTTGGAAATATACACTAGAATGATTTGGTGTTGTTGGATTTTACTTACCTTGAGATGATTGTCTAATAGCAGAACTCAAAATCTGATGCTTCTCCAATTAGAAAATAGGTCTTTGAGTCGCTTCGCTTTCCTTTGGTGGAGAACACATCAAGCTTCGACGCTCACAACCTCATACTCGATGAACAAAAGATTGTTATCTTCCTTCACGGTGATGTCTGTGAGCTCCTTCGCCACTTCAACACGGCCCCATCTAGCAACAAGAACTGAATACGCAAAGCCATGAGAAGTAATCAAACACGAGAAAAATAAATTTTGAGGCATGTAATTCCCAGAAAGTAATGACATCTCACCAGAGACAAGCACCGCTCGACATCATCATTCATATGCTTTACACCACTTTTTCCACTAAGAAGCAGCTAGGAGATGGGTTGAAACCCAACTAATTTCTGCAAAATCGTTCTTTCTTCCTCTTCATGCGCAACTCATTGAGATGCTTTTGGCACCGAACTTTTTAGGCTCAGGAGATAATAGTCTATTCCTCTTCCTAGTACATATGCAAGTAAAAAAGTTTAGTTTATTCGTCTCTCTGTATCCAGATTTAAATAGAGAAGTGCAGCTAAAATAAAACATATCGCAAGATTGATGCCACTGAGCGTTGTGACATCATTAAACTTCTCAATACTTGGATCTTTACAAATCCCATGTAGTGTTTGCTGCTTGCTGTAAGTTAACATTTGCTATAAGACTTCAATAATAATTATAACTTGCAAATGAATGAAATGTTATAAAAAAAAAATATATATAAAAGGAAGAATAACTTGTGGACGCTGTAAGTGGTTCATCTTTGACAAACCAGCCACCTCTATTACCTCGATGGTGGCAGCGAAGAACTTTGTGCCTCAAGAGGTTTCTTCTGACCGACAGAAGGCATTTTGGGTGTCGTCCTAACACTGGCTCTTGAGGGAGGGAATTTAACCTGATAAGTGGACCAAACAACTTCTCAGTTAAATAGTCTTACTTACTCTTCACAATCAAAGCCAAAAAACAAGGACAAACATAAGCCAGGGTGGTCAAAATACAAGCAAAATGAAACAAAATAGCAGTTGAATGTCTTTTGAGAATAGAGTTTATAAGTTACCATTGTGCTAGAGTCCAGCTGTTTTGTCACTGAAGGAGAAACAAAGCTTGCGTGAGTGGTAAGTGTGGATACAAACATTTTAGAAGACTGCTTCTCTTTGGGTCACCATCGCTCTGTTTCATTGGAGAGATCTGAAAGTTTCTGAATATCAAACAGAAAAGTTAACAAGGTTTCATTAAACATCTAACAAGAATCTAATGCAGGCAAGAAACCGGACCTGATTAAACTTGGAGAGCTGGTCTACTGCATCGTTTCTCCAACAAACAAGACCAAGTCATGGGTATTGAGGTTGATGAGCTTTGACAGAGCTCTCATCAAAGGTCCATTACCTTGCATCCGACCAGCTGTGTCAACAAGAACAACATCCGATCCATTTCTAGTTTGCTTCTTGTATGGCTTCTTTAGCAACCAACCACTGCTGGATCCTTCTCGTAACCCTTTTCAAATATCAGTATCTGTTTGCCAAATTCCAATTCAAATCAGTATTTACACCATTAGTCAACGATTGTTTGAATATCCAAACACACAGATATCTTTCATTACCTTGTAACCTACGAGCATGAGTCCGTAACTGCTCCACAGCTCCAAAACGGAATGTGCCACAAGCAACACAGTACATAACGCAGCAAATTGTTCATCCTTTGACAGAGTCCTCCTTGTCCACAAGAAAACCTGAAGTATAGAATGAAAAGCTTAATTGCATTCAGAGAAAAACAATTTCCATACTTTCACAATTTCTCCACAATCTACTCCATTGTACTACCATCACCATCTCTACTAGTAGTTTCACAAATCGCAGAAATTCTGCCTTCTTAGCGATAATTTACAACTATCTTCGGAGGTTTAGGTTGATTCCGTTTATGGGCTCTATTCCAATTCTCTAACCACTCTCCATTCCCGTCTCTAATACTAATTTTAAACTTTTTCACCGGAGAAAACCTAAATCTCCGAAGATGGAGTTTGATCGCTACTCGAACCACAGAGGCAATAATACCGTTATGGGAAGATATTGAAATCGATGAACTGTACCTTAAGAAACGGAAGCAGAAGGAGATTTGAAATGAGTCTACAAGCTTCGTCTTCCTGATAATGGTTGGGCGAAAATGGCGACTGGGTTTTCATCGCCATGGTTGGGCAAAAATGGCGATTTGATTTTGATTTTGTGGACTCATCGCTCCGATATCCGGACTGTTGTCTCATCGCTAGGTTTAGCGTTCCGACTGCGCCAATTTCTTCCTTTTCCTCCTCCAATTCACTTCGTTTTCTGAACAACTCCTCTTGCGACGCCATAGAAACGCACTTCCTTCACAGACGTGATCGCTCTTGATCAGAGAGAATCTTTCACAACGGCTATTTTTTAAAGAGAGACTAATAAAAAGCCATTATTCATCGTAGGTATGGGGCCGTTAGTTTAGGCCCAATAGCTATTATTTTCTATTTTCGTAATTTTGATCGCTCAAAAAAAAATTTCAATTGTTTAAAACTCACCTATAATGTTTGTTATTTTGACGAACGTTTTGCAGGATCATTGTGAATTTTTACTATCTGAGATAGATAGAAAATAGGTTTTAAGAGAATCAGATTTTTTTTATCGGTTGACTAATTTAATATTTCTAAGAAGTGTCAAATGGTTGAATTTTTCCTAATATAATTCATCTCTCATATGTTTATATTTTAAATGGGTAAAATCATAGACATTGATTACCTCCTCGAGTTTTGATTCGGTCGTTGACACTCGAGGGCATAAAAGTAAAAAAAAACACACAAGAAATAATACATATACAAATTCCAGATGGAATATTCGAAAGAACAGAGCAACACCAGAAAGGGGGATGACACATGCCTCCATCGGATCTTTGCTTTCTTGAGTCCAAAATTATTCAAATATTTGGGAAGAAGACAAAACAAAAGAGCCTCTTGTCTCGAACGAACCAGCCATTCTTAAGATTTTCCGACAATTCTTCACCCGAGAAAAATATGGAGTTTGAGGGAGCGAGAGAGACGAACATGGAGGAAGAAGAAGAAGCCGTGGTGGAGGAGAGAATATACGTTGCACTAGGGAGAGAAACAGCGAAGAACAAGTCAAATCTCGCCTGGGCAATAGATAACTCCGAAGGGAACAAGATCTGTATCGTTCTTGTGCATCAACCTGCTCAGATGATCCCTGTCTGTAAGTTTTGTTCCTCTCACTCCAAAAACTCCATAAATCCAGATCTTTCAAATGGCTTTAGTCTAAATTCAATGGCTATGACACGAAACAGAGCTACAAGATTTTTCACTTTTAATAAGTCATCTTTCGTTTGGTTACTTCCGCAGTGGGTACCAAATTCGATGCTGCAACAGTAGATGAGGAATTAGTAAGAGCATACAGAGAAAAACAAAAGGCGAAAACAGAGAAGATCCTTGAAGTGTACCTTGGATTTTGCCGCCACAAAGGGGTACAATTACTATACATATACTTTATGCGACATGAGATTTTCCGCCATTTCTAAGAGGAGATTGGTTTTGCAGGTCCAAGCCGAGAAGCTGTGTGTTGAGATGGACTCGATCGAGAAGGGAATTTTGCAGATGATTTCTGAGAAGAGAGTCAGGAAGTTCATAATGGGAGCAGCTGCAGACAAACACTATTCAACGTATTGTGTCCTTAAGGCTTCCCCAGGCTTTTGTGTTAACCTGTTTCTTTTTACCCATCTCGAATTTGACATTGGTGGTGATCAATCAATATGCAGGAAAATGGAGGATTTGAGGTCAAGGAAAGCCATCTTCATCTGCCAACATGCATCAGCGACTTGTCATATACGGTTTCTCTGCAGAGGACATCTCATCCACACAAGGTTCAAGCCAGAATCCTCTTTTCCATAGCTGTATAAAAACATCAGATGATGGATGCTTTGTTACTGATAAATATCTGTGTGCAAACAATGCAGGGAAGCTAGAATGGATGAAGTCAGAGCTCTCTCAGCTCTATTATCTGACTTTCAGCGGCTTGTGTCCTCAAAAAGTAGCACCAATTCAGAAATGCAGAGTGGAAGAAGTTCAAAGGGGAAAAGCGAGTGGGAGGAAGGTGAGGAGGAGGAAGAGAAAACATCACGAACCAGCTCTTCTCGCTCTGCTGGTACACTGTCATACTTTGGAGGATCTGAGGCCTCATCAAGTGCAACAGAAGAGAAATCAATCCGCTCATCTCCTCCATCTTTACCTGTAAGCCCTGCGATCCCTGAATAAGAGAGAATGCTTTTTTTGTTTTTTTCAGTCCTTTGTATTTCACCTGGCTCGTGAGTTGCTTACGGTGCTGATCCACCAGTGCAGCGGGATGGGGCTGGGCATGATAACCTTCCTCATCAACTCCACCAAAGTCTGGCATAGGCTTGCCATACAAAACCATAAGCAGTGTGAGTGACCCCAACGTTACCTGAAAAGCTACAGAGCAAGAAGAAGAACAACAACAACATAAAGCTGCAAAGATCTTCATCACATCTGTATATACGATGTATGTAATATTTGTAAAACCAATTTGTGTGAGGGTGACTGATGCTTTGGGTTATTTTCTCTCCTTCTCATTTTGTGAGGCTTATGATGATAAAGACAATGGAATCATTTTCTTCATATTATTCTTGAGTTTAAGAAAATACAGAGATAACCAACAGATGAGCCCACCAACTAATTCATTTCACTAATTCTGAATTAGAAGAAATGGTATACAAAGGTTGGTAACTACAAAAAAAAACAGGTAAGAAAACTACATCCTACCTCTCGGACTAACGGAGAAGAAAGAAAGAAAGCAGATTGTGGAAAAAAAACAAGGCAAAATATTACAGGAAGACACATCAAACGCCGGAGACCGGAACACCACTCTCTCTAATTGCTTACATTCTAACTGTGGGGATCTCACCAAAACTGTTCCAGCCATTGGGCTAGCGTTTTCAGCTTTATTTGTGTCCTGCAGCTGGACCTTCAAATTTCAAAACGGAGGCAAACCAAACCAAACTCAATACGGCGTATGTATACGTCTAAAACCGGCAAGTCACTCAGTTCAACATCACATTGTGGCTTTTGATACATTGTTAACATTAAATGCAAAGATCTACCCTGAAAAAAAAGGGTTATCGTGTACCTGTCAATCGCCTTGTAGTCCCATTGCCGTTTATGGAAAAGTGCACGGGCTGTCTTTCTTGTCCTAATGATAGAACCCAACTAGAGTTCAATCTCCGAGCAAAATCTTCTACTTCTCTGTATAAACATGAGGTTCATTCACCATTTATTATTTAGACTAATTGGCTGTGCAACTTGATGTAGATGTAAATATAGGAATTGTGAGTCTATAGAGTCACAGGAGATTACTAGAAGCAAGGTTCAACAAACATTGAATAGTTTAAATTAACAAGTGATACATACCTGTCAAGCATTTCCCTTAAAACAGGATCAATTTCATCATCTATATAGCCATCTTCAAACTCAGCCTTTGGTGTAAATATGTCATCTTCCACACTAAGTAAGTTAGATAACCCTCCCAAGCTAGACGCAGTCTCGTCAACAATTTGAGCACTTCGTTGTTTGGAATGCAAATTATGTGACTCCTAAGCAGAAGGTACACACTCTCAGAAACTTGATTATTAACAACCAGGAGCAATCAGAGAGAAACTAGTTTAAACCTTCTTGGAAGCTTCACATGTTCCATTTGATGTACCATTCTTATGCTCCTTCCTTTTCTTGTTCTTCTTTTTGTTCTTGGAAGTCTTTACCACCTTGGGATCTGCAAAACATAATTTTCCTTACCTCCAATGAGAGCTTCAAAAGAAATTGGAACAGAGAAAATAGAAGACTAATAAGAAACACTGACACAAACTCGCGCAGCAAATATCTCAATCATGTAAGCATCAAAATAGGCTCAACACATGGACCAATATGTGGTACCATCGACATGGAATTGGACAACCGGAAGCAGAAAAAGAAAAAGGAACGTAACATAAAGGAGAGATTTGAAGATAAAAAAAATAGTATAAACTCAAAGAAGAGTACCTCTGCCATTAATAAACGATAAAAGGTCATCCACAGAACGCTCGTCAACACGTTCTTCAACCTCTATACTCTGAGACATGGAAATACCCATAAAATATAAAACTAGTGCAATTAATCAATCTTACAAACTATGTTCCTACTTTAATTTCGTAAAATGCTAAAACACACCTTAAGTTTCTCTCGTTCTTTCAATTCCTTTCTTTTCTTTGCATACAATCTATTCAACAGTCGAATACGTGGATCATCCATTGTGTTCTTCAGAGGCTCTAATTTCTCTTCCTGGTAAATCATAAAAAAAAGGGCTAAGATAAAGAAGAAGATGGCAATGATACATCGTTAAAAGAGATGATATTGAGCACTACATGCCTCAGTAAGGTCGTCAGGCAAATGAAATATTTCGCGTATCTCCTCAGGGGTTTTCCCCTCAATAATCCGTGCAAGCGCACGGCTAGTAAGATCAACCAAAGGCCTCAACTGCAAACTGTCAGCGGCTGAGGTCAACTCACAGAGCCTCTTTGTATCCATCCGGATGAATTTTTCATCGTAAACTTTACGTTCCTAAAGAGTAACAAACAAAAACTATTACAAAAACGGCATACAATTAATCAACATGTCACCATTTGTTTCCAATTTTAAAGACCTCGAGTAAACCTTATTTGAACGTCCAGGTACTTGATGAAATCTGCAGTAATCAAAAATCAGGCTTAACATGGCAGGATTGACTCGCTGTGGAAGAGATATCGCATAGTTCTTCGAAGATCCAGCACCCTTCTGGAGCACCTCTTGACATATCATGGGACAGAACATTGCAACCTCTTGTTCTACTTGTTGTATTGATCCATCAGCAGTTTCAAGCCATATATAAGATTTCATCATCTGTGTTGATGCCACAGAAACAAAAAAAGTAATTCAGTTTTGGTCCTAGGTAAAAGTAAATCAACTAGCCATTAAAAACTAATCGTTCTAGTGCATTTAACAGACTCTAACATTCGTATCCTTCACTAAAAACTAGTTGAGCCATGAGACAACTAGCAAAGTCCAATAAAGTTACAGTAATAAAGCTTACCTCTGGTTTAATAATGGCCATATCACCTTCTGACATTAATTCGAAGACCCAGTCTTCGTGTATTAAGCTCCTTAAGATAATAACTTGTTACACTGCCAAGTGCCTATAAGTAGAGCAGTCCCCACAATACAAAGTATTTTTAATTTTCTTCTCTTGAAGCTTCTCAACTCTGCAACTTGCACACCAAGTAGAAAAGTTTCCAGGTCAATGAGCAATGAGCTCAGACAGCAATCTCAAGCAGTTTAATGATGGTAAGAGAGAAGAAAAGGAGTAAATGATATCACTGATCATATTTGAAAATTAATTTTGGAAATGCTTCACCATAAAAAAGAACATACTAATCACTTGGAAATCTTACTTAGAATCTGGCAAATAATCAACATGCATTTACACGAAGTCTAAATTAGCATTTTCAGTTCAAGGAATCAGAATCGATTCAGCTCTCACTAGTTTTTTTCTGCATAATAAGTTTCCCTTGAATGCGAAAAGGCAACTTCGCCGAAAACCCTAAGCTCAAAAGCAAACCGAACGCTGAAACGAATACTAAAAAGAAAAATGAAACAAAAGACAGAGGTGCCAAAGTAAAAGTGGATACAATGGAGAGTGAGATAAGAGAGGAATAAGAACAGAGAGAAAGAACATTCAAACTACCAAACCATATGATCAAACAATCAGGCGCGTAGAGAGATACCAACAATGGAGAATCACAATGAATAAAAATAAAAATAGATGCACGAATACAGGCGTGTCGTACCTTACAACAGGAAGAGGTAATGACTGTCGACGGCGGAGGAGATGATTGAATCTGGCGGAGGAGAGAACGGCGACGGCGGCGGCAGAACAGACCAAGAGAGAGGAGCGGATAAGAGAGAGAAAGAAGGGCTAATATTTTGGGGTTTTTTTTTATAATTAAGTTCTCACGCGCACACACACAGAAAAGAAAAAAAAAGAGAGCGAGAAAAATGGAGCGATCAGAGCCACGTGTACGAGACGTGATGGCTCATGGCTCGAGAAGGTTAAACACGGAAATAGAAACTTAGGTTTAGTTAAGTTTGTGGTTGATGGAGTCGGTGAGGCTCTAGAAACTGGGTGTGGGTGGCTCAATCGCTGTCTTGACTTTCGTTTTTTGTCTTTTCAAAATTATTGTATATTTAATTTATTTTTTTCAGGATATTTATATATATATACACAAAGAAAAAAAAAGCCAGGCCCGCCATTAAAAGAACAGGCTCTTGTGTGGAACTCTATGAGCTTGAGCCCGTATTCTGGCCCAATTATTGGCCACAAGCTAAGGATTTTCTCAAGCTAGCTAACATAGTTTTCAATGTATCAGTATGATATGATTATTTTGTTTGACTAATCATCCTTGTAATAAAATGCCAATAATTAAATTCTTGGAAGAGAATTTTGGTTTAGAAATACTCGAAACAAATCAAAGCATGCTGATACATGGAAAACCATAGTTTTTGCTTTTCGGTTAGGGGGTTTTCGATTTTAAAACAGGGGATAAAAAGTTTTACAAAGCCTAATGACTTAATATGGCTAGCCTCAAAATAATACAATGCGGAAACCCAAAAAGTATATTAATTGGGAAAGCCCAATACTGGAATCTAAAAGGAAACCCAATTCAATAAATATTAAGGTCATCTGTTTTTTATTTTATTTTTTAATTTAGCAATAACTTATAAGCAACTCGATGTCCATGTGATTTTATGTTTTTTTTAATTGAATAAATATTAAGGTCATCTGTTTTTTATTTAGCTGCAACGTATATCAATGGGAACTGCTGTATAAGAAAATTTTGTGAGATTAATAGTAATCCTAATTAACAGAGGCGATGGGATCGTGACGCATTGGGGAGAGCAATGCAATCATGAATAGCAAACAGCAAATAGAAATACTCACGGAAAAGGACAAATGTCACTATATGAATGGTCGGTTCGGATATGTAAGGCGCCGGCATTACGTGACGCACCACGTGTCTTATCATCGATGAATTGGACGGCTATAAATAATTGAACAGAAGGTTCAAAAACATTCTACAGATTCCTTTTTAGTCTCTTTACCTTTTGGGTCGGTCTCTTTTTAAGTGGTCAGAGATTTTAGGTGATGTTTTCAACACTTTGTTTAAAAATGCAAATGTAAATTTTAATTTTGAGAGACTATCTTTGTTTAGCCTTTTTAAAACTCTAATTCAACTAATAAGAAATTAGTTTACAAGTAATCCCTTTTTGAGAAACTACCTTGGAAATTTTTCGTCTAGTTTTAACTTTTAAGCCTTGAACTCGCTAAGTATGGTTAATAATAATAACAGTGTAAAATTAAGGAGTACCAAGATGGCCTGAGGATGCTTCTACAGAATGCTACCACTGGCCCATTTCAAAAATAGTATGGCAATTTGCAACAAATAATGTTTTTGTTTTTGTTTTCATCAACCTTGTCTTTCCTATTTGGCAAATAGTACACTATCACTCTGACCATAAGATTAGAAAATTTATTTAATTATAAATTAGGATTATGTTTGATAGCAGAATAAGTTTCAATTGTGGTTTCTAAGTATTTCTATGCACTTGTTACAATTCCTAATTGTGATTAGACCGGTCATGAGGAGATTTAAGATAACACACACAGTAACAAGTTTTTCTTTATATATGGAAGAATTCCAGAATTATCAACCATAAGAATGATGCATAATGTATGTGCATGATGGTGTGAGGCCATATTCATATGTTCTTATCTTCGTAAGCGCCAGATCATCTAAACTGGACAACTTTTTTTATTTTAATTCCCTTTTCTTTATGTTTTGTTCCTAGGCTCATAGCAATGCGACGGTAGCAGTTAGTAACTAAACAATTATTTAGTGACAATCATGAGGAATTTTTTTAAACAAACGACATTGATCTATCTTATTTTCCATACATTTTCTTAAACCACCTGTATTAGTATATTTTAACCATTTTTTAAACTACAAAATAGCTGGAATGGAGCACTCGAAACTCTGTCCAAACGCTTAATTTATCACTGACCCAATAATACGTTTTTATTATTAGCATGATGATTACTACTCAAGATAACATTAACAATTTTAATGTGTTATTGTCAATTTGTCATCGTCTCTTTATTTTATTTCGGCCATTTTCTCTGCATTATCTTCCAACCTGTATAAAACACGCCACTCCACTTCTCGAATTCACCACAACACTCGGAGAAGAAAACCAAAGCCAAAGCTACTACTATACAGTTGACAGAACCGGAAATGGAAGGCAAGGAAGAAGACGTTAGGGTTGGAGCTAACAAGTTCCCGGAGAGACAACCAATCGGGACTTCGGCTCAGAGCGACAAGGACTACAAGGAGCCACCGCCGGCGCCGTTTTTCGAGCCTGGCGAGCTTTCTTCATGGTCCTTCTGGCGAGCCGGTATCGCCGAGTTCATCGCTACTTTCCTCTTCCTCTACATCACTGTTCTGACCGTCATGGGAGTCAAGAGGTCGCCGAATATGTGTGCTTCCGTCGGAATCCAAGGAATCGCTTGGGCTTTCGGTGGTATGATCTTCGCCCTAGTCTACTGCACCGCTGGTATCTCCGGTAAGTCTCACTCTGCTTCTCCTTCTCCGTTGCAATCTCTTAATCCGATTCGTCTGTTTCTGATTTGTTTTCTTCATGAAACTCCCAGGTGGACACATCAACCCAGCGGTTACTTTCGGTTTGTTCTTAGCCAGGAAGCTGTCTCTCACCAGAGCTGTGTACTACATAGTGATGCAGTGTTTGGGAGCCATATGCGGAGCCGGTGTGGTGAAAGGGTTCCAGCCAAAGCAATACCAGGCTCTAGGAGGAGGAGCCAACACCGTGGCTCACGGCTACACCAAAGGAAGTGGTCTTGGAGCTGAGATCATCGGCACGTTCGTCCTCGTCTACACGGTCTTCTCAGCGACTGATGCCAAGAGAAACGCCCGTGACTCTCATGTCCCCGTAAGTACACGATTTCAATTCATAGCTGCTAACAGATTCTAGAGATTGTTGCTTATGGAGTTATTATTGTAACAATCGTGTGCAGATTCTTGCACCGCTCCCAATAGGGTTTGCGGTTTTCTTGGTTCACTTAGCGACCATCCCAATCACTGGCACAGGCATCAACCCAGCAAGAAGCCTTGGAGCTGCCATCATCTACAACAAAGACCATTCCTGGGACGACCACGTGAGTTTCCTCCACAAGCTAATATATATTAATAATAATATTTTTCTCTGAGGATTTTGGTTTTTTTTTTGGCCTTTTCCAGTGGGTGTTTTGGGTTGGGCCATTCATTGGGGCTGCACTTGCTGCTCTTTACCACGTGATTGTCATCAGAGCCATCCCCTTCAAGTCCAGAAACTAAGTTAAAAACAAGACATCAAGTGAAGTCCTCTTTGGTTTCTGCTCTATGTGTGTAATGTATTGACGTATGTGCCCTTTTCTATGCCTAATGCAATACTTGTAATTGAAAAACTACTCGTGTTACTTGGAAATTATGAAAGTTCTATTTATCAAAGGTGGTTTAATCTGGAATTTCGATAGCCGGTTCGGTTTAAACTTTTATCAGGTTCAGCGTCGCTTTCGCTTTTTTTTTTATTTTTCAGGTCAAAATTGGTTTATTTTTGAACGTGCAGTGTCAACCTCACCTGCTACGCCTAAATCCTAATTAAATCCAGACAAAAACAGTAAAACATTAAGAAAGTGGTCCATTTTGTCACATATTTTTTAACAAACCACGAAGATTCCTTGGCCGATAATTAATTTAACCGAATAAGAAAAGAAGTTGGAATTTGCAAGAAATAGACGTAAATAATTGACTGTAATGTAAAGTGAAAGATGGCGAGTTTGAGTACAACTCTGACAAGGACCCTTCACTTACGCCAATTTTTAGTTATTTTTTACGTTCTCCCAACAGTCAACTTGTCTTTGATAAGTCACCAAAACATTTTAATACTAAAAGGTAATTACAATAATTTGGGCCAAAAAGCGAATATTAACAATTTAACATCCAATGAGAATTGAGTAAAAACGAAAATCGTATAATCGAATGTAAAAGATTCGTCTTGTATTCGCCCCCAAGGACTTAGCATTTATACACTATTATACTTATTCACTAAAATGTGTTTCGATGATACAATGTCTTTGAATGATACTGCAATGTACTTAGATTCAGAGCATCTCCAACAATTAATTGCTTCAAGAAGGTATTTAGTCAATATTATATAATTAAACTTAAAATAGAAAAGAAGTAAATTAATATAATAATTATACATAAGTTGTTGAAGTGTGAAACGTATCTTTGGCTACAATTAGAATGCCTTTTTATAGAGTAGATTTATTGAAACAATTTTATCTCTATTTTTTGAATGGAAAAGAAAAACAACTTTCTTAAAAAATTTATTCATTTCATTCCACTTCTCAAATGTAAAAGAATAAATGGGATAAATAGAGTTCACTAATACTTCAAATTTCATTTCATAGTATTAATTTTCATCCCATTCAATTTATTATCATTCTTTTTAAATAATGTTTTGTCTCTTTCCTCGGACTTAGCGCCTTTTAAATAATCGTTTGCCTCAGCGTTTATTCTCCACCATCCGCTCGTCTTCTCCTACTCCACTGTCTCTCTTCTAAAATAATAAGCGAAATATACTTTTGCTCGAGTCTCTCTCTCTCTCTCTCAACTTGGTTTGGTTTTTGCTCTGTTTAGTCACAAATGGCTACTGTTTCGAGGATGTTGCTGAAGAGAGAGACGATCCCTCGCATAAGCCAAACCACGAGGAAGCTCTTCTCCACCGATGGATCTCCTTCTTTCCTTGACAGACTCAGAAATCTTCCCAAAGATTTCCCCGCCACTAACGCCAAACGCGATGCCTCTCTGGTAAAAGCTTTAAAATCCCCGATCTTCTTTCTTCTTTCTTCTGTCTTCTTCCGACGTCGATTGATCAAATCCGTCTGTGTTAACTGTAGCTCATCGGAAGAACTCCTCTCGTGTTTCTCAACAAAGTCACTGAAGGATGCGAAGCTTACATTGTAGCCAAGCAAGAACATTTCCAGCCTACGTGTAGCGTCAAAGACAGGTGATTGTCAAAAATCTCGAATCTTCAAGTCAATGAACCCAAATTTAAGTGATTTAATACTTAATTCCTTGAAAATCATAAGTAGAAAAGTGTTGATTTTTGTTTGGTTTTGTCGTCTCCAGACCAGCTTTAGCCATGATTCTAGATGCAGAGAAGAGAGAACTTATCACCCCTGGAAAAGTAATCTGCTTTTTTCTATTATTACATATCTAAATCTCAAATTAACAGTGTCTTAACCGATCCTTGTCTTTTCAGACAACCTTGATAGAGCCCACTTCAGGAAACATGGGAATAAGTTTGGCATTCATGGCGGCTTTGAAAGGGTACAGAATTATAATGACGATGCCTTCCTACACCAGCTTGGAGAGGAGAGTGACGATGAGATCCTTTGGTGCAGAGCTTGTCCTCACTGATCCAGCCAAAGGAATGGGTGGAACCGTTAAGAAAGCTTATGACCTCCTTGAGAATACTCCTGATGCTCATATGCTGCAACAGTTTGCTAATCCAGCAAACACTAAGGTACTTAAAAAGTTAAAAAGATCCCCTGCATTTTGTATTCTCACACCCATGCGTGTTATATTGATGCAGATTCATTTTGATACTACTGGTCCTGAGATTTGGGAAGATACGCTTGGGAATGTTGATATCTTCGTGATGGGAATCGGCAGTGGAGGCACAGTCTCTGGTGTTGGTCAATACCTTAAATCTAAAAACCCCAATGTCAAGGTGATTTGATTTAGGTTTCTGAAGATTATCTTGTGAATGTCGGAAAAAAAAAGAGATTGCTTTTGATCATTAATGTCTTGCAAAATGGTAGATATATGGAGTTGAGCCTGCTGAAAGTAACATACTCAACGGTGGCAAGCCAGGTGAGAATTTTGAATCTTTCCTAACAATTTCTCTGTTTATATCCTCTTTGATTCCTTGATTTTTTTTGCGGTTGCTGATGGTTTGAGTATTGAACAACTTTGAGTTAGGTCCACATGCTATCACAGGAAATGGGGTTGGATTTAAACCGGATATCTTGGATATGGATGTTATGGAGAGCGTTCTTGAGGTAATGTAACAATGCTTAAAGCTTCCATCTTTTTTAGCATTCTATCAACTTTTAAAAGCTTATGTTTTGAGAATAAACAGGTTAGTAGTGAGGATGCTATAAAGATGGCTAGAGAATTGGCTTTGAAAGAAGGTCTCATGGTGAGTGGTTTGGAGATTAATGAAATATAAACTAGAGTTTGGTTTTACTTTGTTTGTTTTCTGATTCTAACAATGGGAAGCTGATTTGTAGGTTGGGATATCATCGGGGGCTAACACTGTGGCAGCAATTAGGCTTGCGAAAATGCCAGAGAACAAAGGCAAACTCATTGTGGTAAGAAAGGAGAAAACAACTGCTCTTGGGTTTTTTTTTTTGTTTTGATCTGTGTTGTGATTTTTGATCGGACGGTGGGAATTTGGTTTGGTTTTGGACAGACGGTTCATGCGAGTTTTGGAGAGAGATACCTGTCGTCGGTTCTGTTTGATGAGCTGAGGAAAGAAGCAGAAGAGATGAAGCCAGTTTCAGTGGACTGATTTGGTTTTGTTTGGTTTGATGAAGATCTCATCTTCGGAGCAAACATTTTCAAAAAAGACAAGCGCACCCTAATAAAAGTGTCATAAGTAAAATGTTTGTTTTATATTAATGTTTGGATTCTTGAAGAATAATTATGTTAATGTTGGATACTGGAAATAAAAATTAAAAATGCATTTTCTGGTTCACAAAGAGATTTTGTGCTGATTAATTGATTGGTTTTTATGAAACCAAATAATAATTTTTGTTGTATAAGAGAAAATAACCGTTACTCTTTTTCTCTTTTAAAAGAAACAAAACGTTTTATAAATTTATTATTAGCAGCATTGACTATCAAATAAGCGGCATAATACTACTAACAACGACTATTGACCAATGGCAGCACTACAGAATCAAACATTTTGACCAGATAAAGAAAATAATCCAAATTTTGTAAAAGCGAATATTTGCCCTCGTGGCAGCAGATCCAACGGCCAGAAAACGATCTTATGTGCTTATGAAATGTAGAAGCCACCTGTCCATTATGTAACTGCTCTGGTCATATTCAAAACATGAACTTTCAGAAGAAACCTTAAAAACAAACCGTCGGAAAAATCTCCGGCGAAAAACCCGTTGCGACGAGGTAAAGAGGATGGGGGTAATTGATTTGATCACTAGGGTTGATTCCATCTGTAAGAAGTACGAGAAGTATGACGTCGATAAACAGAGAGAAGCTAATATTTCCGGCGACGATGCTTTCGCTCGCCTCTACTCCGCCGTTGAATCTGCTCTCGAAGCCGTTCTTCAGGTTCGATTAGATATTCACAGTTTCGTTCGTATCTGTCTATTTTTTATATATATATATATATGTTGTCACCGTAAGATGCTGAGAAACTTTATGATAGAAAACGGAGGATTTGTCGTCTGAGACGAGTAGAGCGAAAGCTGTGGCGATGAGCGCGGAGATTCGAAGAACGAAAGCTCGATTGATTGAAGCCATTCCAAAGCTCCAGAGACTGTCTCTCAAAAAGGTCCTTCTTTCTCTTGACCTAATTTTTTGACTGAGATCAAAAGGATATGTTTCAAAATATTGATGATTTGATTCTTTTGTGTATTGTTGGTGAGATGTTTTGTACAACTGATGATAAGAAAAGATCATTTTTTTCAGGTCAAAGGGCTCTCAAAGGAAGAGCTTGATGCTAGAAACGATTTGGTTTTGTCATTGAGAGATAAGATTGAGGCAATACCAGAAGCCTCTGCTCCTGTAGTAAATGGTTGGGCAGCTTCAACATCATACTCGAACATCAGATTCGATACGAGTGTCTCGGGTATAATATAGTCTCCTCTGTTGTTTCTTTCCTTATAACTGACTCTGCATAATAAGAACTCGTTCAATTGTATCAGATCACAGAATCGTTGGTGGATATTTCCAGCGTACTGAAGAGTCTGATCAGTTTGAACAAGAGTATGAGACGAGAAGAATAAAACAGGCAAGTTTGTGTGTGTGTGTGTGCATATTATCATTTGGTCTAATGATCAAAGAGTCTTAACTAGTGTGGAAGCAGGATCAAGGATTGGATTTCATAGCTGAAGGATTGGATACACTCAAGAATATGGCTCAGGACATCAATGAGGTTCACCATTGTTTTTTTTTTTTTTCTGGTTCCGTTTATTGATCACATCGTAGTGATTCTTCTCTTACTGCTAACATTACATTACAGGAACTTGATAGACAAGAACCACTCATGGATGAAATGGATACAAAGGTTAATTCAACACTTGTCTTTACTTGATCGTTTTATTTCTTTAACGATGTCAATTTTTTTATTTTTTTTTACCTTTTCTTGATTTGTTATATGTGATATATCATTCAGATTGACAAGGCAGCTACTGACTTGAAAAGCACCAATGTGAGGCTCAAGGATACTGTAACAAAGGTGATTACTCACACATTCCTCTGAACTCGAGATGGAGACCAATCTAATTTGATGTAAACTATAAGCTCATTTGGATTCTATTTGATTACAGCTGAGATCTAGCCGAAACTTCTGCATAGACATCATCCTCTTATGCATAATCTTGGGAATCGGTGCCTTCATTTACAAGTAACCTCCTTTTTCCGGTTACTCTTGAGACTATAGATTTGGTACTGTACACTTGAAATATTGCTTCAACTTCCTCTTCTCAATCTGTGTGTTTTGTAGCTCGGTGAAGTGAAAAGCTGGTAATGCCTGAGACGCTATATATACATACGCATAGAAGCATGTTTATGTTTTAGAGTGAAAACAGAGAAGCTTCTTCAGTTTCCATCTGTCTATTATGCAGCCATATATTTTTATGTCGGCTAAAACTTAATCTATTTCTATCGTTTTATTTGAAAAGAAAAACATTAATCTAACCAAAGATTATAGCTTTCAGTTATTCATGTTCGTAAACCTAAAAAAAGAGGCCAAATACTTGTTAGCAAGACGATAGCAATACTGCATTTAATATGACTTGGAGGTAGTTGTCCAACCATGTTTATACTGTATATACTAGAGTCTAGAGATACTGTCAACGCATTATAAATATATTTATGGTGCTTGTGCATGTGTATACGTATGATACCGTACGTGGGCTATGAGTCTATACAAGCTAACTCAGATTGGTTTCTTGTTACTGATTGATAGGTCTATTAGAAAAAGTAGATTCTCTAGTACATCAAATCTAGAGCAGACATGATATAAGATGATGGTGATTTGTAATAGTCATATTTTCAATCATTACCCAAATAGTAAGTGCCACTTGACCCATTTTTAACCTACCCACTTCAAATATCTTCCTCTACATTGAATTGATGAAAGCATCTCTTCTCTCTACCAAATTTTCAATCACATGTGCCGTCAAATGCTATTTATAAACTTACGTATACGGATTCTCAGTTATAAAGAAGGATTCCAGAACATTAGGAATGTGATTCAGTTTTTCATATTATTTTTTTAGGTTTTGATTATTTATTTAAAATTCTTTTGTGTTTATGAGAAAAATAAGAATGTTCCGGAATTAATATTTCGGGGATTAGCTTTATAAGCTCTTACACACTCCACAAATTACTATAGTTACATACAGTCACAGATAAACATAGGCATCTATTTCCATTTTAGATTCGGTCTTTAGTTTTCAACACGATTTAGATTCAGTACGAATCGGTTTAACCACAAATGCCATAATCAGAATTATAATTAATAAATCAGAAATGGTCGGATTTCGAGGTTTTTGCTATATTTTTATTGAATTTGAAATTGACTGGTCGATCTGCAGACCAAGCATGTTACCAGATTCTGCCTTTACGCATTACCATGATCCATTGAATTTAGCTCCTTTTGGTTAGTTCTGAAGATAAAGGTGAGACTGAATTTAAAAGTAGTTTTTGCCATAATTACGACTTTTTTTTTTACAGATGTGGTCACTGGTTTGCTGGTCACTGGTCACTGGTCAGAGACAAGTACTGACAAGATCTTAACTACTCCCGGTTAAAAAGTTATTAATGTATTGATAACTCACAGAAATTAACTAAAACAGCATAAGTTACTATAAGTGGAAATTTAAGGTCATAACTTTCAATCTGCAAATAAAATCACATGATTGGATGAAGAAAATACATAGATAGGTGGTTTAAAATCTGGAGTATAGATAGTATTCATATCTTTAATATTTCCTTTGTTTAGGCTTGGTTTTCCGGATATTATTAGCATTTAATTCAAAATTTTGAGTTTGGTTCATTTCATTGCATTTTTCAGACAAATCATCTCTATCCGAGTTTTTTATTCAGAAAAGGAATTAAACTACTTTATTTTTTTGTTGGTAATGTTTATAGCTCAATCTCATTCATGTGTTTATATGCACACATAAAAGCGTGGCAAATCTAATGTTAGCAAGGGGTGAAAGAAGCAAATTTAAAAGTACAGGGGTGAAAAGTCAAAACAAAAAAGATACAAGGGTGGAGCACAAAAGAAGCGGTCTCTATTATAATTCCGTGACGGGACAGTACTCACTGTGAAGATCGTGAACACCGGAAGCAGCCCATAGCCGTTGATTAAACTCCTCTTGCATCTCATCTGGAACGAACGGCGTTCTACAAAGAGGACACGTCTTCTGATCGTGATCCATCCAACGGTCGAGACAGCTCCGGTGGAATATATGTCTGCAATTTCTCAGCCACCGGATCTCTTGCTCTCCTTCGAACTCGTAGAGGCAAACGGCGCAGTTTTCCGGCAGATCTTCGCCGGAATTGGTCAGCTCTTCGAATTTGATAACCGGTAGGATCTCGCGGATTAAGAGGGCGGAGAAAGGCGAGCGGAGTTCGGGTATTCGGGTAGGGTATGGTGTGTAATCGGGCCAGCTTTGATCCATTTCGAGGAAATCTGAGAGGCCTAAGAAGCGGAAGAGAGAGAAGACGATGGTTCTGATGAAACCGAGAATCGAAAGCGTTTGTACGAAGAGCTTCGGGAGAAAAACCTCCGTGTAGCCTACGGGAAAGCCCATCGGAGCTAGGGTTTTTAATGTGAGAGAGAGAGAGAGAGAGAGAGAGAGAGAGAGAGAGTGAGCTCTGGTTTCTCTTTCTTCTTTTCCTTTTTTTTGTCTGTGTGATTTTTAAAGGTTGATTTTTTTAATATACAGAGAGTTTCATTTATAGATAGATGAGGAAGAAGAAAGAAGGTACATGATCCGTGTAAACGACGTCGTGTCAGGTAAGATCAGATTTTGATAGAGTTAGCTGACTGTGACGTTGGGTTACGTGGATTTACCAGTGAAGGGGAAAAAAAAAAAGTTGAAAATGCGAAAAGCAACAAAGGGAGCGAAGATTGGTCTGTGAGATGTGGCTCCGTCACCAACATTGTTGGACTATTTTAATTCGCTGCGTGCGTCTCTACTGTATTACCTTGTTTTGGAATATTAAACATCTGCAAGTTGCACGACGATCGGCACACGTGGTACGTGCGGGTTGATGGGAGATGTTGATGTGGATGTGGATTTTTTTGATTTTTATAAATGAAAGCACTGCATTTTTTAGATTTTTTATTGGGATTCGTTGTACATTATTAGTTTTTTTTTGTTTGCTTTGATTCGTTGGATATTACTACTAGGCAGTAAAAATGATCAAAAATCGGCTACGTTCTCGATATTAGGACAATTTTTACCGGAGCAAAAACAAAAAATATATATATATATTTTAAGGGTGATAATTTGATTAAGATCGTTAACTAGTGTCAGTATAGACAATACTGAACGGCTGAGCTTCGTTACGTGAATCACACGTCAATAAGAGGTATGATGCGTCGTCTCTATTAGCATTTACTGAGAATTTATTCCTTTTCCTTTTCCTTTTCTTGTTGCTTTCAATTTTTATTTTACTTGTTAACAAAGGATGGAATATAGAAGAAAAAAATACAAATGACTTCGTTATCACTTCTGCTACTGTACGTAGTTTAATTATTGTGCTAGACAATTCCGTCATAATAATTACCTTTTTCAACCAAACCAAAAAATGAAGTCATTATCGGTTGGAAACTTGTGTAAATATCATCAACAAATAAGATAGAAGCTTATTATCTCTCTATAAACTATTTTTTTTTATTTTTTTCATTACATTTGTTATGGCCTCATATGATATATATATATATATATATGACATTTAAAAGATGAAAAAAGAAACAATCAAAATGTGTTTGAAATGTATATATACAACTAACTTATATTTGGAAAATCATGAGAATATGTTATGAGATCGATATAAAATCTGAATGAAATCTATTGGTTACAAAAGAAAAAGGCATTAGGTCGAGTAAAACATGACAAAAGCAAAAGTTAAAAATGAAGAAAAGTAAAGAGAAACGAGAGAGTGCCAAGGGTGTGTGGGTCATGGAGGCTTTAAAGAGAGGGAATAGAGATGATTGATAAAGAAGACGAATCAACCTTATCTATAACCCTCTCAATTTCGAAAACGATATAAGTAATAACTATTAAGTATACATAAAATGAAGAATAATCATATATTTTTTTTAACTGAGTGGTGGGCCGGAGAAATATAGGAGACAAGTCGTCGGTGGCAATGATCCTTCCACCAACCGGCAATGGTTCATGGCTCAACTATGATCGGCCAAATGTCGTTTTTGCAGATAATTAATATGAAATTAGTTGTATGATCATCTAAAGTCGTATGTTAGAAATTAAGTGATTCTATGATATCGTAATCTAAAAGGGTACCAACAAAAATTTACATAACAAATAGTGCAAAAATACTTTTAATCATATATGTATTCCAGGAGACTCGGTGACACACAAAAACAACCATAGATAAATAAAAAGGTATGTGTTGAATTAACACTTTTCCCGCTGAAACCAACAATCTATAATGTCTTGCTATATGTTTTAGGAAACGTAAAAATTAATTATTCGTTAATACTATATATAGCCAGCAATATTTCTTCTTCTTTTGGTTTCCGGATATTACTCTATTAGTAGTAGCCTTTTAAAAGTTTCCACGAAACTCACAACGTTGTTTGAGCTCATTGGTGTTGTTATATTTAAAATTATTTAATGTCGCTCCGACAAGACGTATAGTACCATATCAACACATCAGTAGTAGTAGTAGTAGTGTATTTTACAAATTATTTACTTACACACTTCATTACATGATATAATGATGTATATACAATGTCGCGAAATCTAAACCAAACTTCTTTGATGTTAACTAGTCAACGACATACACGTTTTAATGTATATATTATACGACCAAAAACATGGAATTTGTCAATTAGCATCGGTCCAAAAAAGAAAAAAAAAAAGCTCTGAAACGATAAGGGAAACGAAAGAGGTATGGAGATTGGAGTGTTGTTTTGGAAGTGTTATAATGAGGCCGAGACAGTCACATGGCCCTATTTGCTTCTATGCCTTTCATTTCATCTCCCACACTTCTCTTTGTCCTGTCACCGTTTAATTTTGGTTACTCGCACCTTCCCTTTCTCTGGTCCCATCATGCATGATACGAATATACTTGATTGACTCTTTCTTGTTTTTTTCTTTTCTTTTATACTAATTTATACGATAAACCCCAATTTCACGATCCAATATTAATCTTAGATTTTAAATAATGTTTTGGTGGAATCTGAGGTTCAATCATTACTTTATTTTGTAATATATAAAAAAAAAGAAAACATTTACTTGATGAAAGTCACTCCAGTACAATTCATTTTTGTTATTGAAAAAAGGTACGATCAAATTTTAATTATTGGAGTTCATGTACTGATCATTCGATCTTTCATCAGTTAGCATTTTGATTTTGTTGTTTTTTTTTTTACTTAAACGGAATATGCACAGATAACATGATTTAAAATGGCGTTGCAATATTATATTACATGTGTAGCGTTGTAAATAAAGGAAAGATGAAAAGAAATTTAAACATCGCCAACATTTGTGTTCACTAATCAGTAATCGTACTAGTGCTTTTGTATTATGAATCACAGTTCTGTTTTCTATAAAGTAAGGGTAGTTTGGAAAAAGAAATGAATGTATATGAGTCGCTATAATAAGATTTTATCGATTGAACTAACGATGTTCATAGAAATCTAATAATTTTGCTAGTGAGTGTAGTAGTCTTTACATGTCTTTCTAGTACACGTCACATGGTACCATTTCATGTATTTTTGTCCTTTGACATTGGTACCAACTACCAACTCCATGTTTTGATTTTTGATTGTATTAGAAAAAAATGCATTTAATTTGTAGACGCCTATAAGGTAATTCGGGTCCCGAAATTATAAAAACCATCTCTTTTTATCGACGGCCCATTACTATGGGCTTTTATATTATTTTTGGGCCTAATCTTTTAACAGAGGACGAGCTGTGTTTGGTTCAAATAGAGAATCTAAGATATGGTGGGACCAAGGTTTGACGTGTCGACGAGGTTGACCAATGGGGAAACTCAGTGCGTTATCCGTAGAGATAATCAGATAAGCAGAATCTAGTTATGTCATCAAAGAGCTTTATAGATTAAACATCATTCATTCATTTCTTCTTCTCCTAACACTTTGAGACTTGAAGGTCAAAAACGTCGAGAGTAATGGCTTCTCTTTGCGCTTCTTCTGCCATCGCCGCCATTTCTTCTCCAAGGTAAGCCTCATCTCTTTCTATCTTCTTATCAATTGACATCATACCCTTTTAATATATAGCAAATGGCATTCAGATCCTCGTAATTAGGTTTGTTTACAAGACCAGGATAGTGTGATCCATTGATCGGAGCTTGTGATTTGTATTAGTAGTGACGTCTCTCTTGTATAATTCGAGTGTGTGGGTGTGAAATGTAAAAAAGAATAGTGATCAAATTAATCAGAACAATGATTTGCTATTTTTCTCTCTCTATGTTCCTAACACCGATCTCGACTAACGATATGATTTTATTAATGGTTGCTGTTGTTGAGGTTGTGACGAAAAAAATTAGATTTGTTATATTAATTGTATGAATATATGTGCAGTTTCTTGGGTGGGAAGAAACTGAGGCTGAAGACGAAGTTGAGTGTTCCAGCTGTTGCTAGGTCAGCTTCGTCGGTGCGGGCCGTCGCAGCGGATCCCGAGAGACCAATCTGGTTCCCCGGAAGCACTCCTCCAGAGTGGCTCGACGGTAGCCTCCCTGGTGACTTCGGATTTGATCCTCTTGGTCTTTGTGAGTTTGTTCTTCCTCCCTTATATGCTTTTAACCTAATTTATATATAAAAAAAAGAAATAGGTTTCATTTCGTAATTCTAACCGAAGATTGATAAACCCTACACGTGGCAGCATCTGACCCGGATAGTCTAAAGTGGAATGTACAAGCAGAGCTAGTCCACTGCCGATGGGCAATGCTAGGCGCCGCCGGGATATTCATCCCGGAGTTTCTAACAAAGATCGGAATCCTCAACACTCCGTCGTGGTACACGGCGGGAGAGCAAGAGTATTTCACGGACAAAACCACACTCTTCGTCGTTGAGCTAATCTTAATCGGATGGGCTGAGGGACGTAGATGGGCAGATATCATCAAGCCCGGTAGCGTCAACACCGACCCAATCTTCCCAAACAACAAGCTGACGGGCACAGACGTCGGGTACCCGGGTGGGTTATGGTTCGACCCGTTGGGTTGGGGATCCGGTAGCCCGGCTAAGTTGAAGGAGCTGAGGACCAAAGAGATCAAGAACGGAAGGTTGGCTATGTTGGCAGTGATGGGTGCTTGGTTCCAACACATCTACACTGGCACTGGTCCTATTGATAACCTTTTTGCACATCTCGCTGATCCTGGTCACGCCACTATCTTCGCTGTAAGTGCCATCCTAATCAGTTTTCGTTCTTTTTCTTTTATATATATATTTTGACGAGCTTAGTTAATGTGTGTTTTACAGGCTTTCACACCCAAGTGAGAGACGACCAAAAAGGGAGGATTTGAGATGAAGAATGCGTTTGTGTGATCATGTTTGTACAAATATCGTTTTTGAACTTAAAATGTTATGTATTTATATAAACTGTGGTCGAATGCAAATTAAATTAGGGTTCATCGTAACACACTACTCGTTTCCTAACCCAATGCTCGTAATCTCATTTCCAGATCTCGTGTTTACATATCATGCTATTTCTCTCTAGTCTAAAATTCTGATCACTATTTTTCTTTGTTAGAAACCTTTACTTTATTTTAAAGTCAAAGAAATGGCTATGATCAAAATTCATCCTAAAAAGGATGAGTAAAAGTCTGTAGAGTTAACTAATCAAATGTTGAAAAAAGAAAATCATTGCCAAAATATATCGAATTTGGACGAAAGGTAATTTACATACTTAGGGAGTACTTAATTACCAAATAGTTTTCCAATAGTCGAGGCCTGAGTGCTCGTAAGATTGTTTACCAAATAACTATAAGTAAAAAAAATGAAAAATAATTCATCAAAAATGTAACAAAAGATGGGCTAAGTTATACTATCACATATAAAGTGCACTACAAAGTGATGAATAGTTGGATTGAAATATAATAATGTCGTTGTTGGAGTAATTGATTAGTTCAAGTTATAATGATGGTGAAACTGTAAAAAGGTGATGGTGGATAGAGGTTGTTTTATTAGAAGGCCCATTGGGCTTATTGTTCTGTAGAGCCTTTACGGTAGTTCCGGTTTACTTGGGCAGGACTTTAACCGATTAGGTCCGTAAAATTGAAATCCGATCCATATCAACCCGGTCGGTTTACATTTTTTTTTGTTTGTTGTTTTTTTTTGCCAGCACTCTCCAATTTCTTCCATGCTCCGTTTATGGATCTGTGAGATCCATCTTCTTCCTCTCGTCGTGCGATTCTCCTTTTGCAACAAATGTGTCTATGATCTCTGTATATGAACGGAACCTCTAATTTCCTCTCCTCGGAATCAGATCCATTGTAGAGAGAGAGAGATACAGAGAAGGATTAGAGTTTCATCTTAGGAGAGGAAAAAAGGAGCTAAAGATGTATATGGCGTATGGATGGCCACAGGTGATCCCGCTAGAAGCGGGATCGTGTCCGTCTTCGCAGCGAATCGTGTACCTTAAGCTCGCCGGCCGGCAATTGCTGGTTGTTTCTCCGTCTCACTTGGAGCTTTGGGGTTCTTCTCAGGTGCTTAACCATCTCTGCATTTCGCCAGTGTGATTCGTAATCAGGGTCTAGCGTCACTTAGCTAATAGCTTCTTCTTTTTGAAAATTTCTGGAGTAGCAACGAGTAAGGCTGGGAAAGTACATGCGAGATGAGAAGTCGGTTCGAGAAGAAGGAGAGAATTTGCAAGCTGTGTGGAGTCCAGACTCCAAATTGATCGCTGTTCTTGTAAGTTCTTTAGTGTTCACTCTCTTTCCTTAGCTAACATCTGCTACTCTCTTAGTCTATCAATCACTATCCAGCTGAGAATTTGTTAATTTGGGAGACAGATAGTTCTTATGTGTAAAGATGAGGAAAAAAAGCATGTTTCCAATTTTGGAAAGCTTGATGATATGAGACATTCTTAAGTCTCTCCCATTTCAGTAGTATCTTGTTTGAATCACTTGATCAAGAGGCGTGAAGATGCTATGTCTTTATTTTCTGTATGTTCTTTTCACCATTTTTATCTTGTTTCTTGTTATCCATTTGATTTGCAGACATCATCATTCTTCCTTCATATATATAAGATTAAGTTTATGGATAAACGAATAAAAACTGGAGAGAGACAGCCCTCGGAGCTTTCTTTTGCCACCATATCTCTTTTGCTAAGCGAGCAGGTCCCTTTTGCTGGGGAGGACTTGTCTGTGTAAGTGCTTTTTCTGTACGTGTCTCTGCCGAGCCCAGCATTTACCCTATGAGTCCACACAGTAACCTTTTGGGATTAGAAATCTAAGGCGACTTCTTTAACTCTCTGCAGGAGCAATTTTGTGAGGGACAGCAAAACTATGCTTTTGGGACTCTCTGATGGATGTTTATATAGTATTTCCTGGAAAGGAGAGGTAATGTAGATCTGCTTCATTCTGCTTTTTTCTTGGGTGTTGGTCATTGAACCTTTTCTTAAATTTTGGAAATTTTACTCTGTATGCAGAACTCCTTATTTCAATTTTTGGTTGTCTTTGTAGTTTGGTGGAGCTTTCAGTATTGGTTCCCATCCTTCTGATAGCAACAATGATAGACTCTTGCCGTACACTCTCGGTAATGGTATAGTTTCTGGAGTAGCTTCAGCAACACTTGCGTCTGATGTTAAAATCTCAACAAAATCAGCTATCGTTCAGCTGGAACTCTGCACTCGTTCGAAGTTGTTGTTTGTGTTAAATTCTGATGGACAGCTAGTGGTATGCTCTGTGAATAAGAAAGGTTTGAAGTACACTGAGAGTATTAAAGCTGAGAAGAAGTTAGGTAGTGATGCTGTTTGTGCATCAGTGGCTTCAGAGCAACAAATTCTTGCTGTGGGCACAAGAAAAGGACTGGTGGAATTATACGATCTTTCACAATCGATGTCCCTCTTACGTACAGTTTCTTTGCATGACTGGGGGTAAGTAACTTACTGATCTATTCAAGATTTTCAATTTAAATTCTTGTGTTTCTTTCCTACTCTTTATATTTTTGGTATATTGTTGGTAATACTGTTTTGGAACTTGCAGGTATTCAGCGGATTACACTGGGCCTGTCAATAGCATTGCATGGACGCCTGATAATTCTGCTTTTGCAGTTGGGTGGAAGTTGAGAGGACTTGCAGTTTGGTCTGTTTCTGGATGTCGATTGATGTCAACAGTCCGCCAAATTGGACTTAGTTCTGCATCTTCCCCCAAAATTAACCAAGATTGTAAATATGAACCGCTGATGAATGGTACATCAGCCATCCAGTGGGATGAATATGGGTATAAACTCTTTGCGACAGAGGAGGCATCTTGTGATAGAATTCTTGCATTTTCGTTTGGGAAGTGTTGCTTAAACAGAGGAGTTTCCGGAAAAACTTATGTTCGTCAGGTGATGTATGGTGATGATAGATTGCTCATGGTTCAGGCGGAGGACACTGACGAGCTTAAGCTTTTACATCTAAAACTTCCAGTTGAGTATCAATACATATCCATTATCCCCTTTTGCTCCTTCGCTGTATCACTTCCTGAAGTAGATTTGTTATATGTTGCTTTCTTGGTCCAGGTTTCATATATTACCCAGAATTGGCCTGTTCAGCATGTGGCAGCTAGTGAGGATGGGAAATACTTAGCGGTTGCTGGTTTACATGGTCTTATTTTGTACGACATTAGATTTAAGAAATGGAGAGTATTCGGAGATGTCAGTCAGGAACAACAAATTCATTGCAAGGGTTTATTATGGTTGGGGAAGATTGTCGTAATCTGTAACTACATCGAAACTTCTGACACGTAAGGCCCAATCTATATCATCAGTTTCTGACTATACATCTTCAGTGGCTATATTGCTTTAATGTTTATAAAGAGAAAGTGTTAATTGCTAGAAATGTGTTTGCCACTCTTCCAGATTTTTTATTTAACATTATGGTGTATAGTATTTGTGGACGATTTGTCTTTTAAATGTTGTTCCATCTCACGTGTATGTTGTTGTTGATTATTGCAGATATGAACTGCTCTTCTACCCAAGATACCACCTTGATCAGAGCTCTTTACTTTGTCGTAAAGTACTGCTTGGCAAACCATTGGTGATGGATGTTTACCAGGATTACATTCTTGTATCTTATCTTCCGTTTATCATCCACATATACCATGCGAAAATATTTGGTGAATTGACACCTTCAAGCAAAGCAGAGCTACAGGTAATTACTTTTTCATTCCAAATTTATAAATTCTACTAAATGCGAACGCTTGAGTTGCGTTTCATGCACCTTAAAGTGATAAAATGACAAACAGCTTTCCACAGTACGAGAATTGTCAATCATGACTGCAAAGAGCCATCCAGCAGCAATGCGATTTGTTCCTGACCAGAACCCGAGAGAATCTGACTTGGATAATGATAATTTGTCTTCTGATTTGTCAGACAGAGAACCCTCAAGGTAATCACAAATAGAGTAGAACATCCGTTTCAGCCTATGCTGTCGTTCTAATTGCCTTTGTGGTCTCCATAGATGTCTTATACTGCGGGGAAATGGCGAGCTTTCACTTCTTGATATGGTTGATGGACGAGAGAGGGAACTTACAGACTCAGTGGAACTGTTTTGGGTGACATGTGGTCAATCAGAGGAGAAGACAAATCTCGTCGAGGAAGTATCTTGGCTAGATTATGGGCATCGAGGAATGCAGGAAAGTCTTCTGATTCACAGCTGCTTTCTAAGCCAACTTTCTTCTTTTTCTTTTACCCTATCGTACTTTCCTGATTTCATTTCACGCTGATTCCCTATAACAGGTTTGGTATCCTTCTCTAGGGGATGATCCTTTTATGCAAGAGGATTTCTTGCAGGTATGCATGCTAGTTGAATCCATTTTTATTCTGTCACAACAATCAATATTTGATGACACTGACACTCAAACACATCCCCTGTATAAAATTCTTACCTTTTTCACTGAACTTTCAACTCGAATGTGTTTTTTATATGTTCCATCCTTTAGTTGGATCCGGAGTTGGAATTTGATCGCGAGGTGTATCCCCTGGGACTTCTACCAAACGTGGGTGTCGTTGTTGGAGTTTCTCAGAGAATGTCTTTTTCTGCAAGCGCAGAGTTTCCGTGTTTTGAGCCTACACCCCAGTCTCAGACTATACTTCATTGCCTGCTCCGCCACCTCCTTCAGGTATTGTTGGTCCTGTCCTCAATTTTCTTTTGTTAAAATGGTTTTTCTCTCTGCCACTTTCATATCTCTGCCTTTATTCATTTTCTCCTTGTTGTGATTTTGTATTCTTCTCAGAATGTTATTCTCTTTTTCTCATATTGTGGACAGAGAGATAAAAATGAAGAAGCATTACTCTTAGCACAATTATCTGCAGAGAAGCCTCACTTCTCCCATTGCCTGGAGTGGCTTCTTTTTACTGTTTTTGATGCGGAAATTTCTAGGTATCCGATGCCTATCAATCTCTATTCTTTGTATTTCTACTCAACTTTCTTGTCTTGGTTCACTTAATTTAATTTTTTTCCAAATATGTGGCACGTTTTCAGGCCAAATTCAAACAGGAAGCAGATTTCAGAACCAGGACATCTTAAAAAGTTATCCCTTTTGAGAAAAGCCTGTGATTTGATAAAACATTTCCCGGAGTACTATGATGTGGTTGTGAATGTAGCCAGAAAAACCGATGCCCGTCACTGGGCTGATTTATTTTCTGCTGCTGGGATATCAACAACGTATGTTTTTCGCTGTCTTTGTTTTTGGCCTTTTTTTTTTTGTTTCTCACAGCACTTATGAAAGTAGGTTTGTTTACTGTGCCAGACAGCAGTTAGTAATTGCTAAGATGGCAAACTTCTCCGATCTTGTCTATTTTGTGTGGACTAAACTGTATTCTATGTTATGAAACTTGATATATTTTCTTTTGGCTCTAGATTATTTGAGGACTGCTTCCAGCGAAGATGGTATCGAACTGCAGCTTGCTATATACTTGTAAGACTCGGAAGTCCTTAACCCTTGAGTATGTTTTCTTAAGTACTGGTGTGTCAACAAAACCCAGTCTAGGCTAGTAGTAGTGCCAATCTTCATTTGAGCGCATGGAGTTACTATTATAGATCACTGTAGATATCTGTTAGGCTATGTTTCGAATCGCACACTAAAGTATAGAAATGGCGCAGGTGATTGCTAAACTAGAAGGTGCTGCTGTCAGTCAGTATTGCGCATTACGACTATTGCAGGTACTTTTGTCTGCGCCTTTGGAATTTATACCTTTTGACTCTTTTCTTGTCAATTTATTTAGTTCCTTCTGTTCATAAGACAAGTGCATTTGTACATTTGCAGGCGACACTTGATGAGTCCCTCTATGATCTTGCTGGAGAGCTAGTATGTATTCGGTGTTCTTGTTGTTTGTTTGAAATGGACAATTTAAAGCGTGAGTCCTGGGTAATGATGTTTGTCTCATATGCCAATTATGTCGTTAGGTGAGGTTCTTGCTAAGATCTGGAAGAGAAATTGAGCAGGCGCCAACAGAATCAGATACATTATCGCCTAAGCTTCTCGGGTTTCTTATCTTCGGTTCCAGCCACAAGAAGTCACCACTGGATAAAAGGTTGAAACTTACAACTATGATTCTGGTTTTTCATAATTGTAGAGCGTGATCCAATTGCCTTCTAATCAATTTCATTCGAATGACACGTCTCTGAAGCAGCTCCTCGTTCAAAGAGCAAAGTCCCCATATTGCTTCCGTCAAGAGCATACTTGAAAGTCATGCCAGTTACTTGATGTCGGGTAAAGAACTTTCAAAGCTTGTTGCCTTCGTCAAAGGCACCCAGTTTGATATTGTGGTACGTAGTCAATCTGTGTCTTTCGCCTTTATATGGTTGGACCGGAATTAACCAGGTGTATATATATATTCACTAACAATCTTAAAATTTCAGGATTTTCTTCAAAGAGAAAGATACGGTTGTGCTCAGCTGGAGAATTTCGCCGCAGGACTTGAACTGATTGGGCAAAAGGTAGGAATCAAGTCCTTTGATGTTCAAAACTCGTTATTTTTCAGAAGCTTAATGTACCTTTTTAGTAATATTTTTGTATTAACTCAAAGTCTACCATATATATTGAATCCCTCAGCTGCAAATGAGTGAGCTTCAGAACCGGCTAGACGCAGAGTTTCTATTGGCTCAGATGTGTTCAGTCAAGTTCAAAGAATGGATAGTTGTTCTTGCCACTCTTTTACAACGGTCCGAGGTATAAAATCTTTTAGTTTCCACCATTATCATCATGGCTTTCGAAGCATCACACTGACATAACAAGATTGTCACGACGCAGGTTCTTTATGATATTTTCCGGTATGATCTACGGTTGTGGAAAGCATACAGCATGACATTACAGGTAACGAACTCTTGTTTCCATAACAATCCAATCCCAGCTTGACACGTGCCATTCTTCTCTTTTGAGACATGTGTTTAATTGTTTCAGTCTCACTCGGGTTTCGCTCAGTACCATGACTTACTCCAGGTCTTGGAGGAGAAGCTCTCAGCGATCGCACGAGAAGAAAGCGTTAGAGGTTCCATCTCTTGATAATTTTCTTTTCTTTTTTGAGATTTTTCATATCAAACATTTTCTGCCTCTCTTTGAGATTCTTCACGTTCGTGTAGATATATAAACATAATGTCGAAAGAAATAAGAAACACTTCCCCTCACATGTAATTTTACTATTTATATTTAGCTATTTTGCTCACAAGATCAAGAATAAAAAAAGGTAAAAAGTATTTGAAATTACTAGCATTCATGTTTTGACATATAAATCGGAAAAAAAAAATTCTGCATTTCGTGAAATGGCCGAGCAGGACATTCCGTTAAAAAGTGGTTTGGGCCGTGATATCTGGTTACTTGGGGCATACTTTTGTTTTGTTTTGTATGGTCTATAATATTTCTTTTATTCAAATCAATAAAATCTGAAACAAAAAATATATGAATGATTACCAGAACGAATATTTTTGGCCACTGTTAATATATATATATTAGAGGGGAGATTAAAATATGTGTTTAAAGAAAGAAAACAGAATTAAAAACTGAAAAGTGAAGATAAGCATAAGCACCCGTGAGCGTGAGAAAGCATGGAGGCGTGAGAAGTGAGTGGGTCGGCAGAAGTGGATGAGTGGTGTTGAAAGTGGGACACACTCAAATGTTCACGAGAGCATACTTTGTAAAACATAAAACTCACCATAAAATAACATATTTAAGGATAATTTTTTTTTGTATTTGTATTTGTAAGCTTTCATTTGACTTAACATGGCCTGACACATTCTCAATCCCATATATATTGTATTCATGGAGATGCTCTTGCATGCCTCAATATTTGCAAAATCCATGTGGAATGAGATTATAAAATTTCCTTTTTTAGTTTTTACATTAATTGCCATAAATAGTAACACAAGCAAGTATCATAAGATGGTATGAAGAATTTAGTAATTTAGTTGAAAGAGACAAAAGTCATGTTTGTACTCTACCCTAACTAGTCACAAGTCACAAATAGACAAGCATTCCCCCCCCATTCTTGTGTAATTTTTTTTATAAGAAAAGCCTCAAACATTAAAACCCGTGACCGTGTGAGTAAGCAAAGCAACGGAAACATCACATTTTCTCATACTTATAAACAAAATTACGTTTCTTCTAGATAAGAAACTGTGACTGCGCCAAATGATCGTTTTATGATTTTGTATTATATGTAGTAAACGCAATTTGTAACTAGAATTACAAACTGATCAAAGCAACTGCGAACTTATTTTCTTTGTAACCAATAAGTTATGGTCCTATATCCTTAATCTTTTTGGATTAGGGATATATATTAGTCTTCGTTGTCAGTATTCGAATTCATTTTTTAGGATTTCATGGCCATACTGAGGATATGGCTCTGTTTGTAAGTATTTCAGCCATAATGAGGATATATGTCTTTGTTTGTTAGAATTTCAGCCTTTTTCTGACGATTCTGTTTACCGAGACATATCTCCTAATCAATTGTCATACCAGTATCTACCACTAATTTATAAAATCATTGCTCAACTTATCAGATCAGCAAACACTCAAGACAAAAAGTGTGAATCTTTCTTCTTCTTTCTCCATTATTCATCCGCCTATAAATACTTATTCGCTCCACTTCCATCCTCACAAACCATTTAGCCTCTCCTCATTTACAAAAGCTCAAAACTCACAAGTAACTCTCTCTCTCTCTCTCTCTCTCTCTCAGACACATAAACACACACACACAAACAAACCCACCACATTATGTCTTATGAACGAAAACATTTTTTTCCTTCATTTGAAAGTGGTTTAACTAACCACTAACAAAACCCATTAATATAGCTCTCACTTTTAAAACATACCCAATTTTTTCACCAAATACTAACCTTTCACATGCGATCCATTTACCAAACTACGAAAAAAGACACAACCTTTTATATTCCCTCTTTAACTAACTTGAGCAACCTTTGATATATAGCTTTTTCTTATTCCAACTCTCTTTGTTTCTTATTTGTCAGATACAAAAACCATGAAGAACAACATGCTACTCGCTTGCATAACCATCATACTCCTTATAACCGATGCTCAGGGAAGAAGGGTGTTACAGTCATTTGACACATTCGAGTACACGGCCATTACTTGCAGGTCCCATAGTGCCTCCATAACAGAGTTTGGTGGCGTCGGAGACGGCAAAACATTGAACACAAAGGCATTCCAGAGCGCCGTCGATCATCTCAGCCAATACTCATCCGACGGCGGATCCCAACTTTTTGTCCCCGCCGGAAAATGGCTCACCGGTAGCTTTAACCTCACAAGCCATTTCACTCTGTTTCTTCACAAAGACGCAACTCTCCTCGCCGCTCAAGACTTAAACGAATACCCAATTCTTAAGGCTTTGCCTTCGTACGGGCGAGGACGTGATGCCGCCGGCGGAAGATTCGCTAGCCTCATCTTCGGAACTAATCTCTCCGACGTAGTTATCACCGGTAAAGTTTCACCCTTTTCTTTTGTTTTCCAATTGTTGTATATAATTCGGAAACCGAGAGGAAAGAAAACTGGAGCCGTTGGATGTTTTTTTTTTAATAGGGAACAATGGTACGATCGACGGTCAAGGATCGTTTTGGTGGCAGAAATTTCACGGTGGCAAGCTTAAATACACTCGCCCGTATCTGATTGAGTTAATGTTCTCTGATACAATTCAGATATCTAATCTAACGCTCCTTGATTCTCCATCTTGGAATATTCACCCGGTGTACAGTAGGTAAAATGATATCCTGTGTCGCACTCTCATTTAATACCATGTACCCTCACCATAAGCGCCGTTAGATTTGTTTATTTATTTATGAGATTATTCATGAAAATTATCCTACGTGGCAGCAATATTATCGTGAAAGGCGTTACGATCATCGCTCCGGTGAAATCCCCGAATACCGACGGGATCAATCCAGGTTCGTCGTCGCCGATTGAATTGCCAGTTCCAGATCCAATTGTATTTCGATTTTAACGGATTTGGGTGTTTTCAGATTCGTGCACGAACACGAGGATCGAAGACTGTTACATAATCTCCGGCGACGATTGCATCGCCGTGAAAAGCGGATGGGACGAGTACGGAATCTCGTTCGGGATGCCGACGAAGCATCTCGTGATCCGTCGATTGACTTGTATCTCACCCTACAGCGCCGCGATCGCACTCGGGAGCGAGATGTCCGGCGGAATCGAAGACGTCAGGGCGGAGGAAATCACCGCGTACCAAACGGAATCCGGCGTACGGATAAAAACCGCGGTGGGGAGAGGAGCTTTCGTGAAGGACATATACGTGAAAGGGATGAATCTCCACACGATGAAATGGGTTTTCTGGATGACCGGGAATTACAAAGCTCACGCCGATAGTCACTACGATCCTCACGCTTTACCGGAGATAACCGGAATCAATTACAGAGACATCGTCGCTGAGAATGTTTCGATGGCTGGGAGGTTAGAAGGAATCTCCGGAGATCCGTTCACTGGGATTTGTATCTCGAACGCTACCATTTCTATGGCGGCTAAGCATAAGAAGGAGATTTGGATGTGTAGCGACGTGGAAGGAGTTACGAGTGGTGTTGATCCTAAGCCGTGCGATTTGCTTGACGGGAAACAGTCGGAGAAGAAGAAGATCGACGGTGGATGTGATTTTCCGACTGATGTTTTGGAAATTGATCAAGTCGAGCTCAAGAGCTGTAGTTATCAAATGAATTAGAAAGTCGCAATCTTTGAACCCTAATTTCAGACTACGAAATATCTCTCTTGTTTATGATTTTGGTTATTTTTTTTTTTTGATGAAACAAATCTATGTGATGCATGGTAAATGAAGAACAAACTAAACAGAGTTTTGAAGATGAAACAGAGAAGGTGAGATCACTAGATTGGACTCAATGGTTACTTGTTCACAAAGAAACAGAATCACAGACCGCCAGACTTTTTGTATAGCTTTCTGATACTTATACAACTCAGTGATGCTTACTCGACATTGATCATCTTTGAGAGAGCGGTTGGTTAGAATGCTATATTGAAGTTTCGTGTCAGTTAACGTATAAACAGTGTGGATATCGTTGAAAAGTCTCTCGTTTCCATAAAAGGAGATAAGGGAAGGTGCGAGAGTTAGCGAAGAATCAAGAAGACATCTCTTAAGATCCAGAGGTTTAGTTTAGGCCTATCCATGTGTCTGAGGAGCTTGGGGGTAATATTATGGAATTCATTACTGATATTTTACATTGCTAGTCTCTAAGCTCACTTCACATATTGAAGTGCAAGAAACCATGACAAATTTGTAGCTTGGGGAGCAAGAAACCAGAGGCTTTTCTCTTCTTTACACCGACTTACTCTTCCCCACGTAGGTGGTTGGCAACAGTCAAATTGTTCATGAGGGCTTGTAAGTTTGGGGTTATGGGCAAAAAGGCATCTTCTAGCTAATAGGCTTCACCAAAGCATTTCTTACTTGCTACACCAGGTAGTTATTCTTGTGCATCCTCAGACTGTGCTAGGAGAAATTTGTAATTTTTAATTAGCTTGAAGAGCAAAGATGATGACCTCATGGTGTTCTGAAATGTCTCCCAGGAGAAGCATCAAATTTGCTGTCGTGTTAGGACTGAGCAGCAAAGAGTGTCAACCAAAATCTGCTCAAGTTTAGCATTTTCATCGCCTACGGGAAAATATCTTAGCTTGATTCCCATTGATTCAACAAGTATGATGTTCTAATATAGTCTTTCGATTTAGAAACAATGGGCCGCTTTAAATGCCTTATGAAAAAAACAAGTAAATCTCCCTTGGTGATGCCTTCAACATTAGTAGAGATCCAAACTCTCTAACTCAAACACATATTGAGGGAAGATAGCTCGCATTCCAAGAGTTTTTGAGAGATACTCGCATTAATAAGAGTCTTCGTTTTTTTTTCCAAAACTTTCAGTAAAACTAAAGCATCCCGTTCAGCTTCCTGATTTGAACTTTGCTCCACTTTGTTCGTGAGGTTTTTGATATGCCTAGTTATTTCACTCATGATAGATCCTTCAGGATAGTTTGCATTTTTTTTGGGTTCTAATTCTTAGTCATTTCTGCACAAGGAATGAACAATGGTAACACTAGTAAATTAATATAGAACTATATCCTTAACATATTGGATCCATTTTGAAAACTATTAAATACAAAGACGTTATATGTTGCTACATAAATAAAAAAAAAGTTATATTGCTACATATATCGTTAGAAATGACTTGGAACTGAGCTAGATCCATTTTAATGACATAACCATGAGATTAAACTCTCCATTTATAATCGAGACTTCAGTGTAGATTTGATATTATCCATCATAATTATGCGCTGATCATTTGTTTTGGGTAAATCACATATATCGAAGTCTAAAAAAACATATATTGGCCGGCTCAATGGTGAGAGACCCTAAAATACATGATAATATATGTTAGAGTTTTTATACTGAGATTATTAGAGATTTTAATCGAAAAGATATATATGTTAGAGTTTTTATACTGAGATTGAAACAGTGTAGAAGGTTATTATGTTAGCAAGAAACAAAAATGTTTATTAGATTCATGAAACTAGTACAAAAACGTGGAAAGTGAAAATTATAGAAATAGTGAGGTTTTCATTTATACATTATACATACTGATCCTCTGCTTTTTTTGTATAGATCTGTAGACAATATATTTGAATGTATATATATAATAATGGTAAAAACCCGTTTTTAAGTTCGGAGCAATGGTGAATGTGGGGATATCAACCTCGGCGACCTAACATGTTCATCGAAGATCATCGAAGAGAAACTCAGCTTGAGATTCTTTTGAAAACTCTTTCGTTTCTTGTTCTCCTTTTTGTTGTTACAGTTCTTTATCTTCTTTCTGTCTCCGAGCACAAAGTCTTTCATTCTCTGTAGTGCAGTCTGGAGTGTGTCTTCGTCCATATTAGCAAAGCAGACTCGGAACCAACCTGGCTCAGAGCAGTGAAACGACGAGCCAGGAGAGACATTGATCTTTACCTTATTGATGATTACTCGCCAAATAGCCATTTCAGACTCAAAGGTCTGATCTTTAAGCATATGCCTCAAATCCATTAAGACGAATAAACCCGCGTTGCTTTCCAAGCAAGAAATCCCCATCTCTTTAAGACCTTCCGTGAAAATCCCTTGTCTCTTCGCTACTCTGTTCGAGACCTCTATAAGAAACTTATCAACAAATATTTGATCAGACAACATAGCAGCTAGAAAACTCTGTGTCTGCGACGAGACCAACCCGAAACTCGACATCCTCCTCGCGCAAGATACAACAGCATCGTTGTAGGAGTAAACCACTCCAACCCGGAAACCGGGAAGACCCATGTCCTTTGAGAGACTGTAAACGATATGGATCAGGTCGCGGTTAACGTAATCCATCTCTTGGATGATCTCTGCAACACTGATGAACCTTGGTTCTGCAAAAATCGTGGCTGCGTAGATCTCGTCGCAGACAAAGTGGATTTGCTTGTCGTTGGTGAAGCTAACAAGGGCTTCAAGAGTTTCTCGATCAAGAGTTGTTCCAAGAGGGTTTGATGGGTTTGCGAGGATCACGCCTTTGATCTTGATACCAGTTTCTTGGGCTTTAAGATACGTTGATTCTAGGGCTTGTTTTGTGACCTGGAAATTGTTTGAGCTATGGGACTCCACAGGGATTATTTTAACTCCAGTTCTCCAACTTAAGTCTCTGTCGAATCTGCAATATTTAACCATTTAATTAGTACTGAAGAGTAAGTCAACCATGTGTTAATTAATCTGTTGACTTTTGAGAGGAGTCAATGGACAATTTGATGGAAGTTGTGTGGATGGGGTTTTTTGCTTCCCATATATTAAATCAAACAAGTGAGTTATATAGTTTATTATTTTAATGATTTCGAAACCCCATTAACAAAAATACTAGTAATATTTTTCCAACGGATATATATATATATATATATATTTGTTTGACCAGACAAAAAGTTATAATGTTTTACCATAAAATATAACGCCCTTTTTCAAATGCTTTTAGTCTAATACACTACTAATTCATGGTCTTTCTTAAAAACATGTAAAACAATATCTATTTTAAAAACAAAAAAGAATAGTAAAAGTGTGTATATACGTACGCGGCATAATAGGGAGTAGGGACGAGAAAAGCATCGCCTGGATCAGCAAGACAGAACATGAGCGTCTCGTTTGCTCCGGTGGCTCCGCCGCTCATCACCACCCTATCCGCCTCAAACTTCACCTTTCCTCCTCTTGTGCTCTCCATAAATGCCGCAATCGCCTTTTTATATTTCCCGTCAAGACAAAAAAAGAAGAAGATATTAGTAAGTTACATATCCTAATATGCAAGATATACTACAAAAATTATAAAATCTCAATGAGCTATATTATTGTCTTAATTGCTTATTATATGAAGAATAGTTAATTATAAACATAATTAGTAATATATAACTAAATAAATTAAATACCTGTCTAAATTGTTTGAGACCGTGATAATCTTGAAAAATAGCTACGTCCGAGAAACCGTCAATGCCTTCCGCCGTGCAGATAGATGCTTGCGGATTTGCTTTGATCCATTCTTTGATTAAATCAGAACAGAGCTGAAACAAATATCATAAAAGAAAAGGAAAATGTTAATTAATTAGAAGAAAAAGAAGATCGAAAAAACAAATTATTAGGAGGAAGAATATACAAACTTGATTTTCGGCGAGACCCATTTGAATAACACCTTGTGGATTATGAGTAGGATGAAAAGGGTTATTATCGTAAGCTTTCCAGCCGTCGAAGTACGGCGAATCTTCTCCGTGTTTGTCACCGGCGGCTAATTTGGACAGCAGATTCTTGTCGGTAGACATTTATCCGATCGATAGCTTGTGTGTGTACAGAACAGTGTGTGTGTGTGTTTTTGTGAAGTTGATGGATTGGTTTGCTTGTGTATATAAATGAAATGGAGTCTGTGAGGAGTATATATAATGGAAATATGGGATTTCGAGAGAATAAGAAACAAAACTTGTTTCCATTATGAGAAAACTTGTTTGAAATCTTCTATATGTTCAATAAAAGTATTGTTTTGTGGGGACAATATATGTTCCATAAAGTCAAACCCTACATCTAAAAGGGTTTATTTTTCTTATCTATGCCATTATGCCAACAAAGTGTTTTTAATGATTGTATTATACGCAACAAAAGAATATATACGGGGGCTTAAAGAACAATTTGGAGTAAAACCAGACTTGGTATCACGGCAATAACGAAAACAAAGACTTTTTGTGTTTCAATGACTTTGATTAATAGAATTAGATTAACAAGGAAGGTTTAGAGACCAAAGAGAAGAAACAATGTCGAGAGTGCTATAAAAATTCAACAGTCAGAGTCACGATTTTTTTTTTTTAACTAAGATTTGTCATAGTCGCGCAAATTAACAAGTTCAAATCTTACGAACTCTATTATTAGACCCACGTTGATAACTAAAGAGTCGGGGAAAAATATTTACTTTGACTTGGTGTTTTTAAAACTACCCTTGAGGCCTTGCTTATTAATCTTATTTCGAGGCTCGATATATAATAGCACCCGAATTATTTTAAGAATGAAACATTCTTTGATACAGCTTCTTCTGAATAAACCTTTGTATGATTTATATTGAAAAAATATGTCTGTAACAGACTTTTTCTAGTAGCATAATATACGCGGTTCGCTCGTGTAGCACAATACAAATGTATTATGAGAATAGTCATCAAACTAATTTTTTACTTAGAAATCTTGTTTTTGCAGTCCCACCATTGAATACTGAATCACAAAGCAATACAATTTTTCACAGATTGCCTAAAAATATGACGTTTGAAGAAGAAGGTTATATGACGTCGAACTCTACAATACGGAGATCTTACATTCGTATTGTTAACTATTTTTATTTTCAAGATTAATAAACCATGTTATACTTTGAAATTACTTTGCGTGTCGATCGCAACGTGACCATCGTCTAATCACGTGAAACTTAAATATCAAAATTTGTATTTTTCCATGTAAATATTAGGAGGAAGGAAATGATAAAAGATTGAAAAACTTCTGTAATGGGTTGGTCGTTGGGGTTTTGCACTGAGAGTTCTTTAAGGTCGTTTCATTATTCATTATGTTGATTTAGTAACAAAAAAAAAGTTAACATGTGAAAACAAATGTAAAAAGGTTTTGACATGTGGCAGCAGCCCACTTAGGAATTGGAGGTTATGACGATCTTTTTTGGACGGCTTTTTAGATTTATGACATTTAAAGTAAAACTTCTATCTAGATTAAATCTTTGCCTTAAATTGAATTGGTCGGAGATCAAAAAGTCTAAAACTAGATGGACACGTTGTATTTGAGAGTTGAGTGAATCTTTTTAGAAAAGTGAATTAAAAATCGTTTTCTCAGAGTGTATATAATATTTATAGATTAAAAGGATACGTACACGCACGTGCAATAAAATGCCGTTTATATCGTTTTTGAACATTAGTGTGTGTATAGCTGTCGCATACAACTCGTAACAATGAAATCATAAATGCATGTTATATGCAAAAAAAAAAAGAAAAAATGTATTCGATGTTACACCAACTTTCTTTTTTACGTAAGTGTATGTGATACTTTTGGCATTAGTCCGTGACTCGTGACTATTATACAAAACGCTAAATATGTGAAGCTATGAACAGTAACACATTACCAACGATCGAAACTCGAAATCTGATTAAGCGGTACAATTTCCAAGTTGATAGGTCATAATTTATTCTGATTAAATCGATATCTGAGTATGGTATATGAGTCTTGCACAAACAATTACACATTACAAAGTCGATTTGTTTATTTGCATTATGAGTTTTGTATATGGATTATGATTGTTTTGTTTGTCATATTGGTTGTGACATAAAATCATTTTTCATTGATGCAGAATACGAATCCATATATAGCACTTGGAGATATAAAGACTAATTCTTTTAAATTCTGCCAAAAAAGTTTGGTCGAAAGCTCTCTTTTTTTGTCAAAGAATTAGTCTTTATTATTGGGATTGAGTATTTATTATCTGACAGGATCGATACGTATGGTATTAGATTCGTTTATCTATAAACTTGATTCTAAATCATATCCAAAGCTTACACAGTTACACTTATCTGAATTTTCCTACTTTCTATGAAAGATAGAACAAACTAACAAAGCTGGGTGGATAATGTTTCGATATAAGTATAAGCTTTAACCCATTTGTTTACGGCATTATTAATTTGCAATGGGTGAGTTTGCGTAATCAGAACCTCCAAATAATAAGAACATAACTAAAAACTATTTATGTGAAACGAATTATGGTTAGATCTCCTTTACAATTATGTAAGTTCATGTGTAATGCATGAAAAGATAGAAACATGCTGCATATATAAAGACTTAAAAATTCTAAAAAATACATAATAAGAATAATAATAATAAAAACCCCTTTATTTGTTATATTTACTATAGACGTTCACACCCATCATAGTCACACCGTAAAGAATTTGAAATAAGTAAAGGTTGAAGATAATAATCAACTGTGTGTTTGAATTCCATATCCAGGTTATATAAGATGATGCAAATTTTAATTCAAGGTGGAGATTTCCTTCCTGACCATGGAATATAATTTTTACGTAGTAATTAGTCTTGTGAAAATACTTCTAATATTACATTCAATTTGACATTGTTGGAAAAATGTATCACCAAATTTTGTTGATATTAAAATATTAGTATATTTTCCCTTTATTTAATTATATTTTTACTAGTCAACTCGTAATGGCAGCTTTGACTCACTCTCGTCAGTGGTCTGAAAAAGCCGCAAGTCAAAGTGTCTGCTCTTGGATTCGCCTCCATTAAACGAGTAAAGGAATCATTCAATTCGAAACACGTGCAGGTCTCACTCAAGTTTCAGAGACTTAAATATGCTTTAGAGAAAGCGTATACGAATAGTATAAATGTATTTTCATACTATTACACTGCGAAATTACATAACAAAGGGATATAACCTTTTTTCCTTTTCGATTATTAAAACTGAGCAATATCTACCACTAATAGCGATTGTGTAACTGTATAAAAGCAATGAAGAAATTAATGGTAGAGATTACTGAAGCTAAAAACCAATTATTCCAAGCTAAAGACATCTAAATGTGAAGCTTTCTGAATCGGAGAGGCAACAGAGTAACCTTGCATATACTTTTTGAGCTTAATTAAATCATCAGAAGTTGTGAGACGCTCCATTAGAATCTCCCAGGTGGTCTGATTTGCTTCACAGGACAGATCGTTCATCTCATCCATCAGTTTAAACAGTGTCTCCTTTTGGTTCTCCGCCTTAAGACACTTGAACAAGGCATTGTATGTTTCAACGTTCGGTCTCACCATTTGCTCCTTCATTTGCTCTTTCAGAGACATTGCCTGTCCGAGATTCCCCAGCTTACAAAATGCGTTTATGAGAATGTTGTATATCACTGTGTTCGGATTCACCTTCGAGTGCAAACCCATATCATTGAATAGCTTCAATGCTTCTTTCGTATCTCCTGCCGAGCAATAAGCTTCGATTATCGCTCCATATGTCACAACGGTCGGGTCTAACCCGTCTTCTCTCATATTCTCCATCATTTTCTGCACGCTCTCGAAGTCCTTGAGTTTGCCGAAGAACGAGATCAGAGTGTTGTATGTGAAGGAATCGGGTTTCAACCTTGCTTCCTCCATATCGGTTAGCATCTCATACACTTTCTCTACGTTGTTCTTATCACAGAACAACCAAATAAGCATGTTGTAAGCCAGTAAATCAAGAGAAAACCCTGACTGTTTCAGTTTCTCCACCACCCTAACTGCGTCGTGGTCTCTTCTAGCTTGGCACAATCCAGAGATCAAAGCATAATAGATCTTTGCATCAGGAGAACAACCAGCTCCCAACATTTTGTCAAACCAATGCATAGCATTTTCTATGTTACCGACGCTGCAATAAGCATGGATCAACGTCATATAAGTAACCACGTTACCTTTCAAGCCTTCCCTTTCCATATCCATAAAGAAAACAACCGCCGAGTTCACTCCATGGTGCCTGCACATTCCACCGATGACTGTGTTAAGAGTGACCACGTTCGGTTTAATCCCGCCCTCCTTCATCCTCGAAACAACTTCTTTAGCCGTCTCAAGCTGTCCCGCTATGCAATACCCACCGATCAAGCAATTGTAAGTGACTGCGTTTGGCGCGCAAGACTCTTCCATTTTCATCCTCACCAATAGCTCCTCCGCTTCTTTCATCCTCCCCACTTTACAAAACCCGTCGATGAGAGTGTTAAAATGAATCGAATCAGGTTTCATCACATTTCCATCATCGGTCTTCTTTCCACACATCTCTTCAAAGACTTGCAGAGCTTCATCGACCCTCCTTAATTTGCACAAAGTGTTGATAAGAATCCCTAAAGTAACCACATCGGGCCGAATTTCCGACTCATTCATCTTCACAGCTATATCATTCATTCTACCAATATCCATATTCCTTCCTAAACATGTCAAAAGCGCATTGAAAGGAGGAGCTTCAAGTGGGGCTATGTTCTTCATCAGGTCGCTCAAAACCTCCCAAGCTACATCTGTGCGAGCATTTTTGCATAGACTAGTTATAAACCGAGTCAACCACACACTGTTGGGGGAGACGCGATGAGAGCTGAATCTTGAAATCAACCTAATGATTTCCTCTTCCGTCAAAAGCTTTCCCCTCCAAACCTCATGGAAAACAATATCAGCCGTTGTTCTATTAGGAGGAAAAACGGATCCTTTCTGAAGCATTTCGTCGAGCACCTTGAAGGCATCTTCCACAAGTCCATTTCTGAGCAAGACGTCGATCATAACATTACGAACTTGCGTGATTTTCATATCCGAATCGACTCGTTCGTAAACAAGCACCGACTGATTCACCATACCCATACGTCCAAACCATCGGATGAGAAGATTAGTGGCAAAGCCGGTGAGCGGGATGTTCTTCTCTTTGGCAATCTCGTAGAGCCTGACAAGTTTTTCCCCGGAGTTAGGTTCACTACCAGCGAATTCGATAAGCGACTGAAACGCCGAGGAGATAGATAACTCACGGTGATCCAGAAACTGAGATTTGGCATCCAGGTATTCGAAGAACGATACTGCCAGAGAGTACGATCCTAGCTGCCGCGTGATATGAGAGAATACTAGAGGAGTCACAGAAGAAGAAGACACTAGAAGTGAATGAAGCGACTCGCTGGACGCCCAGTCATGTTGCGGGATTTTCCGAAGGTTCTCCAAAAATCGGACTTCCACCGATCGCTGGCTCACCGGTTTGATTCCCGGCGGTGGGTCATCATCAACCGAAAATCGGCGGATAAATTGAGTATTGTTGAGCAGATTATAGGAATTCCGGCGCCGGGAAAATGATAGCATGATACTTATCTAAGGTTGGAAGAAGGCGCCGCCGGGAAAGAGTAAGACGACGACTGTGTTCGGCGGATAGAGTGGCGGCACTCAACGAACATGATAAACCCATTTGCGTCTAATGGGCTTTTACAAGGGCTTTGGACATATTTGGCCCAAAACATTTATTATATTACACAATGAGAAGATATCTTTGTTCTTCTCATAAAACTGTACGTAAGTTATAAGATACGATACTGAACTACATATATATCGTCTCGGTTCGATAGTTTTTCATATCTACATAAAATTCTATATATTAAGGTAGAATATTATGTATTATTCTACGTATTTTATTAAAATTCTATGTAAATATGCTATAGAATTTCACTCAAAAGTCTAAAATGAAGAGGCTGATGAGATATAAGAAAATTTCTTCAGCTTTGTCACTGAGAATCTGAAGGCTCCATCTTTTCAGCAGATGCTGCTGCAGCAGAAGCAGCCTCATCGAATCCCAATTTCTGTAACTCCTTTAAGAACCCGTCGAGGTCGCTTGAGGAGATCTTGTAAGGGCTGTGAGAAGGACCTGGAAACGAGTGCTTCGATACTTCTTCCTTATACTCCAAGAGGGCTTTGTTGATCACTTCTCCTACTTGAGCGTACTGCTTGCAAAACTTTGGAGTAACCTGAAATGCAGGAAATGGTTTAGGGATTTTTAATACCCGCGCAAAACTATTAGCAAATGAATCACAAAAACAGGGAAGAAGCATGAATGATGTTTAAACCGGTTCAGGATTTCACCTTAGCATGATGTGGATGCTGCATCATTCCCAGAAGATCATGGTAGACTAAAACCTGCATCCACAATATAAATAGATAACTCACTCTTTTTGTGCTGACTTTTACTCTTTAATCATGCAAAAGGCCACTATTTGAGAGAAAATGGTTTATTTGCTCGATGAAGAGAATTAAAATGAACCTGTCCACTGCAGAAAGGGCCAGCTCCTATGCCAATGGTTGGGATATGAAGAGCAGAGGTTGCAGCAGCAGCCACAGGAGGCGGAACACATTCTAAAACAACCGAAAAGCATCCAGCATCTTGTAAAGCCATGGCAGTTTCCACAACCTAATCCCAAACCGAAATGAGTGAGAAAAGCATTTTCATGACAGATTCAAAAACAAGAGATGAACTCTTTATAAGAGAGAACCTTAACAGCACTGGCTACGTTTCTCCCTTGAGGCCTGAAACCACCAAGAACACTGATAGCTTGAGGAGTCAAGCCAACGTGTCCCATAACCGCGATTCCTGCTTCCACGATGGATTTAGCAGCAGTGATCCTTGAAGCTGATCCTCCTTCAAGTTTAATTGCATCCATTCCTCCTTCCTTCAACACTCTTACTGCAGTATCAACCGCCTGTCCACCATTTAAACTTAAACTCAATCAACCAAATCGATGCGCTGCTCAAACAATTCAAGCCTCATGGAGCCAGAACAATAAAAAGACCAAATTTTGGTGGTTTCAAAGGGATAACAGAGAAATGGATCATTTGGGTTGTTAGTTTATCCTCTCAAAAACATCCAAAATTTCGGTGATACTGATTTCAATAGGGGAATGAAGAGATTCGATCATTTTGGTTGTGAAAATTACCCATTTGAAACAAAGCATGCAAATTTCGAGTGTAATTTAGGATTATTGACCTGATTGGAGCTGGATTCATATGTACCAAACGGCAAATCGCCGACGAGAAGTGGCCTTTTGGCTCCCCGAGCGACGGCGCGACAGTGGACGAGCATCTCGTCTAAGGAGATAGGAAGGGTCGTGTCGTGGCCATGGACAACCATTGCAGCTGAATCTCCGACGAGACAAACATCGATTCCGGCTGAATCGATGTGAACGGCGGAAGGATAATCGTAGGCGGTGACGACGGTTATCGGCTCGCCTTTCCGATGTTTCTGCCTCAGTTGCGTCAAAGTCACTCTCTGGTTCGGGTTCTGCGGTTTCGGTCCCCCGTAAACGGTATTTTCCGGTACATTGCTCATACACCGGACGGTGGTGATGGTTCTCGCGGCACGAGAGCAACAACTTCTGACGAGGGAAGAAGCCATTTTCGATGAAAGCGATTTGGGAATTCCAACTGAAATTAAATAGTTTAAATACAAAAGACTTTTCTTCTACTTTTTGGATAAATCTCTTTCCTTTTTTTAATAGAAAAAGCAAATAAAAACAATGATGGCGACTCACGCGCTGGTGACTCCGATTCCTAGGATAGCGATTTCAAAGTTGACTGCTTTCGTACTCTCTCTATCTACTCCTCCATCAAAATCGTCTCCTTCTGTTCCCGGTGTAATCAATCTCTATCCTCGCCGGATATCTTTTCGAGGAATCACTTCGATGGCTGGAGCAGGATCAGTGTCCATGGACTTAACTCTGGAATCGAGGCCGGAGCACGTCACAGGGAATTGGTTTTCGGTGCCGGAGCTCCGTTTGCGTAATCACCGATTCTTAGTCCCTCTAGATTATTCCCTCAATTCCGAAACTTCTCCCAAAATCACCGTCTTCGCTCGAGAAGTCGTTGCGGGTAATTTGAAAAATCGGGTCTTTTATACCAGTCTCAGATTGAATCTATTGAAGATTGAAATGTTCTTTTTGTTTGGCAGTCGGGAAAGAGGAACAGGCTATGCCGTATCTATTGTATTTACAGGGTGGTCCAGGTTTTGAAAGTCCAAGACCAAGTGAAGCTAGTGGATGGATCCAAAGAGCTTGCGAAGAGTTTCGCGTTATCTTACTCGATCAAGTATGATACTTTTTTAGTCTTATGCTCTTCTCTGGACGCTTTTGTTAGTCTTTGTGTTGCTCTAATTGTGTTGGTCCTGCACCTGCAGAGAGGAACAGGCTTGTCAACTCCTTTAACATCTTCGTCTATGCTTCAATTCAAATCAGCAAATGATTTAGCTGATTATTTGGTTCACTTCCGAGCGGATAATATAGTTAAGGATGCTGAGTTTATTAGAGTTCGTCTTGTTCCTAATGCTGATCCTTGGACAATTCTGGGTCAGGTAAATATGTCTCTGCATTGTTTATAACTCACTCTGTTCCAGCTTTTGTCATTTGATTTCATTTCTCGAATTCGTTTTTTTCTTTCTGCAGAGCTTTGGTGGGTTCTGTGCAGTAACATATTTGAGCTTTGCGCCTGAAGGACTAAAGCAAGTGCTGATAACCGGAGGAATCCCACCAATAGGCAAAGCATGCACAGCCGATGATGTGTATGAAGCCGGTTTTGAACAAGTTATTCGCCAAAACGAAAAATACTACAAGAGATTCCCAGAAGACACTGAGATTGTTCGTGAAGTCGTAGATTACTTGGCTGAATCTGCAGGCGGAGGGGTGAGTGAGGGATTCACAACATTTGCCAAATCCACTGACCATTTTTGTTTAGTTTAGCTACTTACTTGACTCTGTTTCTTTGTCTAAAGGTACCTCTTCCATCAGGAGGCATACTCACTCCAAAGGGTCTTCAAACTCTTGGTCTATCTGGTTTAGGATCAAGTACTGGCTTTGAGCGTCTGCATTACATGTAAGAGTTTAGCTTTGTTATTTTTTTATCGACCACGTCACATGTTCTGTGTTAATCTTGCTTTCTTCATTGATCACAGGTTGGAGAGAGTATGGGATCCTATTTTAGTTCCTGGATCACCAAAGCGGATTAGTCAGTTCTTCTTAAACTCTGTAAGAGTGCCACAGAAATTTGCTGTTCTCGAGTATATATTTCCAAGTTATAGTCTGTGATGTTTTTATCTTTGCTGCAGTTTGAGAATTGGCATTCTTTTGAGACAAACCCACTCTATGCTCTTCTCCACGAGTCCATATACTGTGAGGTATAAAAGTCTCTTCATTTTCTTCCATATTCCCGCACAATCGCTTTTACTAGTTGTTATCCTTTATTCTTAAAGGAAAAACTTGTCAGGGTGCTTCATCGAAATGGTCTGCTCATAGGCTAGGGGGAAAATTTGAGTGCAAATTCGATGCTGTGAAGGCAGTCAAAGAAGGTCAAAACGTACTCTTCACGGGAGAGGTACATGTGTGGAGTATTTATAATTGCATGTTTGATTCCTCGGCTTCACATTGCTTAACTAGATGAGTATTTGGTGTGATTTCAGATGGTATTTCCATGGATGTTTGATGAGATTCATGCCTTGAAGCCGTTTAAAGCTGCTGCGGATATCTTGGCCAAGAAAGAGGATTGGCCTCCGTTGTATGATGTTGCTACCTTGAACACTAACAAAGTCTGTTTCAGAATCTTCATCATTTCTTATTTTTCTTTCTTTCGGGATCAAACAATTTACTCTGTTTTCTTTCACATATTGGTAGGTGCCTGTTGCTGCGGCGGTGTACTACGAAGATATGTATGTAAACTTCAAGCTAGTGATGGAAACAGCTCCTCAGATTTCGGGTATTAGACTTTGGGTGACGAATGAGTTTATGCACTCGGGTCTTCGTGATGCTGGAAGACAAGTTCTTGATCATTTGTTGGGTATGATCAACGGGAAAAGGCTTCTCTTTTGATGATTTCTGTTTCTTCCATCATTCGTAGCAGTGCTTTGTGACTCTTTGAGGATTGAGTAAAAACTAAAAAGAATGATAATGAATAAGAAGAATGTCTTTGAATTCTTGACGTACTTCTCAGTTCAATGTAGAGTTTTCCAAATCCGTGAAGAAAGGGTCTTTGAATAAGTGGGCAAGATATTGACTAAATTAATCTGTTAAACCCGTTAAACAAAATCCGTTGTAGTCTAGCTGGTTAGGATACTCGGCTCTCACCCGAGAGACCCGGGTTCGAGTCCCGGCAACGGAGATTTTTTTGTTTTTTTGTAAGTTTTTCATATTTGTAAGATTGGACTTGGAAGTCGTGCGATAACCAGTTTTCGGTTCTCTCTGGTCAACAAAAGCGATTTTGATCCCGAAAATGGATACTAGATTACATATTACAATCTTTTTTTCTTTGGTTTTCTTCTTCTCCGTACCGTTTGGCGAAGATATTATATTGGCTTCTTCTACATTTAGAATAGTATATTGGCTTCTTCTACATTTAGAAGTAACAGTACACAAGCATAAAATATTTGATTTTTTCTCATACGTAAACGTTTCTAGCAGTGTGCAATTAGGCATTGCCTTATAAAAATGTCAAATATTGAAACGATAATCATAGATCTTCTTGATTGATGAAAGGAAACAAAAAAAATTCACACAATGTCATACGGTTCCAGCACTAGAAATAAAATAAGATACAAAAATTGACCTTCCTTGGGCCACTAAAGTGAAGTCACTATTCACTAAACCTATAACAAGAACCCTAATAAATGCAGAGCTTTTATTATTTGCCAAACTTTGTATTCAATGCAGTAGCTACATTTTCCCACCCACCTCCTAAAAAACACAAAAAAAAAAAAAAAAAACAAGATAATAATAATCTCCATCACTCTTTTTTTCCATCTCTCTTACTCTCTCGCCAATCCCACATGGCCCTAACCCCCATCTTCACCATCAAATGTCAACCGCCTCCGCCGCCGTCTTTCCTCCACCGCCACCTGTTCCTATCCCTACTTATATAACTAGCCTCGGCCTTGGCTACTCCATAGCCATAGCTCTTGGTTTCCTCGTCCTTATCTCCACAATCATCCTCTCTTCCTACATCTGTTGCCGAGCCTCCCGCCTCCGCTTCTCCGCCGCAACCGCAAACGCAGACGCTTCCTTCGGTAACCGCAGCATAATCGTCCCACGAATCATATTCGTCGCCGAAGACGACGATCTCGAGTCAGCTGTTTCTGGAAACGTCGTCGTCGGTGGACTCGATCAACCCATCATTAACTCTTACCCTAAATTCCGTTTCACTAAAGCTATCGCCGTCGCTGCCGGAGACAGCGAAGGAGGAGATACGACGTGTTCGATCTGTCTATGTGAGTATATGGAAGAAGAGATGTTAAGGATGATGCCAGAGTGTAAACATTATTTTCATGTTTATTGTCTTGACGCGTGGCTTAAGCTCAATGGATCTTGTCCCGTTTGCCGGAACTCTCCACTTCCGACACCGCAATCTACGCCGCAGTCGACTCCGTTGTCGGAAGTTGTGCCGTTGTCGCAATACGCCGCCGATCGGAGGAGAGCCAGAAGATAATACACGTCCTTTTTTTTGTTCCGTTGCATTCATTAAAGTTAGTATCTTTTTTGTTTTGGTGATGATTGATTTGCTTTACATATTCTTCTTCTTGTAATCAAACTGAATATAAGATTGTTTCCAAGGTAAATCACTGCTGCATCAATTAGTTAATCGTATTTAATTTAGCGATCCAAGATTCAGACTATACGTAAACTATAAAGTCAAAAAATGTATAACTCAATTATACTAATTGTCGGAGATGAATTTGAATGTCGCTAAAGGTTGGAAAACTTTGAGATTTGAACAAAAATGTCCCTAAATACTTGTGGCGTTGACTTAACTATATGTTTTTTAAACAATTTGATCCCAATTTTTTTTTGGGTTTTTAAAATGTTACAGTTGTACGAGAGCAGTCAAACAATGTAAAAAAGAACACACAAGTGGGTCCCACTGCTACGACGACGTTTTATTCACCGTTATTTTTTTTGCAAACGAGTGAGCCGTTGATGTTCTTCGTTAGTCATCCGATTATCGACACGTGTACAGAATTTCCTTAGGCTTGTCGGGGTTACTTTATGAGAAAGGTAGACGCCCTTACACACCGCACCAAGCCACTAGCCTTGGTTGCCTCCACGTTCGAGGCACTATACGGTAACGTCCGTTTTTTTCCATTTTTCTTCTTCAAAGATTAACGCCGTTAACGTATCTTTGTGGTTCGGGACCCGAACCTAGAGTCATAAACCTATTTCACCTCTCCTTCACTCGCTTCATTTTTTCTCTTCACGTTGGATCGAAATCGAAGAAAGTAAACGAACGAAAATGGCGGACGAATTGGAGAAATCTGTGCCTACAGAAGATTCCTTGATGGAGAAGATCGCCGAGAAGATCCACGATCACGATTCCTCGTCGTCGTCGTCCGAGTCCGAGCACGAGAAACCGGAGTCTCCGTCGGCTTTGAAGGCGAAGATATATCGTTTGTTTGGGAGAGAGAAGCCTGTTCACAAGGTTCTCGGTGGTGGATTGCGTACGTTTTCTCCTAATCTCCGTTTTTTTCTGTTCCGTATTTTTCGTCCTCTGTTTTAATCGATTATCTCCTTAAGTCAGATGCTTGATCTGCAATACGAGGATCTCGTATCTGATAATCCCAATGCTGATTGATTACAATGAAACTGCTGACGCTAATTTTGTTTAATTCACACCCAATGTGCTTTGGAATAAGCGATATATTTTTCGGATTTGGGATGTACATGTTTTTTTTTTGTTCTTTATGATTTGCTCTTGATTGAAAAAAAAGGAAGCTTGAAGATAATTTCGGAATCGGAACTGTTTTTCGAGTGAATGGTTATAAGAAGTAAGATGGTGGAATTGAGAGTTTGGAGTGTGCATCTTAAGCTTGATTTGATTAGTCTAGTTGATATATAATTGTTTTGCTTTGATTTTAAACCATTTGGAATTGGCTTATCAATGAAACAGCATATTCTAGTTTTCCTTTTTCTGATTGGTTTTAACTTTTAACGTCTCTGCGCAGCCGCTGATGTGTTCTTGTGGAGGGACAAAAAACTCTCAGCCGCTGTTCTTGGCGTAGCGACTGCCATATGGGTTCTGTTTGAGCTGGTGGAGTATCATTTCTTGAGCCTTGTGTGTCACATTTTGATATTCGCTCTCGCAGCCCTGTTTTTATTGTCCAATGCTCATGCCTTCATGAACAAGTAAGCTTTTGTTTTAGTCTCGTCACGAGATACAACTTATATGCTTCTTTTCTTGAAGGCTCCAAAACTCTTTATATTACAGGACTCCACCTAAAATTCCTGAAATCCATATTAAAGAGGAACATTTCCTTTTGATTGCTTCTGCACTGAGAAACGAGCTGAACCAGGCCTTCGTTATCCTAAGGAGTATCGCCTTAGGAAGGGACTTGAAGAAATTTCTGATGGTATGTTTATGTTCGTTTCAATTTTTAAATTTTCGCAGTAGTTAAGAATTTGTTGAGTATGTGCAATTGCTTACACATGAATCCTTCCTGATTGTAAGACATACCCTAGTTTTCCAACAATGGGTTTCTTCTCGTACTTATTTGGTCGTTATGCATTGTGTGTATAATCTCAGGTGGTTGTTGGGCTGTGGATAATCTCGGTTGTGGGAAACTGGTTCAATTTCTTGACTCTTGTATACATCTGTAAGTATTTGTACCGATTGAAAGATTTTTAGTTGCATTCGCATTTCCGGTTGCTGACTCTAAATGTTTTGTGTGTTGGAAAAAAAAAATCAGGTTTTGTGGTGTTGCATACAGTACCAATGCTGTATGAGAAACATGAGGACAAGGTAGATCCAGTGGCAGAAAGGACGTTGAAGGAGCTGAAAAAGCATTACATGGTTTTCGATGAGAAAGTTCTTTCTAAGATTCCAGTTGCTTCCCTCAAGGCAAAGTTGGGTTAAAGAGACTTTAGAGTGAAGTAACCTCTCTCTTTATTCTCTATCTCCCCTTTGACGTTTTGCTTTGTGTGGTCTTGGGGGGGATTTCTATTATTTTTACTTAAAAAGACGAAAATGATATTTTCTTTTTGGTTGTTTGTTGTGTGAATGATGATTTTGATTCAATGGAATGCTTGAAATGTTTATTTCTTACTCTTCTTACTGACACAACATAAATAGAAAGAGTATTACTGTATTGTTAAAACTTTGAAACTGCAAAAAAGAATAACACTTAATAGTTGTAACTGTAAGTACGTTCCATTCAAATTCAACTCAATATTAATTCCCAAAAAATTAGCACAAGCGCATACATCAGCAAAACAAAAAACAGCTTGAACTTCCCTTCTAAAAGAAAATTCGGAATGAAAGAGAAAAACGAACAAACAACGGTATGAGATCATAATTACAACACAAGGCTCAACAGATATTCGAATTCCTATATTAAAGTGTATATAAATGTAAATATGTATCTCTATTTGTACCTTCTTAATGAAGCACTCTCGAGAGCCGTTGATTACTCTCCGATGATCTGAGAGGCACCGTCGAGAATTCAGAATCAGACAAAGCCGAGTCTTGTCTTGTCTTCTCCGAATCTTGCTTGGCTTTCGTTGCCGCTGCCTCTTCTGCTTCTCTTCTTTCTCGCTCCTCTGCGTCTTTGAGTAAGAAATCAACCCATTGATCCGCAAAAGACTGTACAAATTAACACAACAACAATCTCTCTCAGTGAAACTTGGCTTTGCGTATTTGATTCAATGACGGCGTTTCTTAGCCGTTGGATCAGTGCTTTGTCGAGGATTTTTACCTGGTTATCAGAAGCAGCATTAGCATGTGAATCCGCGGATTTCCCACCCAAGATTCCCCCAACGAAGCGACCGGGAAAGCCCAATACTCCTCTTACAACACCTTTACCGCCTCCTTGTTGTGCCGCTCCTATCCGCTCTTTATCTTCCTCTGAGAATCCCAGCATCCGAACCATTAGGTCCAAAACCTAGCCATAAGCAATCAAACACAACTGAGTAACTGTGAATGTCTGAATATAACCGGGATTTGGAATTAATTCCAATGTTTTACCTCTTTGCTATGATTCTTCTGGAAGTACGTAACCAGTAATTTGATAACGATACGCCTGCAAAACAGATTTTGGGTTTCATCAGAACTCTGACAGGAGAACCGAAAGATCTAATATGATGTGATCATTGGTGTATACCTATCAACGAGATAATCCGACTCTATTGACATTCTATTTAGCCTCGTCATGCTCTGTTCGAGAACACGCCGTACTTTTGCATTATCTTCTTCAACCTTGCTTACTCTGTTTTTCCATTCAGCTGCAACCCTTTCGGCGTGCAACAGTTTTGAAGTGACGTCTTCCTTTTCTTTATTCGATGACTCTAACCGCTCATCAGCATCCTTAAGCAATACCAAAATAACATTAGACCAATATGGAAATGGTAGGTCATAGCTATAAAAAGGAAAAATATAGTTGAACTCCCTACTTTCAAACGAGCATAAAGCTTCATCATCTCCTCTTTAGCCACCGCAAGCTCCCGTTCAAAATGCTCCTACAAATTTAACAAGAACACGTCAATATATTAGAGTGCAAGAAAAAGAAAAGGCAAGGTTTTGAATTTCCTGATACCAACCTTAGCTTCGATTTCGGCATAATACTGGCCCAGAGCAGTTTGAAGATTTAAAAGTTCGACATTTTTGGACTCAATCGTTCTCAAACAATTTGTAAGCTTTAGATTTAAGTCATTAATTGTTTCCTTTAACTTCCGGATTTGATTGTCATTGCTCAGCCTGTTATCCTCCTGATTAGCCATTGCCTGCTTAAGGGTTTTCTCCAACTGTGATATCTGAGACCTTTGATATTCATTACTCTGGCGGAGTTCTTCAATCAATCGGCTATCTTCATCCATTTTCTCAGACTCCTCGGTTTCCTGCACCATTGTGGCAAATACAACATAAATCCATTATCTTCTCATAAATATATCAACTACTTATCAAGAACATGAATTTGTAATAAATCTTGATAGTATTGCTAAAAACCAGAGATAATTTTCAAAATTATGATCGTCAAGCAAATACATATGTTATAACAGATGGAGTCATGCATGCTCTCACAGCAATGGATTAAGTAGAAACTTAGCTTTTACAATAGCTAACCTTTTCTAGCAAGTGTTGTTTAAGCCGTTTTAGTTCTTGCCGTGCCTTATCCCTTTCTCGTCGTGATTCCTTCAAATCTGTTTCCAGCCTCTGCAAAGATTGCTCCATTTCTTCTTTTCGAGGAAAGCTTTCATGCTAGTTATACATGGAAAAAGCATAAGGAACGATAAATACTTAGTACACATATCATGATAGCAATGCAATCTTTTTATAAAATAAAGCTTCTTCTGGTTTAACAACCTTGTCCAAGCTAATAGGATGTCTAGTCAGAGCCTCTGTGGCGTCTGGGAAGACTTTGCTACTGGTTGGCCTCCTGCTTTCTTCTAAATCAGCAGCTAGCTCACTTTGTTTCAACTACGTAGTGAGGAAAAGGCAGGTCAGATTCGGTTTCTGAATCCAAAAGTCAAAGTAGACACATACACACAGTTATAGGTTGACAATGAGGCAGTATGGAACACGGTAAACCTTAAGCTTGCTGTTTTCCTTCTCCAGAGCTTTATTAACTTCTTTTAGATGTTCCATGGCAGTTCCCACAGCGTGGCTCTCCTGACCATTCAACTTCATCTGCAAGTGTTTGATTTCAAGTAATTTTGCATCCAATTCACTACGCACTTTGCTAATCTCCAAGGAGGTCTGCAAACAGATGGAATATAAAAATCACAACTTGTAACCTAAAGATGGTGATTCCTATCTGAATAGTGAATACATAAAATGTAAGTCTTTTCTAACTCAAAGACTTACTTTGTTATTATCTAACCTCAGAGACTCGATTTCTTCCTTGAAAGATTCACTCCGTTTCCGCTCCTCTGAGGGAATTAAGGTTAGTGAGCATAGTAGATAAAGAAGATACAAAAGAAGCACCAAACTAGTAGTGAAACTATATACCCTGTAGAGAAAGCTGGAGATCCCTTAATTTTGCACGCTCTTTGGCAAGCTCTTTAGCTTGAACAGCTTCTAGTGATTTGGTTCTATCTTCTAGCATATCTGCAAGGTCCTAAAATGGCATTCAGATTACCGCTTAGAATTTGGTACTTCCCAAAAGAGGGCATAAAAGGCCTTTTTACTACAATAGTTAACAGTGTCTTATGTATTACAAGAACTACCTAAAACAAATCTGAAGTATGTATCCTTCAAACCAAACAATTTCAAGACCAAAAAGCTTTTTTATCTTAAACAATGGTAAATAATGGTATTACCTTCTCCCTAATATGCGAATCGGTATCCTTCCCTTTTCCATTGGACATCTGGCTTCGACTTTTTAAATGTGACATGGATTTTTGTAGCCTATTGGGTGACTGATCGTTGTTCCCCTGTATAAGATTACAATTCAGTATAATAGTTGAAGACCTTCATATATGATCGCACACCTAAAAAAATCAGCAAATAACGAATCTACAAACTTAACAAGCTAATGATGTTAGCAAAATATTCTAAACAAGAGCTTCCCGAGATGTTGATATTATGTTTGATCTAAGGATATGCTTAGTCTCCAACTAAATCCCACTTAACATGCTGAGCATATAATGCATGCCAATTCACACAGTAGAGCTCTTGAGTAGTCGCAACTTAACTGCATGCATCACATAGAGACGAAATAAGCAAAACATATAACGTGTCTACCTTGATAGCATTACTGTTTGATTCCCTGGAAATGTCGGTTCTAGCCTCTTTGAGAGCGGCACTAGTTGAGGTCAGGTTCTGTTTCAGTGATCCATTCTCCTGGTTCAGTCTAGAAATCTGATCCTGCAGTGCATTTGGGTTTTTTTTTTTTTGGTGTAAGGAAAAATAGAAATGGATTGAAGATATGAAGAAGTCAGGGAGAAGTAAGTTTCTGTCACAATCTGACCTCTTTTTCTCTTAATAGAGCTGCGTAATTCACTGATAAGGCTTTAATATCTGCTTCAGATTCCTGAAGCTTCTTAATCTCTGCCTTATACCGTTCAATCTAAACACATAATCGAATCATAAAAACAAGTAAGCAATTACGACACCAACTACATTTCGCGTATATCTTCTTTATCACAGAAAAACGGACTCAGATTGCAGTAAAATTTCGGATGCCTAATCTATAAATCGAGCAGGAAGATGATCCAATTATGACCAGATACCTCATGATGACCCGGCGATTCGATTCCGCTGGAGATCGGATACCTCGAAACGGACCTTAGAGACCTAAAACCACTGGAATTTCTCCGATCAGAGCCTGATATATCACCGACTCCATTGGAGAAACCGTATCTTTGGAGATCATCTTCGTCTTCGTCGTCTTCATGCACATCGAGCGCGATTTTGTTCAAGTTCTCCTTCAAATTCTCAATCGAGCTCCACATAGCTCTCTCTCTCTCTCTACGTCTCCCCAAAACTCTACTAAAGCCTCAAAACCTACAAAGACACAGGCTCCTCCTCTTCGTCTGAAACAGTGGAGGATCGAATTTGAAAGTTCTTAGATCAGAATCCGATACAACAAAAATGAAATCAATTTTCTTTTCCCGGTCTGAGAGAAACGTAGAAGGGATTTGGAAAGAAAATAAATTAATTAGCGTGTATTAATTAATTATCTCGTCGTTACGTTTTAAAACAAATCACTCGTTTTATCGGATTATTATTGATTAAAACCCCAATTCATATAATCCGATAAAACATGGACTACTATTAAATGGGCCTTACTGAATATAATATGAGCGAGAGCCCGTTTTCAATAGACAAAAAGGCCCGTTTATTATTTTTGAAATCAACGGTGGTCATGGACAATTGACACTCTATATAAACAAATAGAGATAGTAGAGGCAAACTCTATT